TTTGTGTGATTAGTTAAGCACATTTTTGCTAAAGTGAATGTAGTTTTACATTGCTATTTGTATTATTCAACCAATTGGTAAATGAATGCTGGTCCATATAACTTAGCATAGTAACTCATCCAGATCAAATATTGTGACCTTTGGTGAACCTGTGAATGGTAAAATTACAAGATCAGGTGCATTTTTTATGGAGAAAACTAAAAAGCTCAAGTGAAGAATCACACTGAACAAGATGAATGTTAAAAGCTCCAAATCTTGGATTAATATTCTTCAGCAAATCTTTAAAACCTTTGTAAGAATCACAGAGTGAGTGAGTGAGTATGGTTTTACACGCTTTTGACAATATTCCAGCAATATCACAGTTGAGGGACACCAGAAATTGGCTTCACACATTGTACCACATGTGGGAATCAAATTCAGGTCTTCAGCATGATGATGCTAATGCTTTAACCATTAGGCTACACCATCGACCCCTAAAGAACCTAGAACCACCTCCGGAAATGCTGACCCTGGATCAGGCCTCAGGCTTTTTGAATGTTTATTCAGGGCTTTATTGGCCAGCGGAGTTCCCTTGCTCTGAACTGAATTATATAGCAATGTTTTTACATGTAACTACCTTATCGGGCCGACACTTTGGTCCGAAGTCCGGAAATAATGAGTCCGAAGATACAGAACTTTTATTAGCACTGTAATGAAATGATCTAATTTACTTAACTGAAGGGACCCGTGAAGATCCGGGGTAGAATAGGTCTTCAGCAACCCATGCTTGCCACAAAAGGCGACTATGCTTGTCGTAAGAGGCGACTAACGGGATCGGGTGGTCAGGCTCGCTGATTTGGTTGACACATGTCATCGGTTCCCAATTACGCAGATCGATGCTCATGCTGTTGATCACTGGATTGTCTGGTCCAGACTCGACTATTTACAGACAGCTGCCATATAGCTGGAATATTGCTGAGTGTGGCGTAAAACTAAACTCACTCACTCATTCTAACTGAAGTAACACATTTGTTTTCAACTGATATATAATTTCGGCTTACTGACCTATAATAGTATCAGTTTGGTTGTTAAAATGTTTCTTCATAATTGCCACTGATTATGTACTACAGAATCAGCTGTAGGAGCAATACATTTTGATCTATATGTATCATGATACATGTATGTGCAGTTTTAAACTTTCGCATCAAAAGAATTGATTTCAGATTCATGAGCCTTTAAGTTGTAGGGTTAGAGACCATTCATAATTTATGGCTAGGGGGGTGATGATGATGATGATTATTTTTTTTTTTGGGGAGTAGGTGTGGGGTGTGTCACCCATTTTGTTCTTTGGAGGTAGGGGTCATCAATTTTGTACACATGTTCTAGGGGGTTATCAACTTTGTACATAAAAATATTGGCTTACAAAATATGGGGGGTCATTGATTTTGTACATGACATGCAGGGGGGTCACTTACTTTGTACATAAAGTTTGGGGGTCAGTCACATTGTACATGCTTCTCCATAAAAATCATCATCACACACCACCACCACCACCCCCCAATTCATAAATTATGAAGGGCCCCTTATCAATAATGCATACATTTCCTCTGCTACGATTATGTGGGCACTGTGGAAAGTGATAAAATAATCCCCAAATCCCAAGAATATCTACAACATTATGCAACTGGTTATTTGGGGAAATGGTGAAACTTTTTATCTTAACCTCAAGACTTGTTTATGCTTTCGAACATTTTCTAATAATATGTGCTGTATCAGAGCTGCAGATAACTTTTTTGGTCATTGAGTTATGTACTCGCTTGTGTTCATCTCAATTGGGTATCCTCATTTTCCTTTGAGTAACCAAGTAAATTGTACCCACCTCACTCAAACTCAATTGGGTATTTTGCCATATTCCATTAATTGTAAAACTATAATAAAGTTTAAATGTTATTGATATTGGATCTGTAATATGAGAAACGATAAGAAAGACTGCAAGTTGCCAAGTCCATGTGTTGAAATAGAACCTCTGAATATACCTCAGTTATTTTATCTATCCACCCGGTACGCAAGCTAACATTCGACATTTTTGTGTGTACGCATGGAAGATCAATTTTTTTGAGTATTTACAAAAATTCAAGCGTACTTGTACCCAATAGACTTAAGAATTGAGTTTTCGCATAAGTATTTGCGTAATTTACGCAGATGTGCTAGCTTATCTTACCGCTGCTGTATGGGTGTGAGCTTAAACAAAAACAAACAAAGTTATTGGCAAATTAACTTCCTTCTTCAAACTTACTAACAATAAAACGTGAGATTTGTTTATGAAATGCAGAAATCATTGTGGAGATTTTTATGCCTGATTAAAAGTGATTTGACATTTTGAACCAGGATTTAATTAACATGACTACTGACATAGCTTCACATGCACCTTGTGCGGTTGGGTAGCCCAGTGATTAAAGCATTCACTCGTCACGCCGAAGATCCAGGTTTGATTCCCCACATGGGTAGAATGTGTGAAGCCCATTTCTGGTGTTCCCTGCCTTGATATTGCTGGAATATTGCTTAAAATGGCGTAAAACTAAGCTACTCATGCACAGGCACCTTGTTTTGTGAGTGTCTTTGTACTTCAATTCTGAATGTTTGGCACTTGGCCTAACAACTACAATTTGTACTGTCATGGTTAAGATGGCCTTTGATTGTGTGGGAAATATGAAGATGGGACTGATTGCTATATATAGAGTGGCTCAAGTCTTTGTGCGATTAGTTAAGCACATTTTTGCTAAGTGAATGTAGTTTTACATTGCTATTTGTAATATTCAGCAACCAATTGGTAATGAATGCTGGTCCATAGCAACTTAGCATAGTAACTCATCCAGATCAAATATTGTGACCTTTGCGAACCTGTGAATGGTAAAATTACAAGATCAGGTGCATTTTTTATGGAGAAAACTAAAGCTCAAGTAAGTCACACTGAACAAGATGAATGTTAAAAGCTCAAATCTTGGATTAATATTCTTCAGCAAATCTTTAAAAACCTTTGTAAGAATCACAGAGTGAGTGAGTGAGTATGGTTTTACACCGCTTTTGACAATATTCCAGCAATATCACGGCGGGGACACCAGAAATTGGCTTCACACATTGTACCCATGTGGGGAATCGAATTCAGGTCTTCAGCATGATGAGCGAATGCTTTAACCATTAGGCTACACCATCGACCCCAAGAAACCTAGAACCTGCCTCAAATGCTGACCCTGATCAGGCCTTGTGTTTTTTTGTTACAGATGAAGACATTGTGGACTCTGGTGGTGCTGGTGGTGGTCCTGGTGGCTACAGCGTCTGCTGGGCACAGTACGTAATTTACTTCATAACTTTCGTGAGTGAGTGGCTTGATAAGTCGATGTTGTTTTGAGCAACAGGTTCCTGGTATGCTAAGGAGCAACTCTGCACAACTAATTGTGGACTTAAGAAATTTATTTTTACTATAATTGCCATGTTGCTAAAACATGGAGCTCCGTAAAATTCTGGGATGGTGTTGGTCCTCGTCTACCTATGCATGTCGTAAGAGGCGACTAATGGGATCGGGTGGTCAGTCAAGCTGCCATGGTTGGTGTATGTCATTATAACCCAGGGAGCTATCATATACAGTAGTTGATAAATTATGACATTGAACAACAGACAGGTTTAACAAACAAGTCATTAATGTGTGCGTTACACTCTGAGTGCAATTGGTGAGGTCGCATGTGGTTCCTGTCTACACCACACAGCTCACAAATTAGGGGAGGTAATGCGATGCTGCTCACAGAGAGAAGGTGGATAAGTGGTCATGTTTGGCAGCTTGACTCCTGCGAGTGTCTAGAGCTTCTGTACTGCACCACACTGGGAGCTTGGCTTATTGTATACTCCTCAGGAAGCTGAGAATGGAATCCTTGTATAGGTATCATATGGCGTTGCCAAATCAAGAAACATGATCAGTGTCAGCACTATGATCTGATTTTAATGGTAATGACGTTATTTTTCCCTTGCAATAATATGATCAGAGTTACAATTTCTTCCGAAAAAGTATATGTAGGGAATTACATATAAGATTTTCTGAAACTCATATTTATTTCAGTTTTTGACCACTACAGAATGGAGGGACATCATGTTAGATCTGCTTGTTTTGATGTTGTTTGATGGCATGGTAAACTGCTGTTAATGGCATGGTAAACTGCTGTTAATGGCATGTGTAAACCAGCTTGGGAAATGTGTTAATAACACTGGTAATGGATAGAAAAGGTAAATGAGTTCAAAATGATGATGTAGCCTGGCAGTAAAAAATATTTTCCACAACCTGTTTCAAATTTGTCGGAAACTAACTAACCTTTGATATTGCACCCGTCTGTCTGTTCATGTATTCAAGGTGTCTTGTAATTGAAAGTCAGGATTGATAAAAGTTTGCATTCATTATCACGTCTTTAAAACATTGCATCTCTTGGGCATGAGAGAAACACATTATGGAGTCCTGGTCCACCCAGGGATTTATCATCCATGGAGTCTTGTATTTGAGGGTTTCTGGGACTCATACTCTTAATTTTCAGGGGTCCTGGACAACAAAATGGGGGTCCCAGACACTTAAATATTATTTTTCATACTGTTATTTTCTTGTGTGTCATGATCATCACATTGTTACAGTAATTAAATTGCAATTAATACCATAACCCTGCTAGTAACAAACTCAGTAATAACTTATTGTCACTTGATTGGGATTTTTACAAAAAGTCCCTGTGGACGCGGTAATACATTTTGTTGCATCCATTGTCAATTTTTATGCGTATAGGACGCAGGAATTCGCGTCCTGTAAATCCCTGAAGAGCCAAACCTTACATTGTTTAATAACACGGAAAAAATAACCATACCCTTTGTCATTTGAATGAACAAAACTGTCATTGATAACAGTACCATGATAAGAGCGTACTGTTTCACCCCTGCTTCTGAGTATTGTAATGATTACTTTTTGAAAGTTTTGGACCACTAATTTTCTGTCAGATTTTTATCTTACAGAACAAAATATAACGCTACAAAATGAGACAAAGGCCTAGTCAGATTTCTTGCACATTGTCTACCCCTGCTTGTTAACCTGGAGATTACCAATCTGTTAGGCATGTATTATGCTTCCTTGTCAAGTTGAGGAACTGGTAGGTGAGGTCATGGGTTTAATAATAATAAAACCCAGCTGATATGGTCTGGTGAAGTTAAATTAGCGAAACCGCCCATGGAACACATTGTGGATGAAAAATAGAGATACCAAGATGGGCCAGTTTTACTTCATTTCACAGCTGTGTGTCTTGACTTATATATTTACAACTTAAAAACAGATCAACCGATTTTTTCCAAATGCTGCAGTTAACGTGTCATGCTGTCAGTAAGATATGTTGAAACACTAGTTCAGAAAATTATGTTCGCTAGGTACAGTTGAATGTAGAAGTGTATTTATTTGAAAAATGATTTAAGAAGTCGTATAAAATTGAGTACAATTTCATTATAAGATAATCTCTGTGTTTTACTCAAAACTTCAACAATGATGGAGTCTGGTTCCCTAAGATGTTTACAGATGACAATGCTGAAAGGTTAAATCAAATAATGAATTTGAATTAAGAAATTTAATAACAAAGGTCCAGGATGTTGAACATGTTGAAACATAGCAATGACATGAAGGAAACAGGCGAACAAAAGAAATATATACAGTCAAACTTCGTTGGGTTTCAGACTCAAACATAGTTCGAGTGATCCAGGATTTAAGAATACCTTCGAATTGAATTTCAAATTGAAATTGAAAATCACTTTATGAGAGATTTTTTTTTATCGATTTGGTTTCATTTTCATACTATGTCCAGTAGAATATTATAATACCAGAATAGATTCACTAACATAATCTTCATCCGTTTCATTCATATTCATATTTACACATGTCAATGATTGTCATGTGAGAACACTTCGATAACTTACTGCCAGTATGTATTAGTAATCACCATCAAAATATTGGCTGAACCTTGTTACCAACAATTAATCGTGGTTGGGGCAGTGGGGTAGCCTAGTGGTCAAAGCGTTTGCACGTCATGCCGAGGACCAAGGTTTGATTCCCTACATGGAAACAATGCGTGAAGTCTCTCTCTCTCTCTCTCTTCCGCCTTCTCTCTCTCTCTCTCTCTCCATATATTGCTGCAAAAAGTGGCTTAAAACTAAAAGTTTACTCACGTCATGCCGAGGACCCAGGTTCGATTCCCTACATGGAAACAATGTGTGAAGTCTCTCTCTCTCTCTCTCTCTCTCCCCTTCTCTCTCTCTCTCTCTCACCATATATTGCTGCAAAAAGTGGCATAAAACTAAAAGTTACTCACGTCATGCCGAGGACCCAGGTTCGATTCCCTACATGGAAACAATGCGTGAAGCCTCTCTCTCTCTCTCCCCCTTCCGCTCTCTCTCTCTCTCCCCCTTCCGCTCTCTCTCTCACTCACCATATATTGCTGCAAAAAGTGGCATAAAACTAAAAATTACTCACTGACTTATGGCTGCCACAGAGATAATTCCTGATATGGAATTCCTGAGAGGGATATGCATTAGTAGTGTCAGAGATCTGATCTGAATTGAAATGATGGAAGATTGTTCGTAGTGACCAAACGACCAAGCAATCGATAATATTTTCTCATAATTAAACATAAAATTAGACTGTTTTAGTCGTAGAAACACTTGACGATGGAACATATCTAGAAAGTTGCCAGGGCCTGAAAACGTGTTAAAATTCTTAGAAAACTCACTTCACTTACTGAAAAGTCATGACTCAATATTTCTTGAAGACTCCAGGAGGTTTATGTTCATGATATATTAGTCATCACTATAAAGTAGCAAGTTGCATCATTTTACATGTGAAATTTGCAAATGCAGTTTCTTAAAAAAAAACACACAAAAAAAATCCCCAGATAACCACGATATACTTATCTGCAATAACAACCTGAATAGGAAAATTCTGAAAAAATTATGATAACCCATTTTTTTCGAATGGTAATTAAACAATCATCAATTTTGAGATTTCAACCAATTCCCAACACTAACATGCATGGCCAACTTCACATTCTTCAGAATTACTCATATTACTGCATTTCTGGTGGAACTTTTTGACAGATGGTTGCTAATTAAACTGATATTTTCATTTATGAATGTAATACCTTGTCTGCTTGAACACCAGTCTGCAAAATCAACTTGTCCACCATTTGAAGTGATGTATTACACAGTGACCTCTAACCTTCATGAAATGTCACCAGATTGTGTACAGAGAGTGGTCTATAGGTAACTGTCACCAGATTGTGTACAGCGAGTGGTCTATAGGTAACTGATTTGTTTTCATTTTTCACTTCGGGAACTGAGTCACCTGGTGCACAAAATAGGAAATGACGTATTTCATATGCAGGGATTTACCTTGATTCCTGTATTTGAGGGTCCCTAGGACTCATACTCTTAATTTTCAGGGGTCCTGGGCCTCCTTTCACAAAGCACTAAGGTGATCGTAAGTCACTAAGGTAACCTTAGTCAAATGTTAAAGAATGGGAGTTAAGGTTAACCTTAGTAAAGGTTGCTTCGTGAAAGGAGCCCCTGGACTACTGAAATGGGGGTCCCAGACACTTAAATATTATTATCAATACTGTTACTATGTTGCAATATTGTTGTCATTCATTTACTGTTATTGTTTTGTGTATTATGATCATCACATAATTAAATTGCAAATAAAATGCCATAACTCAGCTAGTAGCAAACTCAGTGATAACTTATTGTTGATTGGAATTTTTGCAAAGTATTTGGACTTTTTCTGCGTCCATGTGGACACGCTAATAAATTTCGTTGCGACCATTGCTAATTTTTATGAGTAAAGGACGCAGGAATTCGCGTCCTGTAAATCCCTGCGTACAGGAAATATATACCGATAAAACTGCTGCCATGCATTTGTTGGTAGAAACTGTTACCTGTACTGTGCAGTTTCCTGCACTGACAGTATTTCACCTGCATTAGTGCAACCTGGATACATTGATCCATGAAGTTTGGAGCTGTCTGAGTGATCTGGCAAATTCTGTGTTTGGAGTGCAGATGTGCGTTTGTTTGGGGGGGCATTTCAATAAGCAGGGCTCCAGATAAGGGCCGTATTGGCGTATGTACGGATAAAAAAATATGCACGATACGGTAGGATATAATTTAGAAACAGTAGCAGATACGCAGCACAGCAGTGGTGTACGGTCTTAAAATCATTTACAGAAGTATGTATCTGAAAAAAGTATTGTTTTATTGTTTTTTACCTGTTTACAAAAGAGTAGCAATGCTGTGGTGCATATATTAAACGAAACACAAGATCACACACTCCATTAAATTCCATTCAGTACTCCAAATGTACTTTAAGTTTTTCCAGTACTCCTACAGGGTATATTTAAAAAAATAAGGAGTACATACTCCTCATGTTGAAAAATTATCTGGAGCCCTGAATAAGCTAACGATAGTGAGTTCAAATCCTGGTGTGCTCCAGTTACGTTTCCAGGTCCGTCAGCACCATAACTGTGCGCATGTATTTGACTGAAGTTGCAAACATCTCAGAGCTGCCTTACTTCACACTTTTCTCCCTCCACAAGGTGGCATGCCACAATATAACTTGAATATTCTCCAACACATTCAAAGCAGTGTAAAATTCCAACTCACTCACTCACACACAAGCAGTTGTAGGTTGAGCATATCAAATAGGTCAGAAACACAGTTGTAGAACCTGATTATAGTTGCTAACAAATGTGTGTGTGTGAGGTTGGTTTTACGCCGCTTTTAGCAATATTCCAGCAATATCACGACGGGGAACACCGGAAAAATGGGCTTCACACATTGTACCCATGTGGGGAATCGAACCCGGGTCTTCAGCGTGACGAGCGAACGCTTTAACCACTAGGCTACCCCACCGCCCTGCTAAAAAATACTTCATGGACAGTTATGTAACTGGTTTGTGGAATGGTGCATTGTTCTGTTGTAGGATCATGTTATTGTGCTATTGTTTTAGAATAATATCTTGTTCTGTTCTTGAATTGTGCACTGTTCTATTGTTTTGGAATGGTGCTTTGTTCTTCTGTTATAGAATGACGCATTGTTCTGGGTTTTTTTGTGGAATGGTGCATTGCTCTGTTATTGTTGAATAATGCATTTCTTTGTTTTGGAGAATGATGTATGTTCTGTTTTTGAAGAAGGAAGTGTTCTGTTGTAGAATGCAAGTATGAGAGGCAGGGAAAATGGTCTGAATGTGAGAACGGCAAACAGACTGTGACAAAGGTCAAACAGGAAGGGTCAGACCAATCATGTCCTCAGAAAAAGGTCAAGACCAGAATGTGTGGTAGGTATTTCAAACAAGCGTGTTTTGCTCATTGCAACATAGCAGGATATTCATTCCAAGTTTGTTTTGCTTTAATAATGATCAATATAGTTTGTAACAGCCATTGAGTCTTGCAAGGATTTGCTAGACTTGAAGGACTGTGTTATTGCACCGTAATCTAACAAGAGTTGTATGACTTTATTACTCGTAAAGGTTCCGCAAGGAGGAACAAACCCAGTGCATCAGTGTATGCTAAGGGACTATAGTCTACTTCCAAATTTCTGAAAATAATGTGTATAGTCCTGGGTGCCAATTCACTAAGCGTTTGTAGCGTGACGTGCTATCAGAACTATTTTGTTTATTATAAGCTTACGAATGATGCAGTGCTGCGATCACTTTGTGGATTGGTCCCTGATACAAGACTCTCAAATGGTTGTGTCTTATGCTTAATTTACTCTCATTTTCAACAGTATTCAAGCTTTGAGACCGATGTTGTCCCAGTGCTTGGACAGCGAATCGCTTAGGGCGCTGTAATATGCTGTAGAGAGGAACATGTAATCTCTGTAAAGCCAAGATGCACTGGTCTCAGACTTTGCCATCTGTGATTCTTACTAGCCAGCGCCATGTTCGTCCTGCAAGTTTTGCTGAGCGTACAATTTGCAACCATGTTTGCTATAGATGTTCACAGCCTAGTCCTTAAAGCATTTGCTCATCATGGCGAAGACCTGCGTTTGAATTCCGACATGGGTAAAATGGGTGAAGGCCCTTTCTGATATCCAGTGCCATGATATTGCTGGAATATTGCTAAAAGCGGTGTAAGACCATACTCGCTCACTGTTGGTGTTCCTCCACTGTTAAGGTGGAGTGGCTCTACAGTGTTCGATTCTGTTCATGATGGCTTTGAACCCAACTCCCTCACTCCTTCACAAGGTTAGGGTCAGCATGGATTCCTCGAATCGGTAAATGTTGCACTTTACAGTTGCAGGAGAAAAATGCAAGTATGAGAAAAACGACTGGAGTGAATGCAATGAAGCGACCAATCTGCAAACCCGTACCATGACCCTGAAGACTGGGAGTTCGCGATGCTCACCTGTAAAGTCTATAACGCGCAAATGCAAAAAAGGTCAGACAGCATTGCATGCCATCTTGTAGCTGAGCTGTTCGCTGCTTTTGCGCTACAAAGCCAGATTTTTTCTTGGTTTATTGAAAGTGTTTATTATAGTCATTCTTTTGGTCAGATCATTTGAATCATTTTTGCTTTTATCTACCTTTTGATTGGACGAATCTGGAAACCAAGAGAAGGTTACTCAGGCTTTGCTTTTCATCATGAGTGGAATGAACATGTAGCCAACCCAAATAAGAAGTGTGAGAAAACGGGCATTTTTAGTATAAAGTCAATCGTGTGCAAGAAAATTCATTAAAATTTATGTTTTTAAAGATTTGTTTACCACGTACCGAACTGTATTAAGTGGATGTTACCAATTTATATCAATTTCTGTGGATACCAAGATTTAATGCAACTGATCTGCTCCAAATATACCAATTGAAAATGTATTCATTTCTAAGATTCTTTTTGGGTTGGTTGACATTTAAATTTTGCAAGCTAAGAGATTCCAACCTTGCACATAAATACCATTTAGTTCCAGGATGTCATTATGATCGTAAGATTAAATACAGCACATGTGATGAAACAACATACACTCAGAGTCGTGTCCTTAAGCTCAAAAAAGCTGGAAAAGGTGTCACGTGCGAAGACGAATTGGACGACACTATCCCATGCAAAGGTGAGTGTCATGTGATCTATTTTTCGTTTATGTGACAAAATCACAGCAAATTGTCAGACAGGTCATAAAAACATTTTATAGATTAACATATCCTCTGAAACTACAAAGCATAAACTTCTGTTTGGTATGAAGGTATCTTGAAAGATTCCTTACAGAATTTTATTTTACTTTAAACATGGCCGCTGTGGCAACCATATTGTACATTTGTTTGCCACTGCTTATCCATGTTTCTATGTATCATTTTGAAATTTCATGTGCAGTTATATTGCCTAATGCGAAATAACATTTGGCATATTTTGGTTTAGATCTGTTTAACCCATCTACACTCTTTAATGTTCATGTTTTTCACATACCGGTAGTCATTCTTCAGGTAAGAGGTCCCGTCTGAAACTATGTAATCTAAGCAATTTGTCTACAAACTGAGCTCAAAATCTGATATTTTCTGCATGGCAGTTATGGCAGCCATATATTAACATTGACATTCCTTATTATGGTTAAATATATGGTATGCCAAATATGGGCACATGACATATTGCTCAAAAGAAGTTAAGCACACCTGATTCTCCCCTATCAATGTACCCTAATATACAGGTAGGGAATGTATCTTGAAATATTTGACTCTATTACAACTTTGACCATAAGGTCCCTCTGTAGAAGGTGACAGTAATGTGGCAGTCATTATGGTGTAATTTTAACTCTCTGCTTACCGAACTATGTATGTATCAGTAGTGTCCTATTTACTCTTATATTATTTTTTATATTTTAGCAAAGAACTGAATTGTGAAATTGCAATAGTTTTAAGTATTAATTTGTAGTCACTTCTGTTTCTGAAGTCCTCTATGCTGGTTTTAGAGATCCATGTCTAAAGATTGAATTATCAATGTTAAATTTCCAAATTATATTATTTTTATTATTATAGGAAAATGCAAATACTCAAAAGATGCATATGGAAAATGTGATCCTGAAACTCGAACAAAAACCAAGGTGAGGCACTTGATCTCAGGAAACAAGGCCATGTGTGATCCTGAAAAATCCAACACAAAGAAATGCATCCCTGGGAAACATGGGCATGGACACAATAAACATGGAAAACATGGTGGACAGAAAAGACATGGTGGACAGAACACTGGAGGAGAAAACATGTGAAAAGGATGAATCTATAACGCCCCACGCTTCACTTTCATGCTCTGCTTTGACTCAATAAACTACTCGAACTCTCCTCGTAAATGGCCTTTGGAAGTTGGTGTGATGAACAAGGGAGAGAAGTTTATGGTTATACAACTTCTTTACACAGTAAACACAGTGTTATCACGTGCTTGATAACGGTGTTAGTACTTACACTGAATGTCGCGATTCAGTATAATAAAGTTGTTGTATAGCCTTAGAATTGTCTCCCTTGTTAGTCATACTAGCATTTAGAAAAAATTATTTGTAATTATTTCTTTGATTTGATAAAGTTTAGATGTTTTAAACAAGAAATACTATTTTCGACAATTTTTGGGTTTGTTTTTGGTGAAGTTCCCATGCAGGAACACCATTTAGATCAGCAACGCTTCACTAGATGTGCTGAAACTGTTGATCAATGAAATATATCTTATAACTTATTTTGTTCACTGCTGTAGAAAACATACAAACTGAAAATTTGTTAAGCAAGATTTTACTTGTTGGCTGAATGAAATTATTTATTTTCAGGTGCTTTAATCATTATAGCAGTGGCAACACAGACATGAAAACAGTAACTTAAGTGAATGTTCTGGGTAGGCTATGTCTTAAGGTCAGGTTACCAAACAGTCTTCTTTTCTTTCCTGTTCTTTTCTGCTGCAATAAAAATATGCCCTATACTAATTGTTTGTCATAACTGATGTTGTTCCAGGGGTAGATTCAGCTTTTTGAGAAAGGGTGGGGGTAGGGGGCTGCACACTTCATTTTCACAAGTGTTGTCATTTAATAGACTTTCAGGACAAAAAAGGGGGTGTACACCCCTGCAGCCCCGTTCTGCCTATGTGTTCTAGTATCAGACACCTACACATCTTGACCTTTACACAATTAAACATACATGTACTTACACACACCCGAACACTTCAAGCATATGTAGGGGCGATGGTAGACTAAGGCTTAGTCTCTGAATATATATAATTTTGATGGTAACAAACAAGCCCATTTAAATTGAAAAGGAGCCCTAGGTAGACCAGAGATTCTGAACCTGGGAAAATCTGGACTTGCTTTATTTAGGGCTTTAGCACTGCAGAGAGAGCTTGGCAGTAGGGAAAATAATGTGGTTCAGGGACTGTGAGACATACTAGGGCGAAGGGGTAGCCTAGTGGTTAAATCGTTCGCCTATCATGACAAAGACCCAGGTTCGATTCCCCACATGGGTACAATGTGTGAAGCCCATTTCTGGTTCCCTCACCGTGATATTGATGGAATATTGCTAAAAGTGACATAAAACTAAACACACTCACTCACTCAAGCACATGTAAACATACCTACAGACACCTGAACACATCTACAACACCTGAAAACAAATAAACATACCTGCACACACCTGAACACATCTACAACACCTGAAAACAAATATACATACCTACACACACCTGAACAAAAATAAGCATACCTGCACACACTTGAACGGAATTAGATTTACTTACAAACACCTGAACACAATTAAACATATCTACACTACACCCACCTGAACACAATTAAACATATCTACACATACTTGAACTCATCTAATACATCTTTATTTATCTAAACATAACCCACATTTATATACAGTTTAAAATGTACACACACCTCTACACAACTTTTTTTCCTAAACACAATTTGATATCCCAACTCGCACCTGCACAATTAAACACACCTACTCTCACAAAAAACACACCTACATTCAGTTAGATATGTTGGCTGCGAATCACAACCAGCATTATTCTTTGATCTTTTCCCATAATGAATCTGACACATCATTATGTTTCTGAAATAATGTTTAAATGGTGTTCCATTCAACTGATCCATTCACACCTTAAGACATCTAAACACATCTGCGTATATCTACACTGCGTGTTGGGACAGGTGTGTCTCTCTCAACCAATCAAAGGCCATTATAGTTTCACTGACCATTCTCACAGTGACAGGCAAAACATCGGACTTGAAGTGAACATCATTTGAACAATTTCATTTTACCATTTAGTCAATAAATTAGGAAGCAATATGTGATCAAATGCCACTTTTGTTTATGATTGTTACATAATTAGAGGCATTAGCTCCAAAAATAAAGCAGTAATGGATAGCCAGGTGGAATCCGGTAATGCTACCATGTCCAGAATTGTTACCTCTCCCAGCCCTAATCTAGACACATCTACATCCATCAAAACACAATTTTGCATACCAACTATAAAATGAACACATCTTAACACACACATTCATCCTGAAATTGGCACCAGGTCATGTACACTGTTATTCATACCTGAACACAACTATTCACACCTACATACTACTTCACAACTAAAAGTACCCATACACATCTGCACAAAATGAAACATACCTAGACTGTTTGATATACCTACACACAATTAGACCTACATCAGTTCAATCCCATGACCATATCATACCTTGTTACCCTTAAGATAAATTTGTTGAATTCTGATTGGTCAGTAGTCAAAGCATACGAAACCATGTAGGCGGATTTGCCAGGGTGTACGAACCGTACACCCCTTTCAAATCTGTCATGTGACACAAGACGCAGGTTGTACGAATGACCTTGACCTTGATCAACATCACTGACCCTAGCCTTGCTCCAAGGCTGTAACAAAGGATAATTTTGTGGATGAAAAGATATAGTGTCCTTTATAGAGATAAGTGGACAGTACTATGGATGCCAGTCTTTTATAAGGACAACTTCTCTATATAACCTGTGAAGATCCGGGTTAGAATTGATCTTCAGTAACCCATGCTTATTGTAAGAGGCCATTAACGGGATCGGGTGCTCAGGCTCACTGACTTTGTTGACACATGTCATGGTATCCCAATTGCATTAAAGGATGCTCATGCTGTTGATCACTGGATTGTATGGTCCAGACTGGATTATTAACAAACCGGTGCCATATAGCTTGAATATTGCTGAGTGCGGTGTTAAACAACAATTAACAACCAATCAATTAATTGTTCTCTATAATCTAGAAATTATCATTTATACTAATAACTATTTCCCTAGAGATTTGTGGAAATCTAAACTGACACAGTCAGTACTGGATACACTTCTAATAGATTCTGTGTGAATAGGTGGTCATCAATTCATTTTGAGACAGGAAACCCGCAATTGTAAAATGATGCCTGAACACTTTATTTACATGCGTAATATTCATGATTACTGTGCCATTTATAAAAACCCCATAAAAACAATAAAATCTGCATCCATATTGAACACAGTGTTATTATGTAGAGCTGAAAGCGTGAGGATGTCAAGTTAGACATCATGCCACAGTTATTTCATAATGTTAATGAGAGTTGCATGCAGAGCACAAAGATTCAGTGCTGAAACCAGAGACGATATAATATTATTATATGGTTTCTGCTGAAACACTCTAGTTTGAAACGAGACCATTTCACTGTAACTGACATGTTCATGTGCTGTTGGTGCGAGAATAAGTCGCCAGGGACATTGCATCACTTCATCAAGATTTTACATTTTCAAATGTTTTCAGACATTTTATGGAGCGTCAAGTTTATCGCGTTCAATCACACTATTACGAGAGGTGTGGCATCACAAACACATTGTATATGATCGTTTGATGGGTTGTCTTTTGAGATAAAGTTGTTGTTTTTTAAGTGGGAGAGATGATAAAACTGTTCTCGTGACTGATGAGAAAACAGTGTCCGAGATGGATGAATTGCTCTAAACCATGCTACTGTAGATCTGTACGTCAAACATTGCCAGATCAGTCAGCTTTGACATTGTCCTCCATATATCAAGAGCTTGCATTTCGGTAACACCTGGAACCATTTCTGGGCATCCCATCCTGTAGTTCTCAATCACAAGTCACCCTTGATGGGTGGTTTGTTGCAGTTAGCAGAGCAACTGGAGTGAGATTTAGTGTTTCAAATAGTGGTGCAGGTGTTTTCTCAAATAGTGGGGCATTGGCAGTCATCAGGTGCCTCATTTAGTGTTTCTCAAATAGTGGGGCATTGGCAGTCATCAGGTGATTTAGTGTTTCTCAAATAGTGGGGCATTGGCAGTCATCAGGTGATTTAGTGTTTCTCAAATAGTGGGGCATTGGCAGTCATCAGGTGATTTAGTGTTTCTCAAATAGTGGGGCATTGGCAGTCATCAGGTGATTTAGTGTTTCTCAAATAGTGGGGCATTGGCAGTCATCAGGTGATTTAGTGTTTCTCAAATAGTGGGGCATTGGCAGTCATCAGGCGATTTAGTGTTTCTCAAATAGTGGGGCATTGGCAGTCATCAGGTGATTTAGTGTTTCTCAAATAGTGGGACAGAGGGAGTTACTTGGTTGTTTGTTGTGGGGCAGTAGTAGTGACTGGTTTTTTTTATTTTGTTTAAAATGGGAGTCAGGTGTTCTTTTTATCTGTGTAAAATGGGAGTGAGGTGGGATGATTTATTTTTTGTAAACTAAGAGTCAGGTGGTTTTTTTATTTGTGTAAAATAGGAGTGAGGTAGGTATTTTGTTTTGTGTAAAAATACTGGGCAGTTAGTGGTAACGGGTGGTTTTGTGTGTGGGAAATGGTGTGAAGAGCTAATGGTCTGATAGTGCTCATCCTTAAACTCTAATTCCTTTATATATAATGACACACCATGACAAGGCATGGAGGAATATAGGAACAGAGGTGTTTAAAGGGTTTACTGACAAGGATTTGGGTGTGCGATGTCCCAGGGTGGTCGCAGTGTTTTGTCCAAGCCTATTTCCCTTACAGATAGTAGGACAGGAAACCCAGTCTGTTACAGATGATCTACAGTTGAAACAATGACGTGATGTCATAGAGGTATGTTAGGCGATGCAAAGTAACATTAACTGACTCACTCACTCATCTTTACTAGCTTGCAAGTACCAGAAAGGAAACTGGAGTGAGTGTGATCCCATGACAAAGAAGATGACTCGGACGCTAACCCTCGTCAAGGGCAGCGACCAGTGTCCACCAAGCAAAACCAGGCAGAGGCGATGCAGGAAACGGAAATCGAGTAGAAAAGGTATGCTACCTTCAGTTGTTTTGCTGCTAACAAACGTTGCTTGTGCTGCTGCCGATGCATATATGCATGATTGCCTTGGACTTTGCAAATTGCTGACAGTGTACTAAGGCTGATCATTTCAAGATTACAGTGTAGAATGTCAGTATTCATTATAATGTTCAGCAATGGTCATAATGTTTTCTGTAAATAGGAATGTTTTGGGTTTTAGGTTACAATGTCCACAATAGTTGCATGTTCAACTGTTCCATAACATTTCATATTTAGGGAATCCGGTGTCCCCATTATGTCACAGTAATCACAGGCACAGATGAATGACACATTCAAATCCTCTATCATCAAGTCAGTTTCTTCACTTAATGGGGCCATGGGGTGGCCTAGTGGATAAAGTGTTTGCTCGTCATGCCGAAGACCCGGGTTCGAATCCCAGGTACAATGTTCCAGTAATCCAGTCCCCCATGTTGGAAATGTTATGTTTGTAAGAGTTAGCAGTCATGTTCCTACTGGAAATATCCAAGGATGCTATTGGCTAAAACTGAAGGTCAAGAGGTGCAGATCGGCAACATTTCATTGGCTACAGATATAAAGTTTTCTCTCTTAAATTTGCTCTTCATGTGACACATATTTTGTTTGTTGGAAGTGATGGCGTTAAATCGGAAGTTCAGAAAGCATCTCACATTAGTAGCTAGAGGCTTTGTGACTTTAAAGTATAACTAAATTTCCCAAAGTGGAAGTGTAGTCATTCAACTAGGAGAGTGCATTGCTTTCTTGTAATGGTTGCTGCAGGACTTTCTGGTTGAAGAATCTTTGAAAATTTGGCATGGATCCTTATAAAAAATAGTGTGATGTCTGAGAAATAACTGGAAGTTATCATGTGAATACAGAGAGAGAAATGGGACTTTCAGGATTTAGGTTGTTTTTTTGTTCTGACTGAAGTTGCTGTCATGAGTTAAGATTCTGATTATGTTAGATAGTGGTGTGTAAGTCTTGGTTTGCTGAATATTTCCTAAAACAGTTCTCTACAAACTTTGACGGACTGACAGACGGATGGCCTCGTGAATTTTTATCTTGCCCTAACATCCGACTTGGCCCATACATCCTGTCCCCGAGGCCCCGGGTGAGGGGCACCTGTCAACCACAGTGTCACACACGAGGGTGACTCAGTCCACACTGAAACAGTGATGAATACTTATGGGATATCTATCATCACCATTAGAACAGATTCAATGTCAGTCTACACAGCTGGTCACTTAAGGACCTCAGAGCACATAAATATTGTGTATTCAGTAAAGAAGACCCATTCTCATCTCCTGCTCTTCATGCTTCTAATCATCTCCTTTTCAGCTCTTGAAGTGTACTTTATGTTCTACATAACTTTTTTTTATGGCCTGTGTGTTACTCTGTCCATGCAAATGTTAATTTTGGGAATACAACTGAAATGAACATATTTGGCATGTAATTTAAAAAGAGAATGGATCATTGGTTATAATCAATGACTGATAGGTTGGAACAAACTCATTGATTGATCAGAAAAGTATGAAACCCCATCAAATGACCAAAGGTGCATAGTGTCTATCAAAGAATGGTAAAAATTTGAATTAAAAATTTCCCAATTCCCTATAAAACAACCCAAAAAATGGCAAAATTAAAAAGATCCATTTCAGAAAACTATTGCTATGTTTTCCAAGTTTTTGACAATAAGCTCTTATTTGGGGATCCTGGATAAGACCCTGTCCGTACTTTTTCAGTATACATTGTAACAGTATATATGTTAACTAATGCTTCTCTCCCAGCGCTTACACATGTGTGTGCTTATCCCTTTGTGTGTACCATTGCTTGATTGCAGCCTGTAAGTATAACCGGGGCCCTTGGAGCCAGTGTGATCCAGTTACTAACAAGATGCAGCGCACGATGACCCTTAAACGAGGCGACCGAGATGCATGTGATCCAATCAAAAAGGTGACCAGACAGTGTCGTCGTAGAGCAGCTTTGACTGCTGCTAGAATACACACGAGTAAGTAATATCAGGAAACTCGACACCTTATTTCCAAGGGATTGAATAGACCCCCTGAAGCCTTGTCGACAGACTCAAATGAGTGAGTGAGTATGGTTTTATGCCGCTTTTAGCATTCCAGCACTATCATAGTGGGGACACCAGAAATGGGCTTCACACATTGTACCCATGTGGCGAATTGAACCCGGGTCGTCCGAGCTGACGCTTTAACCTGTAGTCTACCCCACAGACAAAAATGGGGATTGGGTGGTATGAATGAGACCTTGGTGATAATGTAACATACTACACAGACTGTGGATCATAAGTCATGAAGTCAGCCATTGGTGTAAACTGACCACACTAAGGCCATATTACATCGATCAAGTGCCATGGTGTATATTCTTTTTAGACACCCTTTGCCTCTGACATTTAATCGCAAAGATAATAATTGGGAAATATCTGTTAAATATAAACCTCCTGCTATTCAATTGATAAAAGAAAGTATATGATGATTTGGCTGTAATATTGCTTGCATGCTACTGTCAGTTTCCACCGAGTTCCATAGCTCCTAAAGATTTCAATCTTTGTGAAATATTTTGATCACAAATAAAGTTGTAGCATTTCCTGAACTTGTTATGACAATCGTCCCTAGTACATGGTACTAATCTGTATGGGGAATGTGGGGTAGCCGAATGGTTAAAGTGTCTGCTCCTCATGCCGAAGACCCGGGTTCGATTCCCCACATGGGTACAATGTGTGAAGCCCATTTCTGCTGCCTCCAGCTATGATATAATTCAGGAATATTTCTAAAAGTAGTATAAAACTAAAAACTCACTCATTCACTTAATTCACACTAACCTTCATGTGATGAAAATGTTTGATATTCCCAATGACAAGGTTGATAATGCGGTTCAAGCTGTGAGCATGATGTATGTATGGGTTAATATGTTTATAACATGATCCACCTAATTTGCATGTTAGTGTAAAGTAACATATTTGTGCTCATTGTATATGAATTAATTGGTTCTGATGATGCCAGGAGGATATGGAGTTGTCTCCCTTACTTTAACAGCCACAGTTGTGTATTAATGAGTTTTCTTGACACTTTGCTTCAGTTCTCATTACATTGTACTATGTAGGATTGAAAGGGTTAATGTGATTAGGACTGTAGCAAGGACTGGTATTTTGTAAATTTTAGTGAATGAACTTAAGCAATTACTGCTGTAATGTGGAATGCAATGGTATGACTATATACTAGTCATATATGGTGGCTTAAAGTGTGGAAGATCTGTTTTGGATTTGGATAGATATGAACAAACAGCTTGATTGGGTCTGTGTTTTAACGTAAATAGTATCGTGCCATAGTTAAAGAGTCCGGGTAAGAAATCAGCCAATGGTCAACCTGCGTCGAGAAGCCATTTTGAAAGGTTGCACTATTCACAGGAGGGTGTGCGGACATAAACATTCACAGGAGATACTGCCACTGACTACAAGTAAACATACAAACTTTACTTTATAACATAATCTTTTCTCTACCCACCTCTCCTCTTTTGTTTATCTCAGAGTGTGTGCGTTTTTAATTTTCAGAATGTAAGTATGAGTTTGCAGACTGGCAGCAGTGTGACCTACGAACCAACACGATGACACGGATAATGAATCTAGTCCAGGGGGACCCAGAAAAATGTGCTCCAACAAAAGAATTGAAACGCAAATGTAGGAAACGTAAGTATACTTCAGTTATTTGAGCGATTTACCTGGCAGTTACCCAGGTTCAAGTGCTGGCATGGATGCTAAATGGAAAGTACACGTGAAGATCCGGGTTAGAATTGGCCTTCAGCCACACATGCCTGTCATAAAAGGCAACTAACGGGATCGGGTGGCCAGACTCGCTGACTTGACTGACACAGTGGCCAAACTTGCTGACTTGGTTGACACATGTCATTGTATCCCGATTGCGTAGGTCGATGCTCTTGATGTTGATCACTGGTTTATCTGGTCCAGACTCGATCAATTACAGACTGCCGCTATGTAGCTGGAATAGTGCTGAGTGCGGCTTTGAGCAACCAACCAACCAACCAACAAGACGGAAAGTACAAGTTAGGTGTTACATATCTTTATATTACTTTGTGGAACCCTATGCTCTCACATCCCTCTTTCGGGTACGTAAGTCCCAAATCATTTCAAGTCAGTTTAAGTGTACCAGGTTTTTAATGGTAGTATATTTGTGTTTTTAATGTATGGCTAAATCTCAGCATCAACGTCAATGGCTGAAGGGATGGTGTAAATCCAGCTAGGGTCCATGCAGGTAGCAAAAGTAATGTAAGTCCCCATGGGCCTTAGTATGGTGATCTACGTTCAGTTGTTGGCTCTCTATAGCCCGTATTTTATATTGTATTGTCTTCTTTAATTGGAATATTTTAACTTTGCGCTAGTTTTATATTTATAACTGTGATTCTCTAGTCTTTTTACAGTCCATCGTCGACAGGTTTTAATCTTTAAAATGTTTCAACTTTTCATTGTATGGCTTGTTTTCGTCACGATATGGCTGCAATATTGCCGATGTGACGTTAAATCTTAACTCACTCACTCACATCCCTCTTTCAGCATGCAAGTTCCGTAAAGGGAGCTGGTCTGCCTGTCACCCCACAACACATCTTATGACAAGAATGGATACTTTAATCAAGGGAGATAAAAAGTTCTGTTCAAACAAACGACAGATCACTAAGAAATGTAAAAAAGGAAAGAGAAGTAAGTGTGTATGATTATCTTTGCCATATTCTCTTTACAGGGCTCCAGATAAACTGTGGATATATGCAAAATACACAAAGTAAATCATAGCAACTCAATTAATTTTAGTTATTGCATGCAAACATAAGAAAATTTAAATAAATAAAATAATGTAAAAACGTTCACGGTAATTACCAGCTGGTGTACCTATACATGTGTATAGATGTGTTAAATGATTGAATGTATATATGCGACACTGGCGCAGAACTGATGGAATCAGAGAAAGAAAATATTTTTATCCCCCCGGCATGTAATGCGGGGTGATATAGTCGACGCCTCGTTCATAATCATTTTGTTTCCAGAGCATAACTAAAAAAAAGTTAAATATTTTTCAACAAAACTTGGTAGATATATCAAACAGAACCTTAAGTGGTGCCTTTTGCTATTTGCACAGATTTTGGGCATTTTTAATTTTCCCAGTTTCCATGGAAACGATTCTGACTTAGTCCCAAAAGGGAGGGGTGGGCTTCGTTTCCGGAGCATAACTCAAGAACTGTTCAATATTTTTCAACAAAACTTGGTAGATATATCAAACAGAACCTTAAGTGGTGACTTTTGCTGTGCACAGAATTTTGGCATTTTTATTTTTCCCGGTTTCCATGGAAACGATTCGGACTTAATCCCAAAAGGGAGGGGTGGGCTTCGTTTCCGGAGCATAACTCAAGAACTGTTCAATATTTTTCAACAAAACTTGGTAGATATATCAAACAGAACCTTAAGTGGTGCCTTTTGCTATTTGCAGATTTTGGGCATTTTTATTTTTTTCATGGAAACGATTGATTTTCATGGAAGGGAGGGTGATTCAGACTTAGTCTCAGCAAAGGGCCCAGTGTGCCTTTTGCTATTTGGTTTTGGTCTTTTTTATTTTTCCTGATTTCCATGGAAACACAACTCTCAAAAGTGTAGGTTTCTTCTTAATATCTTTCAGTAAAACTTGGCAGATATGTCAGGCAGATCCTGAAGTGGTGCCTTTTGCTATTTGCAGATTTTTGTCATTTAATTTTTTCATGATTGCCATGGAACGATTTGCACGTAGTCTAAAATCAAGCTGGACTTTAAGTAACTGTAAGATGATTTGTTCTTTCAAAGATGTGGAGGCCGGGGGGATATGTCATCTTCTGATGACTCTTGTTCGAAAATCGATCGAAAGAAGGATTAAAAATGAATATCGATTGTAAAAAAAAATGTTTTTGATTAATCAGAATTTTGTTGTTTTTGTATAACACCCTTGAATTAAGTATACTAAGCATTTAATTTGATGAATATTCACGAACAAGCATGCGTTCAACAGCGTAAAGCTATGCGCATTGTAAAATTTTAACCACTTTTATTGTTTAATTACAATTCCAGTGTCTTACTTGCATGCGTGCATTTCATTGCATGACAGTATTAGTTATAAAAAACCCATTAATTAGCAAAAACCTGGGGAAAACCCCTTAGAATTGATGATTACATTAAAACTGTATATATTTCGATTATAATCAATAATCGTTCACCACAAGTCCTCTGATAATCGATAGTTGATTTGGTTTCCGATTCCCAACACTAGTTCCTTTGGACGCGCTAATATATTTTGTTGAGTCCATTGTCAATTTTTATGCGTATAGGATGCAGGAATTCGCGTCCTGTAAATCCCTGTTGAGATATTAGAGCGTATTAGATGACTGGTGAGTATTGGTTTCTGTGTTGTAGAATGCCAGTATGATATAGGCGAGTGGAGTGACTGCAATACCACCACCAACAAGAGAACCCGTGTGAAAAAGCTGAAAAAAGGCGACTTGAAAGTGTGTAAACCTGAGATAGCCATGACCAAGTCATGTAGCAGACCAAATGGAAAAGGTAAGTCGTGATAAGGGTTGGGGCCCGTTCACCAAAGTGAGCTACAATTCTTGTAAGTGTATATTATAAAATACTGTAAACATATTATATATCGTGCAGGTTTTATTTTCTCGCTTTTCGCGCAAAATATTTTACTGCAAAAATTTTATACACAGCGAATAAACCTTTCAAAATCCTATTGCCGAATTAGCGAAAACAGCAATGTGTGTTGTGGCCGCCATTGAAATTGGTCACATGTTCTATTTTCTGTTTTTACCAATCGTAGTGACACTTCCTAAGTACTTAATACTAAACGTATTACTGTATATATCATGCAGGCAGGTAAGCAATACATGCCGCCTGACAGGTTAAGCCACTCTGGTTGTTTTCATTACTATTAGTGGTGGGCTAAGAGACAGCTGGCAGTTCCGGCACTTTATGATTGCGCGAATAATTGACCCCTCGATGTAGTCTAAACTGTCAATTCCGCGAAATTTGCACCAAGCGAAAAAGTATGTTTACAGTATGTAAGTTATGTTCACCAGAGAGCTAAATCTGATGCCTTAACATGGCCTTATCACAGCTGTACCACTAAGGTTGCTTCATACAACTGCACACACCGAAGACCCGGGTTCGAATCCCCACATGGGTACAATGCGTGAAGCCCATTTCTGGTGTCCCCCGCCGTGATGTTGCTGGAATATTGCTAAAAGCGGCGTAAAACCAAACTCAGTCAGTCAGTCAGTCAGTCAGTCATACAACTGCATCATGATCCCTGGCTCGAAAGATTGACTAATTTTTCTGTATCAACCCAACCGCATCAATTCTTTCTGTTGCAAGTCCCAAGTACAATTATTAGTTAACCGTTTTAGTCATTTAGTCATTACAATGCGAAATATAGTTGAGTTTTACTGCTGTGTTTGATCTCCTCACTCAGTAAGTTTAAATTAAACTAGAAGTCCGTCTTTTATGAGCATCTGATATCTCAAATACTTCTATTGCTGTTATTGGTAAAGGCCCCCACAAGAAGGTGAATACTGACATGGAATTATTTGTTATGGTTTTATGTTTGTATTCATACCATTTATACAAATTACATTCCATACAGACCTTTTTGCATCCCCCCTCCCCTCACTAGCAGATCAAATAATGAAAATGCTGTGTACTGTGAAATTCATTGTTACAGATGTATTTTCAATCAGGAAGTGTGTATTTAAACAATTGATAAAATGTTCACTGTACTTTTACAATCTTTTTGAAGTACATTAAATGTTGCTTTTAATTCCAGAGCGATGCTTCTTTGGAAAATGGGGAGAATATCTTCCATGTATGAACGGTGTGATGACAAAAACAAGGGAGCTAATCCAGGGTGGAACTGAGTGTGAAAGGAAGGCTGTGAAAACCAAGGCTTGCAGTTGAGCCACTTTGTAAAAGCCCTAGTGGCCTGGACATTTGCCAAAGACTTGACTGTATTATCTCCCTTTGAATGCTCAGCTTTGCTATAGCTGCTCAACCAATAGGCTTTCACCTTTGCATTCCTCTACATCTGCATAATGTAAGTACAAGGGAATAAGAAAGAAATATTGACCTTACAATGTGATACAGGAATCTTTGTATGCTGCTTTACTGACCGATCTTGTCAGTAGGATAATCTTGACTTCAAACATATTAAAGAGTAACATATTATATTTTCCTTATCAATATCATATTTCTCTGTGCAAAAAGGCTGTCCAGTCAACTAGTTCATTCTGTATTTCATGGATGGCAAGTGAACCAAAACTTTTCCAACAAATTAATTCTGAAATAATAAGGTTCTTTCCTAAGTTACAGTCAGAACTAACTTAGAAGAAAACTTGCTCGTCAATGGCATTGGCTCATTCTGCACGTGCATAGTAAGAAGAATATGGTTTGCACTAAATAAGCAACAACTAAGTCTCAGATGCCAATAGCTTTTATAGATTAAATATATGCTGGGAGCAGGGTAAATGAAATGTTAGAAGTCACTGTTTGTATTCAAGATATTAACTTTCTTTATCAAATTTGTGAGTAAATGTTATCCTCCTTCAGGATATTTTCAAACAACTCTTACGTCGGGAGTTTCAGTTTGTTTAGCAGTTGCTCCTTCGCACATTTTAGGTTTCACTGATGTCAAACTGGTCATTGTTTCACCTTATGACACCATATAGTTATCAGGCCATAGGAAATTAATTATGTGAGCTTTTTCACCCCATTGGCCATTTCCTGTAGGATGGCATATTTTGTAAAGACATGATCAGCTATAAAACAAGAAATATTTCCTGTCCATCTCAGATGAAATTAATTGATTTGTTGTGACTGGGTTCCATTGCTTCCTTCAAGATTTTTGTTGTTTTGTGAATGAATGTTTTCTAGTCATCCATAATGGTTTCAGCCTGGTGCTTTGTCCATAACAGCATTATCTGTGAGCTGCAGCCTCCAATGTCAATTATACACGATTAGATTTATTGCATACAATATTAATGGTAATTTTAGATCAAGTGTATTCATTTCTAGCAGAGACCATATACTGATATATGGTCTCAGTTTCTAGTTTAGATATGGATATTATTTGTTATATAACCTGTTTGTATTGAGATATTCTGCTTATCCTTTAGCTGTTAATGCTTCAGTTACATTGTTGAACATTTATCTAAATGTTTCCATTTCATGTCCATTTAAGCCACTGACTGTCATAATATGTGTGTATATTGGCATGCACGTTGATAATAATTGACAATGTTGACCTACAGAATAAATTAATGCTGCATGTTATAGTATATACACTTAATGTGATGTATTTGGACAAAGCTCTCTTCAAGATTGTTTTCCAAATGTACATGGCAATACTAGTTTAATGTAATCTTGTGCTCAAGGTATTTTACATCAATTGTAAGTCCTTTTGCTGAAATGTCCCATACAGTGTTAAAAGCATACGTGATATATAATGTCAGTGATTCCTATCTATGTGAACCAGATTTTGCCTTTGTAATCTTGCTGGGTAACTTTGTTGTTGTTGTTTGACCAACAGCAAATACTGACAACGACTTAGCATCTTTCTAAAATGTATAGACTGCTTATTGCACCAAACATCATTTTCTCCAGGAATCAAGGTGTGTTTGTTCTTACTGTGGGATCATTTTCTCCACAACCTGTTTGTTGTTGGAAACAAAGCAGGAAATGATCTAGAAGTCATATTTTGTGTGTTTTCATAGTGTCCATATTTTTTACATCTCCCAAGGGTTTTAATTTGTGTTAACACAGTTACCATATTGTGTCAGTTATGAAACTATTTCACAGCATGGCTATTTCCCTGAATTGCACGTTTGTTGATACAAATTGCATTTCTTTTCAAAAGACAAATTCCATAAAATATCTTTGTTAGATGATATTTGTAGTGAGGGATTTGTACCTCTTTCCCTGTATTTATATTGTGTATTAGTATTTTGATTTGTGTTTATCCGCATCATGGTTTTCTACTTACTGGACACTTTACTTAAGTTTAATTGGTATTAATGCTTGAAATGTTTATTGTTCATGGTAAACAACGATTCTCATTTTGAATTTAAGCTGACAAATATTTGGAATATTTTTGTTTGATTAAATTTATGGTGCTAGTTTGTTTGGTGTAAGTGAATGCTTTTTCTTAGATGAATTGTTCCTGTTGGATCAAACTATTTGGTTAACGATAAGAAAGATGCTGGGCATTGAACGAATCTTGTTTTAGCTTTTAGTGTATTTTGTGCTTTTATTACTTACCAGACAAACTTTCTGGAAAGACATATTAGGTATGTGTATTTTAATAATATGTTAGCCATCATGACAATAGCGTGTTCTGTTCGCCTATGTTCTGACTGAATAAGGTTTTATGCCACTTTTAGCAATATTCAAGCAATATCACGGCTGGGGACACCATAAATGGGCTTCACACATTGTACCCATGTGGGAAATCGAACTCAGATCTTTGGCATGATGAGTGAATGCTTTAACCTCTAGACCACCCCATCGCCCTATATTGAAAAGCCTTTCAAGATCGTTCTGGGGTAAAGGCTTGTTCTAGGTCACAGACAGCTCTGATTAGCTAATGAATTAACTATCAATGTAATTAACTTAAACTCTGTATATTAACTCTAAAACCTTTTATGAAAATAAGTAACATTTGCCACCAAATTTTGGTTGTGACTTCCAATGATATTGGTATTATCTATAAAAGTAGTCATGAGTCAGTGTGCAGCAAAAAGATTTATTCCCGCCTGTTCTTTGTTATTGTATCTTCCAGTATAGCACACTGCATGGTGCAGTAAGAACATCAATTGTTACTGGAGGTCAGAAAAGTTAGGTCCTGACTGTAAGCCATGTTATAAATGTATATATCCCCATGGTCACAAATTTACCATAGGCATTACAGAGTGATATACACTGTTAAGACGGTTCAAGGTTATCTTTTTGTCAGATTTTAATCTGTTCGTGACATTCAACTTGAAACCACGAAACGACAATCATACATCAGTCAAAGGTTTTAAAGTATATATTTATACTATATATATACATACTGAGAATTTTATAGAACTTGTCTTCCATTGGTTCTTTTTTGTAGCTCAATTTTCTGATTTACAGACATAGCATTATAATTGTTAATAGATATGTGATGAGAGTACTTTGTTCAGAGATATGTTTCATAATAGATTGTTCCGTTTAGAGTGTACCCTAGGGTTTTTAATTATTAGTTTTAATTGGAACATAATGTTTACATTTAAAATAAAGTGTTATAGTTAAGAATATGTATGGTGTTGTTTTTAAGAATGTATTTTTTCAATGAAGGAGGTACCTGTAATAATGAGTGAGTGAGACTTTAACTGTGCTTTTTGAGTTTCAGTTATGTCATGGTGTTAGCAATTGATGATCAGGGTACTGTTGTACAATATGATCTTAGGGGTACTGTAACTCCCATACCTTAACATAGACTTAAGGTAGTCTTAGGGCTAAGGTTGTTTGTACAACAGCACCCAGAGAGCCATTGCAGACTTAGGGACGGTTCATAATTTATGGCTAGGGGGGGGTGATGATGATTTTTATGGAGAAACATGTACAATGTGAATGGCCCCCCCACTAAAATTTATATACAAAATAAGTGCCCCCCTCCCCTTCCCATAATATGTAAGCATCACATATGTTTATATGTGATCCCCCTAGTATTTACAAAATTGATAACCCACCCCACCCACCCAGAACAAAATGGGTGACCCCCTTACAACCATCATCACCCCCCTAGCCATAAATTATGAACGGTCCCTTTTATCATGTTCATAGGTTGTTGTGGTTGGAACAGTGTGGGTGTGGGCATAGTGATCCCAGGAAGTATCAAGGGAATTGTATGAATGAAAAGAATATTTCTGTTTATTCTGGACCTGGGATGCACCAAAGTGCACTACACCTGTTTCCAATAGAGAACATCATGGAAGCAGATGCAGACCAGAGCAACCAGGAGCTTTGTGAGTGCATGATGTACTTGTGATGTTGAGGGCAGGGATTTGAGAGGGAGGTCTCGGGAAAGACTTGTGTGGCATTATCCGGAGTACTACAGCTGTACATCTTTACCTCACCTGACTTGCACAACTTGAAGGTCAGGACGTTTGTGGGATAGGCAGGAAACATGAACCAGTGTTATGTGACAAACAGGAGATTGGGTATATAATATCTCGTTACCTCCTTTGCAGGGATACTATACCTGTTTGAAGTTTTCACCAGAAGGGTGAATTACTCTGTCAAACTGATGGACATGTAAATAAATACTGTTACGTACCCCAGTAAGTAAGTAGCTAGGGAAATAACAAGATATACACCTAAGGGAAATAACAAGATATACACCTAGAAAGTTGTCATGAAAAGGGGACAAAATCACCAATCAGTCGAGTATATTTTTTCGTAATTCAGGCCACACGGTCCCCAAGACAGTTGGAAAACTGTTCATCACCTGATTAAGTAGCGTGCATACACTCCAAAACGTGTTATTCACAATAAAGAAGTTGACATCCATAAATGATGCTTTTATTGTTCATGTCCGAATTGTTACATTTTTAATTTGCGTTACTATAATGCTGTCCAACATGAAACATCTTTTGTATCACATGAGCTGGAACAACGTTTCAAATGTCATTAATCTTTGTAATATAATGAGGCAAGACAACCTTCTAAAAAACATTTCTCGCATACCACTACCGTATGGAGGTCATAGTATTTATATATGAAAATTTTACCAGAACTTTATGAGTTTTTACCAATTATGTTTACTTGAAAGTTACCCGTGAAGATCCGGGTTAGAATTGATCTTCACCAACCCATGCTTGTCGTAAGAGACGACTAACGGGATAGCGTGGTTAGGCTCGCCGACTTGGTTGACACATGTCATCGTATCCCAATTGCGTGGACCGATGCTCATGCTGTTGATCACTGTCTGGTCCAGACTTGATTATTTACAGACCGCCGACATATAGCTGGAGTATAGTCCGGCGTAAAACTGAACTCGCTCACTCACAACTTGAAAGTTACGAAGAGATGTTCGAAATTGCATATTGCTTTTTGTTTCTCTAGTACAGTACTGAACAGTTCACTTTCTGAAAAGATTGTGTACTAACAGTGTACCCAAAAGCCGGAAATAGATACTTCTTTTTAAATCAGGTGAAAAACATGTTCGTATTTCCATTACCTTGGTATAATTAAACCCACGCACTCTTATCATGCTTATTACAGTTTGATCTAAATTGTCGCCATATCTGATTTTAATGAGATTGAAAAACGACACTTAATTAAAATATCGTTTTCATTTAATAGTGCAAGCAAACCTTAACACTGTTCGGTGAAACGACTGATATTTATTCTCAAAATCTTCATCCAGTATTTAATGACTAATAAACGTACAATGACAGCCAGTTTCACCAAACAAAACCTTTGTTAGTTGAAAACTTATCACCTTAAAAACGTTAACATTAGAAAGTTTCTGCCGGTGCAATTTATTACTAGTTTTATCCCACACAGTTCGGGGCGACACGTCAGTTTTGGATGGATTTAGTCTGAGATTTTATATCAGTTGCAAAATCATTATATCTGTAAATACCGACAACTGGAAAAATGAGGCTATTTCCTCGCATGCTTTGAATCATTTACCTGGGGGCAAACAGCTCCAACGCATTTACAATAATAAATATATGTAAACTTTCAGCTTTTTTTACACTGACCATGACATTCCATGATTGAGACTCATGTAATAATCTGCTCCGGGAATCTAATTTAGTGTTGTAAATCTTGATAAATAAATAAAATATTGAAATGCCCATTTTGAGCCATGTATGTTTTACATGTCCTGATGGTTTTGTAAGCCCCGAGCCAACTACGAGGAAACAACATTATGTAATCGGCAAATGGAAGATGAAATCAATATTTGGAGTGTACTACATGATCGCAGGGAGCGAGCGTGTCTTGCACAAGCTTATTAATGACAAGAATATGAACATGGTTCAAACGTAGCCTCGTGTTAACCCACATGGTGTCTTAAAAAATGAACAATTCGCAGGGATGGATTTTCATGTCAAATTTAACCGTAAAAAAAGTAAATATATGATTACATTTCTGAAAAATTAAGACGCTTTTTCTGAAATCAATGAACACGCACATAACGCTTCTCTTAACTTAGGCTTGCGATGTATCTTGTACACGACCCCTGTAAATTACAATATGACCAATACTAGAGATACTGTACAAACAAACCTGCCTAAGGTTCTTAAATGTATGCTTTAAGATTATATGAAACAACTCTAGCACAGCATATATTGTCGCTGGCCTTTCGATGAAGGATGAAGAAGTAAGTGTATGCTCAGAAACGTGTTCCTCATGATAAAGACTTTGACATTGATATTTTCTCTCTCTTGTGTGTATCGAGTTTAAATGTCACTCGAAGGCTGGCATTTATAGTCGGAATATTGAAGTCAGTGCTTGAAATCACTCAATGTTATGAAAAGAAAACGTATTCCCGGAGCAGGTTATCAAAATGAATCCCAGACCAACCTCCACAGTATCAAAAGGTCCAGCCCTCAGCAGGTATACTTACCTGTACTCCAGCACCTGCAGAATACAAGAGAAGATGAGTGCACGTTATATGTTCTTCATTGTTCTTAATACAGAATGCCAATTTAAATATGGTGTTCCCTGGTTACAACTGGTCCTCAGTGAGTGAGTGGGTGGGTGGGGGAGTGAGTGAGTGAAATAAAACAGCTTGAATGTATTCGTATTGCCGCCAGTATTCATAATATTTTACATTAAGATATAGAGCTGGATGTTGTATTCTTATGTGAATCAGGTATATAGTATGACCAGAAATTATTGAGAATTTTAGGAATATGTTTAAATGGATTTCTAGTATAAACAACCTTGACCAACTATCAAGTGCTTGGTTTCTTTCAAGAGAGACAACTACGTTAATCCTTTTTCATTAGTTTGTGAAGAGTTATCCCCCTTTGTTTACTTGCTAGCAGACGACATTTTCAGTGATCCTCAGTATGGATGATTTAGAGAAGAGGAAGTTGATTTTAGAGTATTATAACAAGGACATCAGATCAGCTAAAGTGATTTCAAGTAGAACAGGCATCCCTTTGTCCACTGTTTATCGTATTTTGAAAAATATTGCAAATGGATATGGCATTGAGCACCAGGGAGGCGCAGATAGGCCCAGAAAATTGACTGTCGTGACAGGAGGCGGCTTGGTATTCTTGTTTCTATAAACAAACGAAGGGGTTGAGAGTGAGTGAGTGAGTTTAGTTTTACGCCGCACTCAGCAATATCCCAGCTATATGGCGGCGGTCTGTAAATAATCGAGTCTGGACCAGACAATCCAATGATCAACAGCATGAGCATCGATCTGCGCAATTGGGAACCGATGACAAGTGTCAACCAAGTCAGCGAAACTGACCACCCGATCCCGTTAGTCGCCTCTTACGACAAGCATAGTCGCCTTTTTTGGCAAGCACATAGGTTGCTGAAGACCTATTCTACCCCGGATCTTCGCGGGTCGAAGGAGTTTAGAATACTTAAGGCTGGATATGATTGACAGAGGAACTGTGGATGTCTGTAAGGAGACAATTAGAACTGAGCTGCATGCAATGGGTTGGCAGAAAAGTCGAGGAATTCCATCACCGATCATGAAACCTGAACAAAAGCAGCGAAGGTTGAACTGGTGCTTACAGCATAGAAATTTTAACTGGGACAATGTGATTTTCTCAGATGGAAGTTCTGTGTGGCTGTTTCCTAATACACTGAAATTCTGGACCAAACAAACTGAAAAACCTTTGTATCAGCACCCAAAGTACAGTCCGAAAGTTAACGTGTGGGGTGGCATATCTGTGTTAGGGGCAACGCCCCTCTGTGTATTTGAAGGGAATATGAACAGTGAGCGGTACACAGATATTCTCGAGGGACATTTACTTCCATCTGCTCACGTGTTCTATGGAAATTTTTGGATTTTCCAGCAGGACAACGACCCAAAACATCGTTCAAAGCATTCACAGGCCTGGTTTCGGACCCAAAATATGACATTATTAGATTGGCCCAGCTATAGCCCTGACCTAAATCCAATAGAAAATGTTTGTGGACTTATGAAGGAAGGTGTCAATAAGAAAAATCTGACAAATATTGCTGAAATGAAAGAAGAGGTGGTCCGATATTGGGACAGCATGGACCACGACTTTCTAACTTCTTTGATCAGTAGTATGTCCCCTACATTGAAGCCGCATTGCTGAAGCCTGCATTGCTGCCCATGGTTCTGGCATATAATGAGTGAACTAACTGTTCACCTGTCTTTATGTTAACGTACTACATATGAATCTTCTCTCCGGGATCAGCTGTAATCCATTACAACTGCCGAATCGTCTTTAAATTCTCAGCAGACAAATCGCCCCTTCAGCCTGATGTCATCCAGACGGATTTCGAAATTTCAACGCTGTGAGACCGTTTCCCCAACTGCGACGTCCGTGGATGCTATTTCCACTACAGCACATGTATATGTTAACGTACTACATATGACAATCCGCCTGTTCTCTCCGTGATCTAGTTAATCTGACATCCTTTCCAGAAATAATTATTCCCTCACAACACGCTCTGAACATTTTACTGTGACAGAGGTAAGACTAAACTGAACGGTCATAATTTCACTAAGGAAATAAGTTTCAGACACGTGTACTATAATAGATGTTTTCCTAATGATTGGTAACTTTATTTATGACTTTTTCAGTTTTTGAAATATACCGCTCAGTTAGTCTGACGTCATGAAATAATATTTGCAAACAGCACGATATTTGACAATGTGATCAAGGAAACACTGTACTTGTATACTATGAAGCTACCTGTACTGTACTGTACTGTACTACAGAGGTAAAGTCTGTAAACATAATTCTGGGAATAAAAACATGAAAAAAGAAATAAATAATATTGAAAACTGGACTCGTTTCTCGGTACATGTTCACAGAGACCATATACGGATATGGTCTCTGATGTTCATTATAATTCAAAGCTGCATGACTTTTCTCTGAAAAAACCACACTGAAAATCGATGCTGCTGACCAGGATGAGAGAACATTTGTTTATTCCATCTGAAATTACTGTTTTTATTCGCGTTTCATAGCTCGGTTGTATTACGCTTCAAGGCGTGTACACATAACATTGAGTCCAATGTTTTTTTAGCGGTAAGTATTGATGTGTGAAGAGCAAAGTTAGTTCCCTTTTGTAATACGGAAGTCGGAGGTGTAAACAAACTCTTGCGATGGTCAGATAAACAGGTGGGTTAATTGAGCAATGATCTAATGCAACATTTGCAAAAAAATGGGATGGAAACGTTTGCATTTGAATGTTTCACAATTTATCTTATAGAAAAAATTAAGAGACATTTTCAGTGTTTGTATTAAATTGGACAAAGGCGAATATACTGGCAACAGTTATATCTGGGTTCTCAAACTGGAATGAATTACGGTTTTACTGAAGTTGTCGAATCAAAAACATTCCTGATGTGTACAGAAAGACCGCTAATGTCACATAATAGGGATACAAGTCTCATAAAAAATAATGTTTTCAATTTTATTATCGACAGCTAAATGAAATAAAGATGCTCTTAAGGAATCTATGTTTTGTTGGTCCCACGTGGAAAGATTTGTTAATGGTTTAAAGATAACTCCAGAAACACCTCGGTATGACTGTATTTTATTGGTCGCAGACATATAGTGCTGATTCACTGTGTTTCCGCGCTTGTTTCTGTAAGTTCACTGATTTCCCATACCTCTTTGATTGTTAGCGTTAGATGCGTTCAGAGTTCAGCTTAGTATCCTTAGCCCTTGGATATTCTTTCCTATCAAGTATTCCTTTATAATCATTCATGTTGAGTATTCCTTTCTGATCAAGAACTCACTTGTGATTCTGTATGTTGGGCATCTCTTTACAATTGTTAGAATTCTGTGCCACTTTACCAATCTTTGATACATGTGTTTGTTTGTAGATATAAATCCAATGTAATTTGAGGAAATCCATAAGTTGGCCATAGTGCATGCACACAGAGACCATATACCGATCGGTATATGGTCTCTGATGCACATAAATGGATGCTCATTGGAAGGAACCAATGACTACATACAAGGTATATTTTTTGAAGGTCGTCAAACATGTAACATGGTGGTGCAGATTACAGGACAGAGGACTGTGTTAGTGTTACACAGTGAAAACAGGAACAAGTACAAATTAAAAACCATGAACAATATCAATAAATTAATTGAGAACTGTGCAACTGAACAAGGAAGAGCTGCACAGGCAACTTAAACCTTTAGGGTGAGTGAGTTTAGTTTTACGCCGCACTCAGCAATATTCCAGCTATTTGGCAGTGGTCTGTAAATAATTGAGTCTGGACCAGACAATCCAGTGATTAACAGCATGAGCATTGATTGCACAATTGGGAACCAATGACATGTGTCAACCAAGTCAGCGAGCCTGACCACCCGATCCCGTTAGTCGCCTTTTACGACAAGCATGGGTTACTGAAGATCAATATTGTAACCTGGACCTTCACGGGTAAAACCTTTAGGGAATGAGACAGACACACGGCAAAGCACGAGAGTTACTGAAACATACTGAAACTTATTATGGCATATGAGCAATGTTTCAGCCATTTAGCGTGTTTAGCATTTTTAGCACGCAGTACATAACAGGAAATGGAGGTAAATACGTATGCGTAATGCAAAATAATAACAACACAGAATAAACATGCTCCAGCCTAAATTATTACTGTAAAACACCAAAAGGATCCGCAACACGCAGTAGGGTTTCAAATGGTTTGATAGCAACCACTTATGAGAATACTGAACTCTGTTGGCTCTGAGGGCTGTTTGAATAAGTCTGTGGAGCTGATCACTGGTTGGCAGGTCTGGTTGGCAGGTCTAGTTGGCAGGTCTAGTTCATCTACTTTGTTTGTTTCATGTACTTTATGTGATTGTTTCAGAAACATTGCCAAACCAAGCATCCATGATGCGGGCTGGTAGCCTTATAGTAGTACTCATAGTGCTGCTAGGCAACACTGACCAGGTTGTTGGGAAAAAGAAGAACAAAAACTTGCCACTCACAGGTAAATATTCAGGATACTGCTAGCAGTAACTACACCGTGTATACATCCATCAGTGAGTAAAAGTTGGAGAAACTAGATTTTCCAAAGTAGAGACACCACAACAGGCCCCTACGTCATATTTATAGTCCTCCACACCAGCAGTTTGGTTTGTTCAGGTGACTCATTGAGTCAGTATAGTAGCAATATCCCAACAAAATCATGGAATAGGACACCAGAAATACTCTGTGCACATTGTGCCCATGTGAGGAATCAAACTCAAGTTTCAAGTGAATGCTTCAACCACTTGGCTACCCCACCACCCTGATATATTTAGGCCCCTACTAAAACATGCTGTCCAATGTTAAAAACATAGTAAGATTCGGATTAATCAACAGTTGAAATTAGCTGAATCTGCAAAATATAGTAGTGGTTCTTAGAATATTTAAAACATTTAATACCAGCAAATATTATAAATTCATTTCATAGATGTATACTATCATCATTGATCAAAGGTATCAATGACAATGGCTCTGCAGTATGAAAAACAAGTTAATCTCAAATAAGTCTTCTTGTAACTTTAAGTGATCGCACTCAAGAAATGTTTCAGCAGAAATTCACTGAAGATAGAATGTAATTGATGGATTTTTTGTTTTGCTACTTGTTTTTGTAATGAATTATGATATAATTTGACATGTGTTTCTGCCATTGACAGTTGAGAAGCACTCCAAGTGCAAGTATTATAAGAAGGGCCATGTTGGAGTATGTAGCCTTGCCACAAACACCCAGGTCAAGACGCTGGCTCTCAAGAAAGGGGGAGATAACTGTCCACAGACCAAGAACATAACAGTGTCCTGCAATACTATGAGTGAGTGAAAACACTCTGCCCTATGTAGAAATGATGAAGATACAGATTTCAGCTCCTTCATTCTCTCACCCAGTTTTCAGTGTGATGTTTTGGCTAACTTACCATGTATTGTTTGCGTTTGAGGTCGTGAGGTTTCAACTTACATTATATACCATATATTGCTTTTGTTTTACTGTAGTGAGGCTTCTCTGTATAACTGTCGTCCTATGGTTGTGTGTAGAATGCAAGTACCGGTTTGCGGGCTGGGGGTCATGTAACAAGGCTGACAACACCCGTGTAAAGTTGTTCAAACTCCGAGACGGACAGCCAGAAACTTGCCCAACAGAGAAAAGGAAGTTTCGTCAATGTAAAACAAGCTCTAAAAAGAAAGGTTTGTGTTTTTGTTTTCTCCTCTTTCACTTAGTTAACAGTGTGTTATATTAGAGCAGAATTAGCTACAAACAATCTGCCCATCAATCAGGGTGGTATACATGTTCATTACAAAGAAACTGAAAGCCTTTCACTTTATTATGACATTGTCCTTTAACATCAGGTCAGGTTTGTTAATGCTTTCAAGGCTAATGTCTCATAATGTGAGATGAGATAAGTTAAAAATTTTAAACTTAAATTGTATATTTATAAATTATAATATTGTATTTGAGATGAAAGTTGATATCACCACTTCTCACATTTTTTAAAGTAAGGTGAAATTGGTTTTGTTGGCTGTATTTAACATTATTTAATTTTAAACAAACACGTCTTGCATGTCTTTGTAAATCAGTGAATTCATGTTCAAATATTTTGCATGTCAGACTGTGTTTATCAAAATAATGTAGTTGTAAAAATGTTGTCGTTGAATCATTGTTCTTTCTGTTTTGAATTCTATAACTGATAACTGAAACATGATTTCTATAACTGCATGGAAAGTAACCTGTTCCCAGTGACACTATTAATAGCTGTTGTCGTGTTTTTATTACTTGCAGTGGACTGTAGGTACAAGAAAGGTCATTGGTCCAAGTGTGACCCTTTGACACTTATCAAGACAAGGTCCTTGACCCTGAAGAAAGGGGACAGATCTGAATGTCAGAATGTGAAAACAGTGATGAAGAAATGCTTATCAAAAAACAAGTTAGGCGCTAAATCTAATGGTTTGCCTATTTCAGGTAGGTTACAATTCAGAGGTTAAGACTTCATCCATTTTGCAGTGTCTCTGTCTTTCTATTCTGTTTTCTAAGATGCCTAGCGGTTAGAACAATCGAAAAAACAAACATTATCAGACAATAAAGGTATAATTTTTTGATGACGTAACAATTGAATGACGTTATCCTTTCACTGCCCCATTCTAATGTGCCCCCTCGTGATCGAACCATTTTACATTACGTCACAATGTGAGCGACGTCACGATGCATGTCAGTTGTCATACGCCGTCGTACGGCCTCCTACAGTAAACTACTCTGTTGCACCCTGTTTCTTGGTTTGCAGTTGCTTCATGCAGCTAACATCACTGGTGGAAACATTATATTTATGTTTTACGACGGTTAAAATGTGTCAATTCGACTCACAAGTTTTCAGCGACACGGTAACGTTGGCAATGTTTACATTCCCACAATGCAATCGTGGAATGTCGCTTGTTTACTCAGCTTCATCTGGATGTACTGATTTAAACTTACGTTGGTAGTAGAAATGCGACATTCATATTGCCCCATATGGTTGACATTAATGACAGATGTAATTAAAATAATTCAGAGAAGATATTTATTCCGAATGTAAACCGTCATCAAACTGTTATCATTTGTTTGTTTCTGGTAACGTTCGTCTTAACGTAGGGGGCAGACACATCAATTGAACAGCGCGTCAGTTAGCCCGGTGTGAGGATTCTTAATTTAGGTCACCGACATCGTTGTTTGTTTTCTGCCTTAAATTAATCATAATTGTCCTTAGAAAGTATTAAATTTGGCATCTTAGAAAAGAACTAACCCTGAACTATACTCCTCACAAAAAATTAAGCAACAAGTGTATTTTTGGTCAGTACATATGCCTTTACTCATGATCATTACAACTGAATCAAACATAACAAAGATAAAGCATATCCACACACTTTTCCAACAAAGAAATCAAAATTCATTGAACAATAACTGACTTGCAAATCATCAAAAACAGTGTCACTGAAAAAGCCGTGCAAAATGTGTTGCATCAGGGTATGAAAATGTCTGAAAACACTTTTACTGTCAGTTTTGAGCACTGATCCAAAGTTTAATAACGTGTATGGCCACCATTGACCTGAATACACGCTTCAAGGCGTCTAGGCATTGACCAGATGAGTCTGTCTAGAGTCTGTTGTGGAATGTTCTGCCATTCTCTCCGCAATGCCTGTTCAAGCTGATCCAGAGTCTGAGGATCGAACGTGGAGGCCGTACACACGCCTTCGAGGATGTCCCAAGCATGTTCAATAGGATTCAGGTCAGGAGACCTTGCAGGCCAGTCCATATGGGTGATGTTGTTGGTCTGAAGAACATCAGTGACAACTCTTGCTCGATGTGGACGGGCATTGTCATCCATGAAGATGAAGTTAGGACCTGCTTGCTGAGCCCACGGAATGATCACAGGTGTGACAATTTCGCCTCGGGTACCTCACACCTGTCATGGTACCTCGTCTGATGACCACAAGATCAGTTCGTCAGTCCAACTTGGATTCCTGCCCAGATCATCAAACTCCCACCTCCATACTGACCATGTTCAGCAATCGCACAGTTATTGGCGTATCGTTAGATTCACGGTTTCTCCACCACGAGCCCTACCATCATTGAAGTCCAGACAGAATCTTGACTCATCTGTGAAGAGAACATTACGCCAGCGATTGACTCTCCAGTTACGCCGCTGGTTAGCCCAATTCAGTCTCTGTTGACGATGGTGTGCAGGCAGTGGGATACGTTGCACTGGTCTTCGGGGACCTGAGACCTTCAGCATGGAGTCTGTTCCTCACTGTCTGTGTGGAGATTCTGTTCCCAGCAACTCTCTGGAGGTCATTCTGGAGAGATCTGGCTGTGGTGAACCTGTTCACCCGGGCTAGGGTGGCCAAGTATCGGTCCTCTCTGGGAGTTGTCACCCTTGGACTGACCTGGCGTGGTCTCTCAGTCATCAATCCGGTCTGTTGGTGACGAGTGATGATCGCCTGGAGATGACGCCGATGAACATTGAAATGGTTGGCAACAGCACTCTGGGTCTGACCCCTGCACCATTCCAACAATTTGAGCAACTTCAATTGGTGTCAAGTGACGCCAGCCATTTCTCAAATGTTACTGTCAACAATTTGTCGTTGCTGGCAGTTTTAACGCAATCAGAACGCATGTGCGACGTGTATAGCACATGTTTTCCATGCATTTTGCATGTGAGTTTTGAGGGTGGTTGCGTTCAGGCGGTGCTAACAATGTTATCAGAAAAACAATATGGGAAATGCTTTAAGTTCATCAATCGTAAAGGGTTCTCCTGCATGGCTTATATGCCAAGTAATAACTTCATATACCCATGAAGAAAATATGTGGAAAAAAATACTTGTTGCTTAACTTTTTGTGAGGAGTATATTATAACGTAAAAGCACTCGGACGCAAGTGTCCTTGTACTTTAACTATAATAATTTAGGGCGAAAGTGTGTTTTATTACACTATACATGGTGGTAGAGCGAACTGTATTTCTTAATTAATAAATAATCTTGACCATTGTTTAGAGCAGTTTTGGCTTATGTACTGTGATACAATTATCTGTTGTCTTATATGTATTGCATTAAACTGGGAGCTAAAGTGTTTGACAGTAATTGTACATGCAGATCTGTTTTCTATTTGCTGAAAAAAACCAAACTCAGCATGGTCTGTCACTGCCATTTTGTAGTCATGGATACAGGAGAGATAACAAAATGAGAAGAGAATCACATGTTTCGTCCATTTTGTCAGTAAATTTCAAAGGGAAATGTATTTTTTTAACAAATTTCTGTGAGAATCATAAGATGTTTTAGATACTAGACATTTCAAGCCAGGAGATGCTTTATTGAGGTCACTAATACGAAGAATATATTCCCACTAGAAAAGGGCTTTTTAAATCACAGTTCACTGACCCATGTTTCCAGGTTTTACGCGACGCATTAATGTGAACGCAGAAACCAAAAGATTCTGCATCCAAAGAGACACACAAAAATCCCTACCATGTGTCAGGAGTAGTTATCTGTGTTTGTAATTTCTCCCATCAGTCATGACCGCTGTCCACATGACCACTCAGGGGTGGAAAGAACTTTAAAATTGCTAGTGTACTCCGGTACAGTGGAACATGTAAAATCACTTGCCCTGATAATTTTCCCACTATACCGGCCGTTTTCTTGTTGATTTTTTAAATAAACCACATAATAAATATTGGAAAGTCAACTGGACACCGGTACAGTGTGATATACAAATTTGCTTGCCCGGCAGAAAAAAACACTGGACCCCTGCCACTGATTACTCCTGGCTCCGGAGTAATTATCTGAACGTACACTACACCGTATCAATATTTTACAGGTCCCTCATATTCCCAGCAAGGACCTGTAACATTTATTGTTGGGGGTACCCTGGTCCCCCACCTTTGTAAGTCAAGGTAAAACCGTGCCCGTGTTTCTATTTTTTAGAGACAGCAGTTAACAATTCCACAGAGTCAGTGTTCAGTCTGAAGCTGCCCGAGGCGCCATCGCAGCCCCAGGTGGTGGAGTCAGACGTCACAGACACCAGCGTGAAGCTGACATGGCAGCCGGGACCCCGTGCACAGCAGGACAAACTCCTTGGCTACATCATTGAGTACTTCAGCATCAGTGGACAGAAACATGTGAGTATATATAGTCGCCAGGGGAGATTGGGGTTAGAATTGGCCGTCTGCAACCCATGTTTGTTGTAAGAGATGACTAATGGGATCAGGTGGTCAGTCTTGCTGACAAAGTTGACACATCGTCATATCCTAATTGCGTTGATGGAGGGTGAGTGAGGGAGTCAAGTTTGATGCAACTCTGAAAGCTATTTCAGTTGTTTCATGGACACATGTTCATATCAGACTGGTGTGGGAAGGAAGCCGGGCCTGGAGCAGGTGTTAGATTTTTACAGCTTTGATGAAATCCATGAGCGAGCATGAAAAGTGTTTTGAAATAAATTGAAATTTACCAAGTTTTATGGTGTATTTCATCGAATATGTGAGTGAATAGTAACACCTCTCCTAATGATTACAGCTTTCTGGTATGTCAGTTGTGGTACCTTTAGATAGCTGATCCTTTGTAATCCTTGAAGAGATTGACTGTGTGGTGTGTCAGTTGTGGTACCTTTAGATGGCTGATCCTGTCTAATCCTTGAAGAGACTGACTGTTTGTGTGGTGTGTCAGTTGTGGTACCTTTAGATGGCTGATCCTGTGTAATCCTTGGAGAGACTGACTGTTTGTGTGGTTGTCAGTTGTGGTACCTTTAGATGACTGATCCTGTGTAATCCTTGAAGAGACTGACTGTTTGTGTGGTGTGTCAGTTGTGGTACCTTTAGATGACTGATCCTGTGTAATCCTTGGAGAGACTGACTGTTTGTGTGGTTGTCAGTTGTGGTACCTTTAGATGACTGATCCTGTGTAATCCTTGAAGAGACTACCTGTTTGTGGGGTGTGTCAGTTGTGGTACCTTTAGATGGCTGATCCTGTGTAATCCTTGAAGAGACTGACTGTTTGTGTGGTGTGTCAGTTGTGGTACCTTTAGATGACTGATCCTGTGTAATCCTTGAAGAGACTGACTGTTTGTGGGGTGTGTCAGTTGTGGTACCTTTAGATGGCTGATCCTGTGTGATCCTTGAAGACACTGACTGTTTGTGTGGTGTGTCAGTAGTGGTACCTTTAGATGACTGATCCTGTGTGATCCTTGAAGACACTGACTTTTTGTGTGGTGTGTCAGTAGTGGTACCTTTAGATGACTGATCCTGTGTAATCCTTGAAGAGACTGACTGTTTGTGTGGTGTGTCAGTTGTGGTACCTTTAGATGACTGATCCTGTGTAATCCTTGAAGAGACTGACTGTTTGTGTGGTGTGTCAGTTGTGGTACCTTTAGATGGCTGATCCTGTGTGAATCCTTGAAGAGACTGACTGTTTGTGTGGTGTGTCAGTTGTGGTACCTTTAGATGACTGATCCTGTGTGATCCTTGAAGACACTGACTGTTTGTGTGGTGTGTCAGTTGTGGTACCTTTAGATGACTGATCCTGTGTGATCCTTGAAGAGACTGACTGTTTGTGTGGTGTGTCAGTTGTGGTACCTTTAGATGACTGATCCTGTGTAATCCTTGAAGGGACTGACTGTTTGTGTGGTGTGTCAGTTGTGGTACCTTTAGATGGCTGATCCTGTGTAATCCTTGAAGAGACTGACTGTTTGTGTGTGGTGTGTCAGTTGTGGTACCTTTAGATGGCTGATCCTGTGTAATCCTTGAAGAGACTGACTGTTTGTGTGGTGTGTCAGTTGTGGTACCTTTAGATGACTGATCCTGTGTGATCCTTGAAGAGACTGACTGTTTGTGTGGTGTGTCAGTTGTGGTACCTTTAGATGACTGATCCTGTGTAATCCTTGAAGAGACTGACTGTTTGTGTGGTGTGTCAGTTGTGGTACCTTTAGATGGCTGATCCTGTGTAATCCTTGAAGAGACTGACTGTTTGTGTGGTGTGTCAGTTGTGGTACCTTTAGATGGCTGATCCTGTGTAATCCTTGAAGAGACTGACTGTTTGTGTGGTGTGTCAGTTGTGGTACCTTTAGATGGCTGATCCTGTGTAATCCTTGAAGAGACTGACTGTTTGTGGTGGTGTGTCAGTTGTGGTACCTTTAGATAGCTGATCCTGTGTAATCCTTGAAGAGACTGACTGTTTGTGGGGTGTGTCAGTTGTGGTACCTTTAGATGGCTGATCCTGTGTAATCCTTGAAGAGACTGACTGTTTGTGTGGTGTGTCAGTTGTGGTACCTTTAGATGGCTGATCCTGTGTAATCCTTGAAGAGACTGACTGTTTGTGTGTGTCAGTTGTGGTACCTTTAGATGGCTGATCCTGTGTAATCCTTGAAGAGACTGACTGTTTGTGTGGTGTGTCAGTTGTGGTACCTTTAGATGACTGATCCTGTGTAATCCTTGAAGAGACTGACTGTTTGTGTGGTGTGTGTCAGTTGTGGTACCTTTAGATGGCTGATCCTGTGTAATCCTTGAAGAGACTGACTGTTTGTGTGGTGTGTCAGTTGTGGTACCTTTAGATGGCTGATCCTGTGTAATCCTTGAAGAGACTGACTGTTTGTGTGGTGTGTCAGTTGTGGTACCTTTAGATGACTGATCCTGTGTAATCCTTGAAGAGACTGACTGTTTGTGTGGTGTGTCAGTTGTGGTACCTTTAGATGACTGATCCTGTGTAATCCTTGAAGAGACTGACTGTTTGTGGGTGTGTCAGTTGTGGTACCTTTAGATGACTGATCCTGTGTAATCCTTGAAGAGACTGACTGTTTGTGGGGTGTGTCAGTTGTGGTACCTTTAGATGGCTGATCCTGTGTAATCCTTGAAGAGACTGACTGTTTGTGTGGTGTGTCAGTTGTGGTACCTTTAGATGGCTGATCCTGTGTAATCCTTGAAGAGACTGACTGTTTGTGTGGTGTGTCAGTTGTGGTACCTTTAGATGACTGATCCTGTGTAATCCTTGAAGAGACTGACTGTTTGTGTGGTGTGTCAGTTGTGGTACCTTTAGATGACTGATCCTGTGTAATCCTTGAAGAGACTGACTGTTTGTGTGGTGTGTCAGTTGTGGTACCTTTAGATGACTGATCCTGTGTAATCCTTGAAGAGACTGACTGTTTGTGTGGTGTGTCAGTTGTGGTACCTTTAGATGACTGATCCTGTGTAATCCTTGAAGAGACTGACTGTTTGTGTGGTGTGTCAGTTGTGGTACCTTTAGATGACTGATCCTGTGTAATCCTTGAAGAGACTGACTGTTTGTGTGGTGTGTCAGTTGTGGTACCTTTAGATGACTGATCCTGTGTAATCCTTGAAGAGACTGACTGTTTGTGTGGAGCCTCACACTGTGTGTTTTCCAGACTCTCTCTACCTGCTGAATAGAAACCAATGATGAATTACAGATACCTCTGCAGTGTGTTTAAATGAAGTTGTAAGAATTGAGTCCTACAGATTTTGTTCACATGCATCACTTCTTACACCCTCCCATAAAATATTACGAAAGATTTGAGGTAAAATTTGTTCATTTGTGTATGTTATTGATTTTTGTAATATGTTTCATGGTTGTAGCTTTGAGGGATTTTTTAGCCCCATTTTTGACTGTTTAGGATTGGGTAACAGCATCCAAGGATATCACAAAGAACTCCTACACTGTACAGAACCTGCAGCCAGGAACATCGTACATGTTCCAGGTCCGAGCCAAGAACGAAATCGGCATCAGCCAGGCCAGTCCTCCGTCTGACACCATCAGGACACACAGTATGTTGACAGCAGTAACATGACGTCATTGCGTTGTCATTTGGCCTCTCTAACGACAGTGTTCAGTAGATTCTGAATAAAACAGAGACCACGCAGCAGGTGATGGTGACTGTACTCTAGTGGACTGTATGACGAGATGTTCCAACCTGCCTCATGTCTAGTAAACATGCAGCCAGAGATAGCTGCTGTTTTTAAGAAGTATTGGAAAACCATTTAAGCTCTCTATAATGCACATAAATGGCATTTGTGATTCAAGTGGTATTTGCATGTGTAGTGCATCAAATACTGTAAACATATCATTAATCGTATACAGCATTTGAAATTAAGCTTGTAAGTCAAGAGGTCTTTGTCGTAAACTTAAATATTAAAGAGTTATCATGTTTTAAATTAAAATACTACAGCAATGAAACATAACAGAGTTCAGTACCACCTTGATTATGAACACTGAAAAAGTTACTTCATACAATTTAAAACTATGGAGTGATATTTACTGTAGGTTTATTTTAAGTTTTCATGCCCTTTTCAGACAGGGTCTACAGTGCTCCGTCCCGCCCTACTCATTTACGTCTGAGGCCAAGTAGCAACAGCGTAGTGATTGACTGGGCCCCGCCTCTGCCCAGCGACCTCGTGGACGGCTACATCCTCAGCTACGGGAAGGGCATCCCAGACACCCACAGCACAGTGGTGGACAAGCATCAGATGTCTTATACCGTGTATCAACTAGGTGAGTGTCTGCTGTGTTACCAATCTCATTCATCCACAGGGTTCACACGGGTTTGAAAAAGACAGTTATTTGGACATTTTATGCAAAAAAGAACTTGAATTAATTTTAGCTTTGAAAAGGCCCTAATATTGCCAGTGATTTGCCCTAAAGAGGCCCTATATTTAGCAAAACATACCAAGTAGAAATCTACACTTAAACAGAATAAAAATTGTACCTCGAGATCACCCAATGTAAAGGAAAAATGTTCCTTGTGATGTGCGTGATGATGTGATTACACTTGATGTTCTGTATTCTGGTCAACTGAACTTTGCGTCAATAATCTCTGCAATATTGTTCTTATATGCATACAGAATTCTGATCCAACTGGTAAACATGAATGCCAGTAAAGAACATACGCTCACTTCAACATAATAATCATAGTGTTGAAATGCTTGTGGAGTCTACTATGTCTTCATGAATATCAGTCATCCCTCCTGTTAGAACTGTAGTCAGACAGACGTTTGATGTCATCCATCTTTGTCCTCCACAGAGCCAAACACAGAGTATGTGGTGAAACTTGTCGGCTTCAACAAGATTGGAGTGGGGCAGCCTCTTTATGATGCAGTCAAGACACTCAAAAGTGGGTTTCTTGAAGAACTGACATTATCTATTATATAGACCATCTTGCTTCTTGTTTTCCTGATTTTCTGCATGTTTTGTTTGTTGTTTAATGCCTCTGTCAGCAATATTACAGCTGTATGACGGCAGCCTGCCTCTATGTCTGGACCAGGCAAAAGTTATGTGAATGAAAGACAGTAAACTAAGGTCAAAATGAACTCAACAGGATCACATCCTGGGCCTCTAACTGTAGGATCACTAATTTTACTATGTTTATAACCATAGTTTGTTGTACATGTTTCAACTAAATTATATAGCAAGTGTCCAGGACCAAAACGACAGTTTGTTGTGACTGTATTTGTGGTTTAATGTATTAGAAACTTAGCAACTGATGCAACCTAACCCTGAAGCACAATTAGCTCATGTGGTGTCTACCTCACTTTGTTCAAAACTGGTCTCTGTTCACCCATGAACAGGGGCGGTGGGGTAGCCTAGTGGTTAAAGCGTTCACTTGTCACGCTGAAGGTCCGGGTTCGATCCCCCACATGGGCACAATGTGTGAAGCCCATTTCTGGTGTACCCCGCCGTGATATTGCTGAAATATTGCAAAAAGCGGCGTAAAACTAAACTCACTCACTCACCCATGAACAATGTAACTGGTGCCTGAATGGCCACTTGGGTTGTATGATCCCCAGGGAGCTGAGAATGAAATCAAGTGCACAGTGACTAAGTTCATTAATGTTGTCCTTATGGATGCACTGCAGCATTGTATAAATTGTTGTTGTTGTTATTGACTGTTCTTTTATTAGTTGTGTGTGTGGTGTGAATGAGTGTTTTTGTATTTAGTGTTATAATTTTATATAAAAAACCTTGAAGTCTGGGTTTTTACTCATACTAAACATTATCGACATTGGTCCTTCACTACCTTGGGTGAGGATCTATGTTGTAACATATTTCAGCATTGAAATATTAATTAAACAAAATAGTATTATAGACTCACCCATCATATACTATATATTTGCCAACATTATGTTACAATATGTTACCGTGAGGTTGTTCATTATAGAGTGGAGTCGGAACAGCGCACTCACGCCACCAGTCGGGATACAGGGCAGCGCCCAGTCCGAATCCTCCATCATCGTGGCGTGGACTGATGGGAACCAGAAGGCCGGGGTAGAGCTTCCTGACAACTACTTGTACATGGTTCGGTACCGTCACAAGCATGAAGTGTACCAGTATGTTGCCACCTCTCACACCAGCGTACAGATACACAACCTCAAGCCCTTCACAGAATACGGAGTATCGGTGCATGTTACGGACGGAAGGGAAAACTCGACATGGAGCATGTCATCTCTGATCTTGACCCACGAGTCAGGTATGGTGGAACTTACTTAGCCACATTTACAAAATGTTTTGTTAGTTATGAAGTTACAATCAGCAAATATAATATATATTGTTTAAAGTTAGTTATGTTGACGGTAGAGATAAATGCCAATGTACATCTATAAATATCAGATGAAAATAATAAATCAAGTCCATTGTGTATAAATTCTGCTACTGTGAAAACCCTGTAAAGAGAATGAAGCCTTCTCTAACAGAAGTATATACCTGTGACATATATTAAGTGAGTGAGTGAGTTTAGTTTTACGCCGCACTCAGCAATATTCCAGCTTTATGGCGGCGGTCTGTAAATAATCGAGTCTGGACCAGACAATCCAGCATGAGCATCGATCTGCGCAATTGGGAACCGATGACATGTGTCAACCAAGTCAGTGAGCCTGACTACCCGATCCTGTTAGTCGCCTCTTACGACAAGCATGGATTACTGAAGATCAATTCTAACCTGGACCTTCACGGGTAGCATATATTAAGTACTGAAACAGAGACACACATACAAGGCAGTGGCAGAGTATTCTCAGGATTCCAATCTGACAGTGGCAATTGTAATGGGTAAAATACAATTATTTTATTGAAAGGGGTAGTTATTTTAAAGTTATATTACCCGTAACCTTTAATGCAGTAATGTTAACCTAAGTGTAAATGCCCTTCTAAAGGAAATGGAAGTCACCCCAAAAGTGAGTGAGTGAGAATGGTTTTATGCTGCTTTTAGCAATATTACAGCAACATCACGGCGGGTCACCCCTAAAAAATCATGACATTTGTTTTCACATGGATAATAGTATTAGGGGCACTTTTGCTATTCCATTTTGGCATTGTCACAAACATTTATGACAGACTAGACGTCAAATATTCTAGATAAATCCCTGACATGAAATAACTATGTATAACTCCATCTGCTGGGAACACAGAGTGAGTGAGTGAGTATGGTTTTATGCCGCTTTTAGCAATATTCCAGCAATATCACGGCAGGGGACACCAGAAATGGGTTGGAAACACAGTTGTTACCGAGAGTATTGTACTGAAGTGTTGTTGTATTTATCAACTGTGAACTTGAGAAATGTTGATATTTTATAAATCAATATACCCAAATCCGATTCTTTTTATCATCCAAAGTCATTCATGCAACCATATTACAGCTTGTTCAGCTTGACTTGATCAAGTGAATACTAATGCATTGTGTATCACAACTGGTTGGGTCTATTATTGTGAAGGGTGCACATTTGTCAGTTGATTGTCAACATGTCCGAACTGGTCGCCGTTTAACATCTCAGTGACGAGAAATCGTCAGCTTTCTTTAAAAAAGTGTTGTTTTCCGGGTTCTGTAACAAATCCATGTATGCATGCTTCGCACAAATGCAACATTAATAACATTCTCTGCTCCCCTATTTAATGAAGTTAACTCGATCTGCCGTTTGTGCCATTTGACCTCCCGGTCATGCATATGTAGAGTAGCTCAGGTTAAGCTGAACAAGCTGTAGTTTGCAAACAGTAAACGCTGTGTCAAGAGTATAGAAAGTTGTGCTTACCAGCTTTAGTGGAAGAAAGATTAGTGATGTCATTTGATTGTGATGTCATGGTAACCAATGAGGTGACTTGTCTGCAAGCATTGTGATGCAATTATTGTAGTGATAGCTCTTGGGAGATTTTGTTTTGGATGAAAATTCAATTGTTATAGCACCTGCCACGCCACCCACGGACCTGACTGTTCTCAGCGACACACAGGACTCCATTGCCATCAATTGGCAGCCCCCAACACAGGCTAATGGAGTCATCACGGGTACGTCCGTCTGCATCATATAGTATCTTTGTTTGAATGGGTTTACAAAAACGGTGTAGACATATATTTATGCCTTTGTTGCAGCTTTCATGTATGTAGCCATGGCAACATAATCCAATAATTATACATGAAAAAGAGAGATGATCAGCCAGAGTTTACAGATGGAGTACTTAAGTTCTTTAATCCATGTTACCATGGTTACACAAATTTATTGAACACTGTTTGCATCCATATAGCCCTTGTATGTAAAACCTCTGATCGCATGACATACCTCTTTTCTGAAGAGCTGGATGTTGATATGTGGGATATGTTGAAATTTTGTTCAGATATTCTAGATATATAAGACAGTGCGATGATCATATCTGGTCAAATTACTGGTCAGAAAATACATCGTCATGTGATGTAAGACCCAAAATGTTTACACACTCAGGCTACACGATTCTCTACGCCACTAACAAGACATGGGACAACAGAGATTGGACAGTCATGCAGGTGCAGGGTGAAGATCTGTCGACCAGCCTGAACAGTGTGAAGCCAGAGCAGACGTATTACTTCAAGGTGCAGGCTCGGAACAGGAAGGGTTATGGACCATTCTCTAATGTTGTTGCTTTCACCACCTCGGCAGCAGGTAATGTTTAACAGTTCTTGGTCCGTACATGAAAGGCTTTCTATATTTAAAATTTCATGTTCATTGTCAGTGAGTGAGTGAGTTTAGTTTTACACCGCCTTTAGCAATATTCCAGCAACATCAGGGCGGGGAATACCAGAAATGGGCTTCACACATTGTGCCCATGTGGGGATCGAACCCGGTCTTTGGTGTAATGAGCGAACGCTTTAACCACTTGGCTACCTCAGTGGGGACTAAATGTTACATCCAGGTACAGTGCTGGATTAATCAAGTTGTTGTTTGGTCCGCACCTCTAGGTACAGTGCTGGATTAATCAAGTTGTTGTTTGGTCCGCACCTCTAGGTACAGTGCTGGATTAATCAAGTTGTTGTTTGGTCCGCACCTCTAGGTACAGTGCTGGATTAATCAAGTTGTTGTTTGGTCCGCACCTCTAGGTACAGTGCTGGATTAATCAAGTTGTTGTTTGGTCCGCACCTCTAGGTACAGTACAGTTGTTGTTTGGTCTGGGTATTAAATCAAGTTGTTGTTTGGTCCGCACTCTAGGTACAGTGCTGGATTAATCAAGTTGTTGTTTGGTCCGGTACAGTGCTGGATTAATCAAGTTGTTGTTTGGTCCGCACCTCTAGGTACAGTGCTGGATTAATCTTGTTGTTTGTCCGGGCAGGTACAGTGTTGGATTAATCAAGTTGTTGTTTGGTCCGCACCTCTAGGTACAGTGCTGTGTTGGATTAATCTAGTTGTTGTTTGGTCCGCACCTCTAGGTACAGTGCTGGATTAATCAAGTTGTTGTTTGGTCCGCACCTCTAGGTACAGTGTTGGATTAATCAAGTTGTTGTTTGGTCCGCACCTCTAGGTACAGTGTTGGATTAATCAAGTTGCTGTTTAGTCCGCAGCTCCAGGTACAGTGTTGGATTAATCAAGTTGCTGTTTAGTCCGCAGCTCTAGGTACAGTGTTGGATTAATCAAGTTGTTGTTTGGTCCGCACTCCAGGTACAGTGTTGGATTAATCAAGTTGCTGTTTAGGTACAGTGTTGGATTAATCAAGTTGCTGTTTGGTCCGCACCTCTAGGTACAGTGTTGGATTAATCAAGTTGTTGTTTGGTCCGCAGCTCCAGGTACAGTGTTGGATTAATCAAGTTGCTGTTTAGTCCGCAGCAGGTACAGTGTTGGATTAATCAAGTTGTTGTTTAGTCCGCAGCTCCAGGTACAGTGTTGGATTAATCAAGTTGTTGTTTGGTCCGCAGCTCCAGGTACTGCACCAGCAGACATCACCGTGACAGTAGCAGATCGACAAAGGTGACACTGCTCTGATCAACTGGCAACCTCCAGCCATTCCTAATGGCGTCATTACAGGTAATTATAGTAACAAAGGGTGGTGCAAGTCCATACATATCAGTATTAACAGAATCATTGCAGTGGTGAAATAGTCCATGCATACACAGTATTACCAGAACTCTATCAGGCAGTTGCAGCAGCTGTTCAGATTTTGCAGCAGTTGTTTAGATGGTGCTTTTGTGAGTACTTCAGGTGCGTCAGGTATGATATGATGTTTGTGTGAGAAAAGCAAAGTGATACAGGACACTGAAGTGTACTACTGTTGAGAATGCAACAAACACCGGTATAGCAAAACAGGGATTCAAAGTCTTGAGCAGCAGATCCTGGTGATAAGAAGGGAAACAACCCCTGTGAATGTCTGTGATCTCTTTTTGTAAGGCCAACATATTCCAGTATTGTCAGAGCTGTGTATTATAGTGTTGTCAGAGAGATGGTTGTGGTGTTGTCAGAGAGATGGTTGTGGTGTTATCGGAAAGATGGTTGTGAGGTGTCAGAGAGATGGTTGTAGTGTTGTCAGAGAGATGGTTGTGGTGTTGTCAGAGATATGGCTGTGGTGTTGTCACTTGAGAATATTTGTCAGCTCATATGACGACGCATGCGTGTGAGGGATGTGTGTTGTCTGCGGCTGCTTGTACTAGCCCAGAATGAAGCTGGTTTTATAGTGCTAGCCCACTGAGATACCATGCCGCAGTGAAGCATGAATATCGAGCCAACCAGTCCTTGTTGTACCAATTGCTGCCCAGCGACAGGCAGGGACCAACAAGTACCATATTTTAACGTCTTTTGGTATGACGCGGTCGGGGATCGAACCTGCGACCTTCCGTTCTCTGGGCGGACGCTCTAACCACTACATGACGGAGGCGGTTAGATATGGTTGTGGTGTTGTTAGAGAGTTGTCAGAGAGGTGGTTGTGGTGATGTCAGAGAGATGTTTGTGGTGTTGTCAGAGTGATGGTTGTGGTGTTGTCAGAGCGATGGTTGTGGTGATGTCAGAGTGATGGTTGTGGTGTTGTTAGAGTGATGGTTGTGGTGTTGTCAGAGTGATGGTTGTGGTGTTGTCAGAGTGATGGTGGTGTTGTGGTGTTGTCAGAGTGATGGTTGTGGTGTTGTCAGAGAGATGGTTGTGGTGTTGTCAGAGAGATGGTTGTGGTGTTGTCAGAGAGATGGTTGTGGTGTTGTCAGAGAGATGGTTGTGGTGTTGTCAGAGAGATGGTTGTGGTGTTGTCAGAGAAATGGTTGTGGTATTGTCAGAGCGATGGTTGTGGTGTTGTCAGAGCGATGGTTGTTGTGTTGTCAGAGCGATGGTTGTGGTGTTATCAGAGAGATGTTTTTTGTGTTGTCAGAGAAATGATTTCGGCATTTTCAGAGCGATGGTTGTGGTGTTATCAGAGAGATGGTTGTTGTGTTGTCAGAGAAATGGTTGTGGTGTTTTTCAGAGTGATGGTTGTGGTGTTATCAGAGAGATGGTTGTGGTTATCTCACACAACATACCTCCATTGTAGGCTACCTGATCTACTATTCCACGGATGATACCAAGCCGGAGCGGGAGTGGGTGTTGGAGGGCGTGCTGGGCGACACTCTGACCTCCACCATCACTGACCTCACTCCCTGCACCAAGTACTTCTTCAAGATACAAGCACGGAATGAGGAGGGGTACGGACCTCTATCTCGCTCATCAATGGTCAGAACATCTGGCACAGGTATTTCACACCAACTCTGCTGTGATTATGAACTAACTGTAGTCTATTGCTTGACACTAATTGTAGTCTGCAGCATATATTTCCTGATACAGTGCTACACGTATCTATTTTCCCACATAAGTTAGGAATTGTCTCAAACGTTCATTGTTTACTGCCAGACATTATATCTTTAATACAGGGATGGAAGGTCAATCATCCCATTTTAAAAATATTTTCAATATATTCAATAGTATTCATAATTTTTTTCATGTTTCATTTGTGATTGAGCAAAGAAACAAATACACAACTGTATGAGCCCCCTTTAATAATTCATGTTCAGGGTCCTGGATCGTGTGCATTTAAACTCCATACAGGGTTGTGTCATGAAGTGAGGGAAGTAGGTGTCACTTGAGATTCACTTTAGACAAGGTAATCTAGAGACTGACATCATGGGCATAGATGTATGGCATATGATGACTTGCATGATCCAGCAAGCTAAATCACCTGACCCTGATCTTCATACAGGTTTTATCCAACTGTCTTTTATAGGGGATGTAATCTGCTCACCGGAGACGAGAGCTTCGTACAACGAGTTACCTCCAGTAGGTCTGAAGGCCCGCAAGATTACTGCTGAATCAGCACTTCTCACCTGGAAAGACACTCACAAGAAAGGACACTCACATGAAGACGTTGAGTACATTGTCCGGTTCAAGAGTGTAAAACCTTCTCTGGACTCGCTTTAAGAACCTATCTGTTCATGACCCGTTCGTTGTGATCATGGACCTCGAGGCCAACACGGAGTATGAGATGTCAGTCATGTCGGTACAGTATGGCGAGCACAGTCCATGGAGCATGACGCTTGCAGTCAAGACTAAAGAAGCAGGTAGTTATGGCATATATTTCCAGTATTTACGGTATATATATTTTCAGCAGGTATTGTGAGTATGCAGATTCAAATGTCCATCCTTGAGTGTGTCGACATCCCCTGAATTTCAAATGCAAAGTAGGAAATCTAACTTTGTTGAATCCTGAATTCTTCATGCAAATCTAAAAACAATTATTGGAATTCCTTCTTTAAAGCATAATTTCAATCACTTACTAAAACATATTTAACACAGTTATGTAAATGGTGTGATTTTAAGTTAAATTATTGCAAAAAAAATAATAAATCTTTATAGTGTCCTTAACTTTTCACATATATGACTTTTCCATCAGACTAACAAAGATCATAGAGCAATTTGTATGCAATTGTAGTGATGAACGTTTTATTAAAGGGATTTGACTTACAGACACATTTTGTAGGCTGTCCGTGTGTTGAACGTGTGTATATACTACACAAAAGAAGAATGGGTTTTTTTAAAATATTTTTCACGAGTAATTTTACCTGTCCAATTTCCAATCAGATGGTACCATCACATGACATGTGGGTAATAATGTCACAGTACAATGTTTACATACTGAACGGCTGTTGTAGCACCTGGGGTCCACCGGAGGACGTTACCGTGACAGCAGTCTCAGGCAGCAACTATGGCACTGCCATCGTCACCTGGCAGCCACCAGCCAAGACTAATGGTTTAATTACAGGTAAGTCAACTGTACCACAAGTTATACACTATTCCTTAAACTTTAAGTGTTTATAACTGAGTCTAGTGATGGAATTCGAACCACAGACCTCCAGATCCAAGGTTGGACACCTTGTCCACATGACCGAATATCTTAACCCTGTTAACAACATGACAAGATAAGAATGTCATCTGTTGGATGACCCTGCATCAAGCTATATCACCATGGCAACTGTGATGCTAGAGGACACCAGGTGTTCAACATAATATTCCATTGTCTATGTAATCTGCATCCATGGAAACTGCAGCTGCAGTTATTTTTAGGGTTTTATATGATGCCCTTTTGTTACCATGTTGAGTTACCATGGCAACTGTTGCTCCAGGGTACCTGGTGTACTACACAGCGACAGAGGATGCAGAGACGCAAGACTGGGTGATGGAGGGGGTTGGGGGGGATCGTCTGTCCGTCGTCATCAAGGACCTGACCCCCGACACACGATACTACATCAAGGTGCAGGCACGAAACAGGAAGGGATTTGGTCAGATGTCAAAGGTCGTCAAGTACACTGTCTCTGAAACAGGATGCACAGGTGAGCCAGCTACGTCATGTTAAGAATATGTACTGTTATATTCAGAGAGAAATTTACATTATGTAAAATGTATGTGTGTTTGTGCATGCATCTGTCTGTCTGTGATTCTGTCTGTGTCTTTGTGTGTTTCTGTGTATGACTTTAGCAATCCCAGGTGGCCTCATACCAAATGACATTACCGCCTCGTTCCATGTCACGTGCTTACCACGTTCATGATGGTCCGTATAACCAGGGAGACTCTATAAGGGGGAGTGGTCACTCTTCGGAAAGCTGCTAAGCTATGCCTCGGCTCGTCACGTGACCAGTGCAGCCAATATGGCGGCAGCGTGGTTTTTAAGATTGAGCCCGGTTTATTTTCAACAGCTGATTACATACGCTGAGTGTTGTGACAACTGAAAACCTACACGTAGAAGATAAGTTACCTATTCTGTCACTTCATTTTAAGTCAAATACTTGTTATTAGTGTCAGTATAAGTACAGTAGCTTTGTAGTAAAGTTTCAAGTGGGCATGTTGTAGCTCACTGGCTTCAATTCTCAGTACACAGCTTAAGAAAGACTAAATTATATCGCTAAAAACTTCTTTCACATATTCGCTTAATTTTTAGAAGGGAAATATACCTTTAGTTAAAAGGTGTTTGCAAGTAATAGTGATATTTTTATAACTAAAAATTTTGTTAGGGTGTATTTGAGGTGTGTGAAAATATGACATATCACGATCTGCCATTGAAATACTACAGGGTTGTTTGAGTGTTTCTAGTTAGTGTTCAAAAACATCTTTCACATACACCTTCAATTTTATGAGGGGAATATACCATCAGGTGAAAGGTGTTTGCAAGTAATAGTTATAGTTTTATCATTTAAAAAAATTTGTTAGTGTGTATTTGAGGTGTGTAAAAATATGACATATCGCCGATCTGCCATTGAAATACTCCAGGGCGCTTGTTTGAGTGTTTCTAGTTAGTGTTCAAAACATCTTTCACATACACCTTCAATTTTTATGAGGGGAATATACCATCAGGTGAAAGGTGTTTGCAAGTAATAGTGATAGTTTTATAATTTAAAAAAAATTGTAGTGTGTATTTGAGGTGTGTAAAAATATGACATATCACGATCTGCCATTGAAATACTACAGGGCTTTTTGAGTGTTTCTAGTTAGAGTTCAAAAACATCTTTCACATACACCTTCAATTTTTTATAAGGGAATATACCATCAGGTGAAAGGTGTTTGCAAGTAATAGTAATAGTTTTATAATTTAAAAAAATTGTTAGTGTGTATTTGAGGTGTGTGAAAAATATGACATATCACGATCTGCCATTGAAATACTACAGGGCGTTGTTTGAGTGTTTCTAGTTATTGTTCTAAAACATCTTTCACAAACACCTTTAATTTTTATGAGGGGAATATACCATCAGGTGAAAGTTTTTTGCAAGTAATAGTGATAGTTTTTTTGTTTTTTTTTTGTTAGTGTGTATTTGAGGTGTGTGAAAATATGACATATCACGATCTGTTCTGATACGCCATTGGTGCTTGTAATGCTTGAGTGTTATAGTTCTAAAACTTCTTTCTTTCTTGTTGATCTTAGTATTTGACAAAACTGGAAAGGTGTTTGCAAGGCTTTGTGATAGTTCTAAACTTTCTGTTCTTGAGGGGTCTGTGACAGTGTCAGTTAACATTCTGTCAATGCCCATGTCATTCCACACATGCAATAAGATATCTGAATTAGTTACTAATGTAAAAATGTCTCAAAGTAGATTTTTTTATAAAAAGGACAGCTGATGTTAACATGTGTTCTACCGATAGTTTTGTGTTCTTTAACATGTTTGGGGAGAGATGGCCGTGGTGTATCATTTATTCTTTCGTTCATTCACATATGTTCTTTTTCTTTTGTTCTTTTTCTTAATTTCTTTCATTCATTCACATAAAATTCTTGCTCTTAATTAATTCATTCATTCATTGTAAAATTCCGACCTATACAATACACTGGCTGAAGTACTGTTAAACGCAGCCGAAGTTGCGCTGGGACCGAACCAAGTCACTGTGTGCGTTGGAGCATGACGAGGCACACGTTAATTAGTACAAATGGTAAAGAAAGCAAGCGAGTGACCTATCCCTGTTGTAGAGTATCCCTGGTATAACCTTAGTGTTGATTATATAGTTTTTACATAAAAACTATTACACAATGCTAGGATATATTTCTTTGGGTTAAATAATAGTATTCAATCAATAGAATTCATCCCGTTATATTATTGTGCATGTTTGAACTTGTTCGCCGGGAAACGTGTGCACAGCTGATTGCTATTTCCGGCTTTGTGTACGAGACAAATACGCACGGTAATCTTAATCCCTGCAAATAAAACAATGCCCAGCAAAAACAACTTGTAACTTAAATGGTAATTAATCTTGTCTAGTGATGTTTAATTGCAAATTTGACGTCTCTACTGACAAAGTCGTCTTCTGTTGTTTGTTCACGCGAAGTGATACGATGTTGTTTTCTTACCCCTGGAAAAAAGTTTGACGAAAGTGTAACTCATGGATAAGACGACCCCCTTCTACAGACGGCTTTTTTTGGTCCTCAAAATTCGGCTTATAGACGGTCATATACGGTATGTCATACTTGTAATCCTGCATGGAACTCTGCACAAAAGGGAATCAAACTATGTCTGGTCAGCTAAGAGTGGGTACAGATATGGGGTATCCATCATAGCATGCTATGTGCTGTCTCTGTCGGCTAGCAGTATCAAGCCTGCAGACAAGTGTGCACACGTGTGCATGTCACTCTGTATGCCTTCAGTATGTGATGACATGAAAGCAGCCATGTCCTCCGTCAGTCAGCTGTGATGACCAACAAGCATACTGCCGCCATGTGTATTATGGGTTAGAATGGTTCCCCAGGGACATAGGTTGTCGTAGGAGCTGATTTGATGATCAATAGATCAGCCTTGGTGACTGACGTTAATCTTGCGAGTACTGGTGCTCCTCAAGGCTGTGTCCTGTCCCCTGTCCTCTTCACACTCTATACAAATGACTGTATATCTCATTTATCCACCTGTCTGAATTTCAAATTTGCTGATGATGCCGTTTTGGTTGGGTTTATTTGTCAATCAGAGTTAGAGTATAGGAAAAATATTGATGCGTTTACTTCATGGTGCAAAGACAATTACCTCTCCCTGAACATAAAAAACCCAAAGGAAATTATAATTGACTTCCGAAGTGGAAAAAATAAACTGAAACCTGTTTGTATTGATGGACAGGAAGTAGAAACAGTAGAAGAGTATAAATATCTGGGTACTATCATTGATAATAAACTTTCATGGAAATCAAATTCGCATCCTGTATATAGGAAAGCACAACAGAGGCTTTTCTTTCTGTGAAAATTGCGATCATTTTATGTAGACACTAATATCTTAAAATTATTCTACCAAACATTCATTAATAGTATTTTAACTTTCTGCTTTCATGCCTGGTATGGCAATCTTCCTCTTACACAGAAAAACAAACTTGACAAAATTGTAAACATCTCAAGCAAAATTTGTGGCTTCAATTTCGAACCTCTACCTTTTCAGTATGAGTCAAACAGGGCTTGATTTAGTGCTTTGTTACTTGCACTGGTGCTAGCAAATATTACAAAGTGCAACCTAGTTATTAGTCTAATTTGCACCAGGTGCAGGTCAATTTGTGAGTGGGTAAACTTGTGAATAAAACATCTAAATAGTTCAATAGCATATTTCTTTCATTACATATTGCAATAGAAGCAGTGCGATTAGAATTTGGCTGGTGCAACTAGGTTTTTATCTTAGGTTGCACCCGGTGCAAGTAGGTCAACATCTCTTAAATCGAGCCGTGGTCAAAAGTTAAGAAGAAAGCTCTGGCCATTCAATTGGATCCATCACACTTTTTAAATGAATGTTATGAACTTCTGCCTTCTGGCCGCAGTTAGGAGCTTTCATATTTTGCAGTTTTAAATTAAGACAAAACTGGATTGAAAACAATTGTATTTGATTTAAATGTATCATGTAAGCATATTTAAATGTTGTTGGTAAATCTATCAAATATTGTCACATGTCATAATTTATATAATGAGGTACTCTGTCAAGTATATTAAAGGACTATGTATGTGAATTATCAGTCTAAGTAAACTTAGCCTCAGTATTATTTGTTACCCTACTATACTGAGGAGTGTAACGAATAGTACTGAGACTAAGTTTACTTAGACTGGTGAATTATGGACCGGATGGCCTACATTTCTGAAATGAAATCAATTGGATCCATCACACTTTTTAAATGAATGTTATGAACTTCTGCCTTCTGGCCGCCGTTTCAAAATCATGTATTACAAAACTAATAGAACTTCAAAATCATTTGTCCATACAGTATAAAACTTCTAAATCTTCCTCCAAAATTGTAATAGTGAAATCTATGATGAGGCACAAGTGATTATTATATCACGAACTTTGGTTATGTTATAATTCAACATTATATTCTGATTAGCTTGGCATTGTGTATATATACTTTAAATTATTTGTTGTTATATGCTTGTATTGGCTCTTTGAATGCAAAACAAATTTCCCTTGCAGGACAATAAAGTTTATCTTATCTTATCTTATCTTAGCTTGACGGTGTGTCCTGTCAGACTATTTCTCAATATACAGATCACAGGTTTGTTTGGTCCAGACTCTGTGTACTACAGGTTGGCAACATATAGCTCAAATATTGCTGGCATCATTTAGCTCAAATATTGCTGTCAAATATAACATTTCTAGGAAACAAGCACAGCTGACCTGGAATGTTCCCAGTGTATGACTGGCAGGACCACGTTCTGTAGGAATATATCTCTGTATCTTCAGAACCAGGATGTTCCCGTCCCACAAACCCTTGCAGGAATAGTCCTTGTCCTCGGGGTACCACCTGTGTCACCATGGAGACTGATGATGCCAGGTATATTTGTGTGTGCAGCGATGGGAAGATGCGCGCAGACTGCACTATGGAAGATGGCCTGTTGTAGTAACCACCAGTCTAATACAGGTCAGACTGTATAGATAATGTGTTCAAATTTGTGAAGCTGAAGGTTTTATGTTGGCATTTCAAGTAAATGTTCTTGCATGAAATCGCAAGTATCAGGGGACATAACTCTAGTGAACTTAAACTCTACTATTAGTTTGCTTGGTCAATAATATTTGTTATGTTTTTCAGATATCTTGATGAACAAATATTTCAAATTGAGGTTGTGTAAACATTCCTACTAAGTCTTAGCCTGTCTGAATAATGAAATGTTGGTAATGTTCAAACATGCCAGCACAAAGCTCTCAATGAATTGTATATTAAATAAATCAGTTTGTAAAAATGTTAGATGTGACCATTTATAGAATAAATATGCACAGAATATTTCTTAAATGGCAACCAAACAAGTAAAACATCTCTGTTGCGAAAGAATATTGTTATTCAAATCACTTTACCAAAAGAAATTTTGTGCAGACTGAAATATTTTTTTCACAATTTTTAAAATAGTTTTTTATATGCCATAACACAAAATTGTCATCCATTAAGTGTTTGTGTCACAACCTTTAGTTTGTCAACACATTGTCAACAATTAAGGCATGAACTCTACCTGAGATACCCCTGCTGTTGAGATAATTGTCACACATAGATATGTGGGTCATAATAATCATCGATATATCTCTACTTAACAGGATATATAGCTTTTAAAGGTGGTGACATAGAAACTTATTTTTATATTGTTTATGTTACATTCCATTATTTCATTACCTGTACTGATGATATATGATGATATACTGATGATATATGAAGATATATTGATATATGATGATATACTGATGATATTCTGATGGTATATGATGATATACTGGTGATATATGATGATATATGATGATATTCTGATGGTATATGATGATATACTGGTGGTATATGGTGATATACTGGTGATATATGATTATATACTGATGATATATGATGATATACTGATGATATATTGATATATTGATCATATATGATGGTATATTGATGGTATATGATGATATATGATGATATACTGATGATGTGTGCTGGTATGTGATTATGTGTTGTGTCAGTCCATTGTGACATGTCTGTATAATGCCGGTCACAAACTGGGAACCACGTTTGTGTATGTTGTATGTAAAAGTATACTCTGTACTTAGTTGGACATATCAATATTGGCATGATGGGACTATATTCCAGTTGTATGTCAATGGAACAACTTCTACCATATAACTTTCCAAAAGAGGAGGCAGTAGTATTTGTTATTATTCATTTATCACAGTGATATTTGAGAAGAATGAATTTGATCAATCTTAAAATGAGACAAATCCAAATAAGAAATCGATTCTTTTGTATTCGGTTCTAATCTAATCAAAATATGTTCTCATCCAATCAAAATGTGCTGTTGCTGAGAGTATGAGATTCTGATGGATGTTAGCACACTTTGCTGTTAGTCCTTGAGTTATCAGAAGCTGAATGAAAATTCTTCATTAATGCATTGGCTTAAGGCCTGGGACAGCAGCTGTGGGCGACTTCTGTTTTGTCACAGAAAGTTGCTTTCATATGCTGTCAATTTCCCTTTTGTTAATTCCTCCTACATTGTAGGATCAATAATTATATGTGGGCATTGGATGATATACTCTGTTTTAGCCACAAGTAGGGTCAGTCCACACTTGACAGTAGTCTTCATACACAGGACACATACAACCTTCCTGGCGTGTGGACAAACCGTTGTCCCTGTGTTGCTGAATGAACATCACTGTTGACACTAAGTGTGTGGTCCAGACATTTTTCATATGGAAACGTAACAATCTCAGATTGCCAAAATATTTTTATCATGTTAAAATTGCTTGCAGATTAGACTGGCTTATGTCTATATTCATTAATAATGAATTATATCTCTATGAATTATATCTCTATGTTGTAATGATGAGAACTCATTACAATCTGATTTGTTACTCGGAGGTGATTCCCCCGTGTAAAGACCTGAGGATACCTTCATAGCAGGTTGTGTCAGGTGATCTTTCCAGTCAGCCAATCAGTGCGGAGGCTTTTTATTTTCAATATGTGCAAGCAGTGATTTCTGTTTTTCATAAACGGAAACAGAGGTCGGAATAAATTGTATATTATGCAGATGTGGATATTTTAAGCATCTTGTTGCTTCTGAATCTGAAGGAATCAACGCCCAAATTGGTTAGTATAGGGTGTAAACAGTGTTTGGTGGTGGTTAGTTTTGTTTGAAACTAACTCTAGGCTGAGTAAATGGGTTTAGTTTGACTCTACTTAGTTTACTTTTTGCAATATGGCCGTGGGTCTATGGTGTGTCAAGTGAACACTTTAACCACTAGGCTACCCCACCGCCCTTTAGGCTGAGTAAATGGGTTTAGTTTGACTCTACTTAGTTTACTTTTTGCAATATGGCTGTGGGTCTATGGTGTGTCAATTGAACACTTTAACCACAAGGCTACCCCACTGCCCCAAACAACAGAACGGAAATAAAGCCGTGTCATTTGATTGGCTCAAGAACCCATGCTCCCTTCATTTCACTGGACAGTAGAAGTTTGCTAATGCCCACCTGATGCAACCATCTATAGAATGGTTCTCAGATCATAATTTGATTTCAGTGACATTGCCAAATACCATAAACACAATATTTATAGTAATATTCCACACAATTCCATTTTAGGAATGTCGATATGACATTCCGTAACAGATCTGAAACATTTGTTTGTACTTTTAGTGATTTGGGGGTAATACATAGAACCAGTCTGATATACAGACAAGGCTTTTAGACCTGTTGTCATTGTGATGTTTCCAAATGTTGCAGAGTGTAGAAAAATATCACTGCGATTCTTGATTATGATTAATTTATTTTAATGACATTGGTAATCATGGTACAAGATGTTGTTTTTAAAGGTTTAAACATGATGGAAAAGTTACGGTTTATTCTACATATATACAGAAGTGTTCTTACCGTTCTCTATGTGTAATGTGTGACTTGTTGTTATGTAGGTGTATCTAGCAAAGTAGAATGCAATGCAGTGAACAAATATATTTTTCATTTGCAAAATAAATGATCTGTTAAAGTTTTCCGTTTAGCATCAGTTATTTAGAAAATTTAAAATCGTGTATATAGAGAATTCAAAATGTCTTTTAATATGAAATATATTAATATGAGTCGATGAGGATTTGAAACTCCGAGACCTGATGAGGATTGTTTAAGCATTTCAAAATAAGTGTTGATATATTTGATATCAAAATACATGAGTGATTTTCTATTTATCATCCAAATTCATTCTTCCAACTTTTCAGTTTGTAAACAGTAATACGCAGTGTTTTGAGTGTAAAAAGAACAGATAACCTGTTTCAGCGGCAGAGAGGTTAGTGATGTCATTTGATTGTGACATCAAGGTGAACAATGACATCACAATCATGTGCAAAGCATTGTGATAAAGTTTTGATTGTTGCGATATATCTTCCAGGAGATCGCATCTCACCCAAGCCATATCTAAAGAGGAAACCAGTTTGGGATGACAAGAGTCCCTCTGGATTTGGGCTTAAAAGTTAATTTGATGTTGTCAGCCTCTCCCTATAGCAGAAAATCAATTTTGTTTGAACTGTGACATGAAACAACATTCCTTTTTCTAAATGTTTTACCCTCAAAATGATTCCCCAATAAACAATGATGGCAGACTGGTTGTGAAACTGTTGAGACATATTACCTTTTCATAATTTGGTGTTTTGATGTGATTATTTACATACCAACTGCAAAAATCTCACTGTATTCTTACATGATTTACACATACTTTGGTTATTTGTTGATATTTTCTATTGTTTTGTACTAAATAAATCAATAAACATATCTACTAACACTGCATGCATGTGTCTGTTGTAATGATATATATGTCTTCTTTTATGCCTCCGGTTTTAGTGCCAATGGTGTTTGTTGCCCGAAATTGTTGTAGAGAGTTGCCTCCCTTGTAATACCAGGAGGGCTGACACTGTGTCTTCACCCTCACACACACAATCAGTGTATTTAACCTCCCTGTCACAACATGGCTGTGCCTTCCATCTCCCTTACACAACATGGCTGGGCCTTTTACCTCCCTGTCACAACATGGCTTGGCCTTCTACCTCCCTGTCACAACATGGCTGGGCCTTCTACCTCCCTGTCACAACAGGGCTGTGCCTTCTACCTCCCTGTCACAACAGGGCTCTGCTTGCTGCCTCCCTATCACAACATGGCTATGCTTGCTGCCTCCATGTCACAGCAGGGCTGTGCCTTCTACCTCCCTGTCACAGAAGCGCTGTGCCTTCTACCTCCCTGTCACAACATGGCTGTGCCTTCTACCTCTCTGTCACAACAGGGCTTTGCCTTCTACCTCCCTGTCACAACAGGGCTTTGCCTTCTACCTCCCTATCACAACAGGGCTTTGCCTTCACTCCCCCAGACATGATCGATGTATTTAACCTCCCTGTCACAACAGGGCTGTGTCTTCACTCCATCCTGACAGAACAGGCCTATGTCTTTATCTCCCGTGACACAATAGGACTATGTATTCACCCTCCCTGACACAATATTGCTATGTATTACCTCACTGACACAACAGGGCCGTATCTTCATCACAAGAAGGCTGTGTCTTCAACCTCACTGAAACAATAAGGCCATGTCTTCATCCCCCTGTGTCTTCATCACACCAAACACAATAAGGTTGTGTCTTCATCCCCTGACACAATAAGGCTGCGTTTTCATCCCGCCAGACACGATTGGTCTGTATATTTCATATCCCTGACACAATTGGGTTGTGCCTTGACCTACTTGGCACAGTAGATTTTGTTTGGAACAGATATGATAACTCTATATTCATCACATACCCGGAGATAAAATCTGTTACAATTTCACACCGACCACTAACTATATACATCGTTAGTAGTTTGGTAGTTTTGGCGACAAAAAATCCACAACCAACGTTGTGATAAATAAATGTTATTTTATACACTTGATTTATATTATTTCAGTTCTATTGTGGTACACACACGTTTGCTGTCCCTGACTCAAAATCCGCGTTGTATCGGGCCATGACGTCATGACTACATAGAGACTGCATCGTCATATCCTTTGTTGGCCGTTACGTGGACATAATACGGCTTCTCCTGCATGGTTACTCACAAGCACTCTGTTACACGACGGAAGACGGACATACTGCCCTTTGTCACGAATTATGAACACATAGATATGATGGCGTTATCCCTCGGATAGACAACATTTCAACATCCTGATTTTCATACGTGACAATCGAGGCATTTTCTCACCGCAAGTCGGTCGCTAGTTATTTCTAAAAGCAATACAATATTTAGCAAGTGTACATAGGACAAGTGCTTGGTTTCATCTTCAAGACTAAATAGGGCATGTCATGATGAGTGATTTCATATAATGAATTCGATGATATCTTCAAGAATTATTCCATGTGCCCAAAAGTACGGTATTAGTGCTTAGTGCTCTCAGAAACATGTTTTACAGCTTGCATATTAATGAGTGTGAGAGTGAGTACGTCGCCTTTAGCAATATTCCACGGCGGAGGACACCGGAAATGGGCTTCACATATTGTATCCATGTGGGAAATCGAACCTGGGTCTTCGGCGTGACGAGCAAACGCTCTAACCATTAGGCTACCCCACCGCCCTCTGAACAGTATTCCAGTTTTATTGGTGAACTTCATCTTACTGTGGTAGGAAAGGTTGAGGTGACAGACGTGCACCACCTTGGTGATATCCACAAAAAATACGTATGATGCTGAGATAATAAGAAATGTAAGCGGCACACCCCGAGATTCAACCCACGATCATACGTTACTGGCGTGTCCAACAATGTAGTCGTCAGGCCAGCCATAGGAAATAGTCCAGGTATATGGCGGCGGTCTGTAAATAATCGAGTCTGGACCAGACAATCCAGTGATCAACAGCATGAGCATCGACCTGCGCAATTGGGAACCGATGATATGTGTCAACCAAGCCAGCGGGCCTGACTACCCGATCCTGTTAGTCGCCTCTTACGACAAGCATGGGTTAGTGAAGGTTCATTCTAACCTGGACCTTCACGAGTGATCAACATCATAAGTATCAAGCTACGCAATTAGGACTGACTGACTGACTGAGTTTGGTTTTACGCCGCTTTTAGAAATATTCCAGCAACATCACGGCGCGGGACACCAGAAATAGGCTTCACATATGGTGCCCACGCAATTAAGACATATACGATGACATGTGACAACCAAGTCAGCGAGTGTGATCACCCTATCCCGTTTGTCGCATCTTACGGCATGCATGGGTATCTGAAGACCTTCTGGGGTATCTTCTGTCATAACAAGCAATGGGCGCATTGAACAAATAACAAATCTTGTATTAGACAAATGCATGTTTATATTATAAAAATAACAACATCATCAGTATATTTATAAAGTCATGAGTCTATATCACATATGGTAAATGGTAATGCAGTCTTGAGCATATTTGACAGCATAATCTGTTCGACAAATGGAGCGTGGCTGGCACTCACGGTAGTGCTACCACAAGCCAAATTAGACTTAAGATTTCCGTAACATTTGTTCTAAAACGTCTGTGGATGGATTTATGTCATGGTCCAACTTCGGCGGTTTATAGCATCAACAAGAACTACGACTAAAAGCTCGGATGGAGCAAGTTTCAACATGTAGGGCACCAGTTATAACTTACAGTAAAACACATTTGTGTCGATGTTATAAGGTTCTCCGTAAATACTTCGAGTTATCCAAGGTTGAGCTCATCCGCAAAATTATGACTTAATAAAGAATACGCATGGACCAAGCCTTTCTTCTTCGAGATAACCCGAAGTTCGACACAACGCTGTTAGACTGCAGGCCTACATAACGATGTTCTTCCTCTGTTGATTCTCAAACTTGTTCCAACTCATCACGTCTTTTGTCCTAGTTACGGGCCAACAGGCCATGCAGGATGGCTGCTGTCTATAAGAGAAATCCTTCATTGTTGTTCCCCGCTCCTTTCCGCATCTCCCCATTACATGATGTTCCACTTTCCTCTCATTCTGTACGACGTGAGGGCTTTGTGGGCCTTTCTCCTGATTTCCTTGTTGGTGTCATGGTTGAACACCTCCAGAGCTTCCGCCACGGCGAACTCCATGTGCTGTGGGGAGCCGTCGCAGAGAGTGTGCAGAACCTGCATGCGGACATTGTCTGCCTCGTCGTCAATCATCTGCACCACCCGTCGCCAGAAGTCGTCAAGGTCCTTCTTAACGCGGCAAGGACACATCTCTTTCAGCGCCCTCTGGCGGACTTGAGGGTTGTCATGCTTAGACAACTCTATAATAACGTCAATGTCAGTAGTTGTCTTGCACATGCGGAGGGCTTCTCCAACAGATATGGATGTCAAGGAAATAGAGTCCGACATGTTGAGATGAGTGGACGGTTTCTGGAAGGAAAAAATATGTTATCATTTCAAGACATGATCACACAGATGCAAACGCGTGCATTCAACGATTAAACAATCTTGACTTGTTTCCACTGAATATTATGTAAAATTATTCAGTGGAAAGTTTCACTTCATTGGTGGCTACATGGACGTTTGACATCAGTGACATGGCGAACTGAGTCTCGTCATGAGGTAAACAAGATGGGGAAAATTTTCTGATTTACGTCCTGACCAAAAACTTTAAATCAGATACATTTCACGTGAACTCATTCAATTCTATAAATTCACCAACTTTTGTTTTCAAACAGTCGTAAAACTGCATTATTGACTGCGACTCGTAAATGTAATACGTGATAAATGGAATTACGAAATTAAGTTAATAGAACAAAAGAAATGAGGTGCACTAGCTGCCACTGAATTTGAAATTGTTTAACAGTTGGTTTAGCTGGGTCTTACTGTCCCTATAAAACATATAAATGTATAGAAAATAGATGCAAACACGGTACAATATTCTTCAATCGAGAATAATTGCAAGTCGGAAATGCAAAGATACGTACCAACGATATATTGAAGATATGTTTAAATTAAAACATCCAGTCACTCTCAGTGAAAGTGAAAGTAAGATGGTTTTCTTGAACACTGTCAGCGGCCGCTTGTGTTGTCTCACATCCTGCCCCCAGATCCTGTAATGGTGACGTGGGACCTTAGCTGTATATATACAGGTGGCCTTGCACAACGAGCCAACAACACCCTGAGTGGAAACGCTTGATTGAGCCTTACTGAGAAATCGCCGACTTGCCTGCGATTGTGAAATCACACAGGGGAGGTAACTCCAATCAAACTTCTCTTTAAGCTCAGTTTATAAATACATATAAAATCATGTGTTTCGGGTAATATGGCTTTAGTTTATGTGTATTTGGTGAAACTTTTCTTTAATTTATCAAAATTAACTTGTTCATAGGCATCGATATGCATAACTGGGTGGATGAATATAGAAATGCGTACATTACGGACTATATCTAGGTCACTCGATCTAAATCATCACCACAATATCAGGTTTAGGGACGGTAATTTATTAAAGAGGTAATTTATTGAAGGGGAAAGGAAAGGTCACACCTCTACACAAGGATGTACAAATGAAATGAACATAAAAAGAAGAGACTTTTCATCTGGATCAGGTATCTCTCTCTAGTGATCACTGCATGGTCTGATCCATTCTCTATTATTTAGGGACTGTTCATAATTTATGGTGGGGTGGTGGGGCTGGTGGATATGATGACGTTCATGGAAAGGCATGTACAATGTGAATGACACCCCTCAGATTTATGTAGAAAGTAAGTGACCCCCCTCAATATCATGTACAAAATCAATTACCCCCTTCCCCCATAATTTTTAAGCATAATTATTAAATTATTCTATGTACAAAATTGCTGAACCCCACCCCCACCTCCCCGGCAGAAAATGGGAGACACCCCACCCCACCCCTTTAAAATCATCATCACACCCCAACATCCATAAATTCTGAACGGTCCCTGACAATTTCTGGAGATTTACAATTGTTCGTACAGTTATAAACAACAACTGGTATGTGTCAACACCATAACAGAGTCCCCAGAAGGTAACATAAACGTTCGACATTTCAAACACTGTAGTAGTCATGTGGTTGCAATTTCATATTTACCCCAGTCTTCCTTGAACCCAAGTATGTACATATAACGCGAACCAACCAGATTGTAGTAGTGGATGATTAAAACACATAACACAATTTGAGAACAGTTCTTTCGATTACAATTGCATAAAAAAGAAATCAATATACATATACAGACATGACACAATATATATATATATTTAATATATTATAGTGTGACGTCAGTCACCATAAATTCAGGCATGCAGCAACCTCTGTGCATGTACAGAAGAGCACTCGCGCCGACAGTCTATCATGTGTTCTTTACGTTTGAACACACCCCTCCTTCCGCGAAAATAAAATACATCCCTACCTTCAGACTTTGACGAAACGTTTTGATGTGCAAGATATTTGAAAATACACCAACAATCTTTGCAGTCTTTATTTATACTGTGTGATTTCGCCATTGCGTGCTAAACGAGAAATGTGTTGATAATCATGACGCACGTGCACCATGCTCCGTCGCGTGTTGATCTCACTCGTTTATCCAAACAAGTATTCTTTCAATTTCAGTATATGCCGACCAGATCACATGAAATATAGAGTTTTGATCAAGGAGATAAAGCTTTTCTTGTCTTTATATATCACATTTTTGTCAAAGGGTTTTATTTCTTTTTATTTTTGAACCAAATTTATTATAATATTTTCGTATAAATTATATAATAAATTTGCAGTCTAAGTAAACTTAGCCTCAGTATTATTCGTTACACTGCTATACTGATAGCAGTGTAACGAATAATACTGAGCCTAAGGTTACTTAGACTGAATAAATTTGGTAACCAAACCTTTCATGGATTATATAAATTCAATTTAAAGTTTTTAATATATATTTTACATAATATACAATTCTGTCACGTGTAGTAATGTCCGACGTTGACCGATTCGAGTCCCCTTGTGTCCGGAGGATCGATAGGGTAGTCTGGTGGTTAAAGCGTCCGCTCGTCACGCCGAAAACCCGGGTTCGATTCCTCACATGGGTACAATATGTGAAACCCATTTCTGGTGTCCCCCGCCTTGATATTGTTGGAATATTACGAAAAGCGGCTCAAAACTCAACTCACTCTCTCAACCTTTAAATGTAAAATTATTCATTTGAGAGTCATTAAGAAAAATGTCCATTCTAGAAAAAAGGTCATGTAAACAAGAGTTAGCCATTTACTTGATTTAATCAAGGATATTTTTGCCTAAGGATATCCTGATTTTCTTTGAGAAATGTGACAACGTAACAACAAAAGATCAGAGGACCTCGTATTTCCGTGTTTCTGTATCGTGATAATGGCAACCACAAAAAAACGTATATAGCGCACAGGGAGTAATCAACAAGGTGACTCTGTCTCTCAGTTGTACTGGTTTATCCCGCGGCAGTTCACGAGGCCGACCATATGGTACCTATGAGGCTACACGTCAACAAAAGGTTTATTACTGGGTGGCCATGATTGCTTGCGGGGCCGTGATGGAGAAGGTGATTATCGCTCACTTACCGCTCAGCGTTAATCTGTGGCGTGACGTCATTAGCTGCGAATCAACAACGGCTTACGTCAGCATCACGTCAACACCGAGAGCTACGTGATAACACGCTAGCTGTTTGATCTCAGTTCTTCATATTTGTCTTCGCATGTACTGGGATTATATATACAGGCACTGGAGCATGTAACGCGCAGTGCCAGCAGTGTCAACAGTTTGGCTGAAGACAGAGCATGTATACAATTGGAAAAAAGTATCGCAACACCCCATATTTTCCATAATATCAATATGTTACCATTAACCATAGAAAAACCATAGAAACCTCAATTTAACCTAGTATCTGGATACACTGACACTCCCCCAAAAGAGAAAAAAATTAAACCCAATTGAATAAATGGCAAAGCTAAACGCAAGGAGGAAGACAAATACATCTAGTTGCTTCTTCAGAGGAGCAAACATTGCAAAATTGACACATTTTGTAGTGCTGCTACCCAAGGGCGTATGACGTTAACAAGTGCTGGTATTTTCAAAATTCTGACATACATTCCTCAGGAAATCACATGTATCAGGAACCAAACACAATATCAATATCTGGTGTTACCTCCGCCAACTGCAATAACATCCCTGACCCTGACTGTATCAGACATTGAATTTGACGTTGGGGTATTGAGTTCCATTCTTGACGGAGGGCTTGTTGTAATGCATTAATATTTTTATATTGGAGGATCTGTGGCATATTCTGCGAACCATAAAGTCCCAAATCTGCTCTATGAGATTGAGATCTGGACTCCCGGCGAGCCAAGATAGAGATGCTACCGCTTCTAGATATAGGAACTAACTCACTAACAGCACATACACGATGTGGCCTGGCATCGTTGTCCACGGAGACCATAGTATTGTGTTCAGAGGATGGTCATCGGAATGTGGTATAACAACTCTGTCATATATGTCACATTCACATTTTATCTGATCGTTACTAGATCAGGTATACAGTCACGTCATCCCACGTCGTCAATAACCCCCCGCCAAACGGCACTTGTTCCGAGATATTCCGTTGTGTATATATATTGTTACCGCGTCCCCTATAGTCATGGACAAAATGATATAGACTTCCGTCCGACCAGTGGCGTTCCAGATGACGTCAAATTGCGGTGACGTCGACCTTGACATCAAGCTTGTCGTGCTGGTTTGTGCTCAGATGATAACAGGTCGTCTGGTTCAATTCCCTGCCGAGTTTAGGCGATTTGGGACCGTTTTGTTGGACAAACGACGATGTTGAAGCCACTCTGTTTAACACCCCACTTGACATGAACGGATGAAAACTTGTGATTGTGAGAAGGGCTGTAACCTCCCGAAGTGGTGTCACTCGTGGTTGACCTGAACGTTTGCTGATGTTTTCTGGCCAATCGGCAGACAACCAACAGGTCTTGCAATAGCCCTCAGTGACATGCCAGCATTCCGCATACCAATAATCTGCCATATTGGAATAGTGGCTATTTGATGAGGCCCCATGTTTACTTATCAGCAACAGAATCAATTGATTTTCTATATTATCGATCAGTAAGAACGGTTTACTGAAACTTGATAACTGGTACACGTATTCGTGATGCTCGCATTTATCGTAGCACGTGGATATCTGAGATTGGTGTCCCAGGCTGGCCAAAGGAAACACACAAACAACAATATATGTATGATTTGAATATACATGGCTATATGGGGGTTAAAATCACAGGTGTTGCGATACTTTTCCCCGTGTATATACATGTACTGTAAGCCATTTCTCGCGAGTAGTTGTTGGCATACGTCATGTAACGTATGCATCAGCAGGTGCTTGCTCCAATACGTCATGTAACGTCAGCACCAAGTGACTGGCTTTTGATCCTGTACGTCACGTAATATTCATGAACTTGAACATCTACATGTGTCTATGTGTCGTGTTGCCATCAGCAGGTTGTGGCATCTATATAACATGTAACGCCACATTATGCAATACTTATCAGCAGGTTGTGGCATCTATATAACATGTAACGCCACATTATGCAGTACTTATCAGCAGGTGTTTGTTACTATACGTCACGATGCCAACAACGGGTTTTGTTTCTGTACACCATGTTATCATCCGTAGATGTTTGTTTCTATTCGGGGGGCGGTGGGGTAGCCTAGTGGTTAAAGCGTTGGCTCGTCACGCCGAAGACCCTGGTTCGATTCCCCACATAGGCACAATGTGTTAAGCCCATTTCTGGTGTCCCCCGCCGTGATATTGCTGGAATATTGCTAAAAGCGGCGTAAAACTATACTCAGTCAGTCAGTCAGTTTCTCTTCGGATGTTCATGCTCGAACACTTGACTGATTCTTCATGATGTCGAGAACTAGATTGTAGGGGTGACTATTGAGGGAGAAACAACTATTGCGATAGCGATAGTCTATTGCAGGTTACTATTGCGACCAACTATTGCAATACTATTGCCATAGTTTTTTCTCTCCTTGAATTGTCTCATTTGAAGTCATTTCCCGAATGAATGTATATATAGTTTATATGACATACTAACAAGCTGAAGTAGTCGCAGTCTCTTTTGATAAATCAAAGAGAACGAATCTGGTACTTCCTGTATTTTTTAGCGGCGCATTTATCAACGGAAGTCAATTTCATTTTCAATTTTCGTTTCTACCATCGATTAATTGCTATCGGAGACTCAACAATTGCAATCCAACGATAGTTCGATGCATCGTTACACCCCTACAAACTTGTCGGTTGTAGATTCGATCAACAGCCGTCATAGAGCAGAGTGCGGCGTTAACCTCAGACCAGCCTTTGATACAGTAGGTTTTACGTAATAACAGAAACAAGTAGCAAACGATCATTGTGTTTAATGTATTCAGTTAGACGTTGTATCTTACAATTTATCTTTGGAAAAATAGGGTATGTCATGATGAGTGATTTCATATAATGAATTCGATGATATCTTACAGGATTTTCCCTTGTGCCCAAAACCAAGATATTCGTGCTTAGTGCTCCGAAAAACATGTTTTATAGCTTGCATAATAATGAGTGAGTGTGTGAGTATGGCTTTACGCCGCTTCTAGCAATATTCCAGCAATATCATGGCGGGGGACTCCAGAAATGGGCTTCACACATTGTACCCATGTGGGGAATCGAACCCAGGTGTTGAGCGTGACGAGCGAACTCTTTAACAACTAGGCTACCCCTCCGCCCCGCATGAAATGTGATCGGAGTATAGCGGAGAATGGTAAAATTGTTGCTTTGTAACAGTTCATGACCATCCAATACATGACAATAGAACACATATGACAAACAATAGGCACGTCTGGTCCGAGAATACACGCAGACAGTCTGCTAACAACGACTTTGTCGTGTTAAGCGTGAAACCAGGAAACCAGGACTGTGACTAAATATAATGCAACCAAATTCCATGACATCTCTTGTAAACTGAACTTTTTAAATTTGTGATATTACTTGAAAACTGATATATACTTGTATATATTTACATCACCTCCGCGAGTATTTCAGTCTTCAAAGCTAACGGTAAGGGGAGATAACCAACGTTTAAGAACTTTCTGCCAGTTTGAGCCCATATTATTTGCATACAGGATCTTTTCAAGCTCCATACATGTGTAGTATAGGTCTCTATCTCCTCCAATACCACGCCCAAACAGGCACTCCCACGTGAATTCTTCTCCACGTCATCTTTCAGCTGTCTGATATATTGTTCAGATTCCTGTAGAGATTTCAGCGTCATCCCTTTCAATAAAGGTCCCAGTCGTCTGCTGTCTGCTAGTTTCTGGAAGGTTGTGTCTTTGGTCGAGGTCGTAACGTCGCCATAGAAAACTTCACAGAAGTAGTTCAACGGCAAGCAATCCGTGTGTATGTTCGGATCCGCGCCATGACGCAGAAGCAGAAGCAACGTCTGCTTGTGGAAACCAAGATGTCTGCTTGTGTCTGCTAGAGCGTGGAGACTGGTCCCGTACCGGTTCTGTCCAGTGTCCCCAATGTAGTTGACGTCTGCTCCGTGATTCAAGAGGATCTCTGTACTTTTGTACAAAAACTTATAGATGGTGTCCAGTTCACAGTCATCGGCTACATATGTGGACAGAGTATCAAAAAGACTGTGAAGTGCAGATGGGTAGGCTTTTCTTCCGAACGCAGTTTCATATTCATTTTCATTCACAAGCTCCTCTATTTTTATTTCATCAAAATTGGGATCCGCTCCGGAATTTAACAGAAGCAGCAGACAAGCTATTCGATATGGTGCTGATCGCTCGAGATCGTGGAAGTGGGTGTGACTCAGTAGGCTGTAGAGAGGAAACGTCCTGGACGGATGAAACGCGTGAACCGACTGCCCATGGCGCAACAACACTGACGTCACTGTCACGAGAGACTCGTACCATGATTTGTCAAAGGAATAGCTATACTTGAACAGTACATGGAAGAAATTCATCCCGCCAAACACAACCTTTTGATCAATGTCATAACGAAGCAGTGCGTCTAGACACTCTGGCCGGGCCATCTTGAGCGCAAGAGCAACTGCTTTTTGTAGATCAGCTTGAGAGGGATTCTCACACAGCAGTAAGCGAAGGGCACTGGGAGAGTCCAGTTTACACGCAAGATCTGTATAGCTCTCGGATTTGAGTTTGCTGGTTGGTTTGCTTCCTGTCTGACAGAAATCCAAAATTGCTTTCACACACATGAGGTGACCAGCCTCTGACGCCACGTCCAGGGGCGTACATTTCTTCTGTTCATGATCTGCGTCTACACTGTTTACGCTATGACTTTTGTCTCCTGGAAAGTGAAACAGCGCTGGTTTGTTGTCGTCTGCTCTCTCCTGAAGCAGCATGATGAGGAGCGACTTGTATCCAAGATGGCACGCAAGGTGGAGGTAGGGGTGACGGCCAGGTTCGTGTGGCGTCTTGAACAGACCTCTGGAGAACAATGTACCGACTGCCACTACGTTGTTGGTCAGTATTGCATGGTGAAGAAGGTCAAGGTCACTGCTATCACGCCATGATAGCAGAGCTCCCAGGGAACACTTGTCTATTAAGTTTCGGAGATTTGTGCTGTCTTCATGGTTGAGGATAGAGCGTAGGACTGCTTGTACATGACTGTCCTGGTCGGTGGGAGTGCCCATATCTGAAAGAAGGCATCGAGTGGGCTTTGGGATTTTTCTGTGAAGTTCACCATCTTTAAAACAATTTCGTTTTTTGTTATGACGTCATAATGACGTAACAAAGCCAGTGACGTCGTAACAGTGTGCCCATTCGTCCCCACTTGCGCCCGAGAGGAAACGAGTGGTCACGAATACGCGTTTTCCATTTGCCTACAATCGTCCGTTTCCGTGACCTTCTGCCCGTCCTAAAATGATACAAGTGCTTACGAATGCTCGTTTTGTATCCATATAAGTAGCATACAAACTAGCAGGTACGTTTACAAGTGACTTCGTATACATAAATATAGTTAGTTCATCACTGCAGTAAAACCAGTCGGTGTGGGTGTCCTCAAGGCTTTGTTAAAAAAATCCCCAAAATGTCATGGGAAAATTTTCCCAGTGGGATAACCTTGCCCCATAGGCTCCAAGTAACCTACACGTGTCGTAACAGCTTTGATCATGTAACAGACTGGTTATAATCTACCTTTATGGCCTGGCTGAATGTGTGTTACCGTAACCGGACATCATTTATCGTTCGAGTGAGTGAGTGAATGTACGAGAGTAAATGGTGTTTACTGCGGCATCAGCAGTCTTGCAGACATTCGATGGACTGTCCGTTAAGTTGTTTATACATACAGCTCTTCGGTTGATGGGTATTTATGCCTACTATAGGTAAATCAATATACGCAAGTTAAACGGGGCACGACTGTAGAAATAAAAAGTATCACTTTTGTATGGGGCACAGTGTTTAGCAAGTGCTTAGTACTAGTCCTCTCACCAGTAAAATATTATCTTTAAATGTAACCACAGCGTAGCTAAAAGCAACAGCTTACAATATGAAATCGTTATATGAAATTATAAAGGAATAAAGTTTACAACAAACATTTAGTAGTCTGTTCCTTCATTCATTTGTTCTAGCAGGAAGGGGGCGGTGGGGTAGCCTAGTGGTTAAAGCGTTGGCTCGTCACGCCGAAGACCCGGGTTCGAATCCCCACATGGGTACATTGTGTGAAGCCCATTTCTGGTGTCCCCCGCCGTGATGTTGCTGGAATATTGCTAAAAGCGGCGTAAAACCAAACTCACTCACTCTAGCAGGGAGACTATATAATGTTGTAGATTATCCCTGGTTCTAGGGAACTCTCTGGTTAATTTACAGGCTGGTCGGTCTACAATTGTGAAACTTGTCGAGGATGAGCTTGTTCTATATCATTGAACGGCATTTTGTAAGTTGAAGGAAAACAGTAAGACAAGATACATCTTATTGATGACAAGTTCTTTATTCTAGAATATATGATGCGACGTTTCGATATAAATCCTACGAACTTTGCAGCTATTACTTGACGCGGTATGACATGTAAGGATCTATACCGAAACATGACCTCAGGATATTATAGTGTTGTCATCCATACCAAATCTGCCCTACTGGTACGAGATTATTGTGTTAGATTGTTGAAATATTTCAAGAAAAACATGTACTGCAGCTTGCCTGTTTACATTATATTTCCCCCTATCTAAGCCCCTTTACTTATATACCAAGCTTAGTACAGCGCTTGTACTGATTTAATGCATACCGAAAACTGTCACGTTGACATTGGACACAAACTATAGTTTCATGGAGTTTTCAAAGTTTATGTTCGTTGAAGTTCTGGTTCCCTATCGCATCACATCCCATCTTACTCGTCAGGTTGACATCCAGTATGTATTAGCAGGATGGGACATTGCCATGCGACCTCGTTTATCCAGAGCGTTATAATTCCATTCTATTACATACCCTTGCCATGAGTCCTAATTCACCTGACACTAAAATAACCCACCTCATCTGTCCGTTATGTTATCTTCATTTTATTATAAAAGATATTCATGTCTGGAATGTCATTCGATTAATGTGGACCATATCCGATCCAAATTACCGTTTCTCCGTATGTAGTGGTCAACAAATACCACTGACCCTTTCGTTCGGCCATCCGTGTTTATTTTCTTTTTTCTCATCTCCAACTTCAACCAGTAAGAAATAAATATTTAAAATTATAAAATATATTTTACACTAATAGTATAACTTTTTATGAAATTCAAACTTTTAGATCACTTGGTGACAGTCTTTAATTTATTATGTAGATTGAGTCGCTTTGCTTCGGAAATAATTTTGTAATAAACGTATATAAAGAAAGTTCTCCTGTTACATGTTGTTAATGGGATTGCAAGGGCAAAATTATTCTTTTTATTGCATAACAGCATACATTTCTACACAGGGGTGTGGGGTGTGGGGGGGTGTGGAACTGAGGTAAGAAAATATTTTATTAATTAAAGTCGGAATGAAAATTCGGATTGGGTGGGAGATGGTAAACACAGAGAGATAATTCGTCCAGTCTTCCCATAACTTCGTTTTCAGCCCGATTTTAAAGACACGAAGCTACAACTAGCGGTCCAGTAATGTTGCTCCCATAAGCGAGAGAATAGTTGTGCTTTGTCAGAGAGGAGGGGGGTGGTGACGTCACTTCCCAACCGAAACTAATGAGTCCTGGGTATGTATTTATAGAGATATAATACACTGAATTATCGGGGTTCACAAAAGCCGTCATTCATACACGGGGGAAATCGTAATCAACGATTAACAACAGGATTCCACGCAGTTGTTATGTCGAAATGAAGTTACCGCACATAACACCCAGTGTTAAATATCATGGTCGCAAACATCCCACAATACCAGATCTATATATTCAAAATAGGCCTACTAACGTGCAACAGGTACACTGTCATTCGGACCATGTGCAGTAATTAAGCTCCATCGACAACGCCAACTCACCTGTAATTATTGATCATGCGCAAACCTCATTACCTACATAGTGTAAGGAACGCTAACCAAACAAACCCATGTCCCTCTCCGCCGGGCCGCCATTATATATACCATTCAATGTAAACAAGTCAGAACTCGATTGGTGTGTTTGTAGAGAGCGAGGCAACGTATATCGACCGGGGAGATATACACAGGTTGTTCACCAGCCTTGCTCGCAGCAACTTGTTCCCATGTATTCACGGGTTTTCAACTCTTACCTTTCTCCAACTAAATATAATCATTTAGTGAAAAAGTCGACATGTACAGGTATACCAAATTTCAATATTGACATGTTAGCTATAGGTCATAATTAATTTATGATAATCTTCTTCTTTTTTAAAATTTAAAATCCATTATTAAATAAAAAATGAATTTAAAATATGTATTGCTATGTTTTGAAAGAAGAATAGTTCGTGAACCAAGAGTGAACCATAACACGCACTGATGGATCCAAGTAGGGGGTTCATCTAACGAAACCACCCCACCCCCATCCCCCTCTATCCAGGTTGACATCAGAAATGTTTAGTCAAGTATATTAACTACAATACGTCTTCTGTTTCCAACAATATCGAACAGGTACTCTGATAGAGCGCCGACCACGCTAATAACCCTCTGACGTCAATAACCACGTCATTGTGACGTCAAGGTATGAGGTCGAACGTCATCGTCGCCCCGTCAAATAAAATGTTCGGCAGAGAATGATGTTGTCTGTTGATATTTGATGAGAGTTCTTTTCTTCCCCTGTCGTGTCCTTGAAACCAAAGGAGATGAATTTCACCAAATAGTGAGAAACATCAGGAGTAAAAACAAAATGAATCTATTAATGCATTAAACTTAAAGTTCGTCTAAAATATAGGATTTATGGTCTTTAATTATATCACATGTCATCTGTGTGTCAACCTGAAGTTTAAAAGATGACGATATAAGTATATTTTAAGTCTGCATAAGTTTAGAGTTGGCTAAAGCTGCCTGCCAAACTGGTTGTATTTACAGTTACTATCTCTTAGCAACATAACATTAGTGCCTGGTGACCGCGCGAGTGATGACGTCAGACCACGCCAACTGACGTCAATACCAGGCGCGTCTGTAAATGTCATTTGTCGCTGGGATATTCTCCAGGCGTTTGGTGAATATCGTTTGATGAATCTATGCCCCCTTTCTCCACTCGTTCTACATGTTCAAATGTAATAACTAGAAATCTACAATTGGTCCTATTAACCTTAATCAACTCTGCCGCATTCACAGGAAAGGTTCAGTTTCAAGGAATATATGTTAACAGGCTTGTCCTGGAAATAGGCCTAAGATGAAACCAGTTTATACAGTCTTGACATTTAAACAGCATTCCTCGAATAGTTTTTAAATTAATTACAGAGCCATATATTCATTCCCAATACCTGACTATGTCACGGGAAAAAATATTTATATACATATATACAGAGATATGTTGTTAAGTAAATATGACACATACAACGCCCTCGTGACATAATTCCATTACGTGACATGAACAACACGTGAATCTCGGAGCACACAAAAGTCAATCAATAATTTCCCTGCCTCCGCGTTCACGTCACAACAGTGACATAATAAATTCTACGAACCGTATCCAGTAACGGGAAAAGAGGAAATACAATGACATACCGGACAAAAGCTGTAACCCATACAAGTGGGTAATAGTAAAGACCCCACCCCAAAACGTAGCGGCAACCAAGAAATAGAAGGTACAAGCGATATTTCAGTGTCCCACCACTGATCAATGATAAAGCCGGTCACAAGCTGTTTGTGTCAGCTTTCTGCTCTGACGTCAGAACAAGGCGAGCTCCACACGCCGGTTTCGATCACGCTCACCTACTAAGCGCTCTCTCTATTTCTAGCCGTTGTCAAGTGGCGTGGCAATGACGTCATACTTTTGTTAGGTCGGAGCTGTGCTGTTATGAGTTTTATTCCCCCGGAAGTCGGTACGCGCTGACTCATACTACTGTGACGAATTGAAACACTTGCGTAGTTGGGCCAGTCCATCGTGGGAGGGGAGTGGGTACACTCAACCAAACTACATTAACGATCTACTCGATATACCACTGTGTCACAATTGTGTGTAAACTGTCTTCGGCAGAGTTGTGGACACTTTATATCAAAGCCTCCATTCGAAGAGATGACATTTTGTTCTTAATCCATTATTCATTCACTTGATGTCAGTGTCTCCGTGAAAACACCTACGTCAGACCCTTCCATGTTAGGATCGTGTGACGTCATCATCTGAGCAACAAGATGGCTCAAGCTACGACGAGTAAGTTCGACTTCAAAATGGAAAAGAGACAACACTCGGGATCACTGAGCAGTCGTTCATCCGAGGACTTTTCTGAGACTAGTTTTGATGGTGAAACGGAAAGCCTAATAGGTTCGGCGACACACCAGTTAGTGTTATACGCTATGACGAAAGGACACACCATTCATAGTGTAACACACATGCCCCCTCACCAGTTGTCGGAGTTTCTCAGAGATTTTTATGGTAAGGTCAGGACCAAGCTCGAGGAGGGTCCGGTCAGATCAACTGTCAGTTTGAAAGATATCAGGCTCGGTCTACAGAAATATTTCATGAAGGAGACCGGCTTGGACATTGTCAAAGACAAAAGTTTTGAAAATGCCAACGCGTGTTATGAGATGGCTGTTAGAATGGGGCCACGCAAGTGTCATAGACTTAGAATAGAAATGGATGATTTGAGGAAAATCTATTTCAGTGATGCAATGAAAACCGACAACCCTGAAACACTACAAAATAAGGTGTTTTTCGATGTGAATTTATACATTGTCAACAGAGGGAAAGACTGTATGAGGGCCATGACGAAAAATGATTTTGTGGTGTCGACAGAAGTTGACGGAAGGAAAAGTGTTTGGTTAAAATACCACCCTAAGTTCAACATCAAGGAGATGGGTGGCTACGGTGATGTAGATCATACTGGAACAAGGCTAGGGGAAAAGATGCTGGAAAGACCAGGTAGGTCACTAACATTTTCCTCATTGTGATGTCATAGAAGTTATAGAAATCTTATCACCCACTACAGCAACTGAGCCTATGGCTAACTAGTACACAGCCTACATACTAATGTTATTTGTAATAATAATAATAAAGTATGTATAACTGAGTGATATTGTGAAATAATCAAGAAATATTGTGTGACAGCGTTATTGAGAAAGAATTCCACCCACACTCCACACCTAAGACATACTGTCATTCTTAGTAATAACTAGGTTACACAGGTGGGTGTTTTGAGTGAAGGTTGTACCGCCCTAATTATAATGTTGTATAGTTGACAAAAGAAATCATCAAATGTTATGACACTTTGATAAATCATGTATGTAGTACAATGGTGTAGAGTAGTTTCCGTTCAGTATATACATAATTACATACAATGGGAAGAGTTTAACTGATTTAAAAGTCAGTCTTATCGACCATGTATACATACCTTCCAATTTATATTGATATGATGGTTTATAACGCTGTTATTGCTTAGTTGGTTCATAAATGTTATAACTGTCTTGCAGGAGATCCTCGTTGCCCTGTAGCATCATTCTTGAGGTACCTGACCCATCTCCATCCCATGACTGAAGCGTTCTGGCAACGTCCTAAGCGGAGTGTATCCCAGTCAGATTATGTGTGGTTTGACAATACCCCACTGGGTAACTCCACCCTGAGTAAAATCATGCAGAGGATATCAATATCAGCTGGAGTTAAGGAAAACTACACAAACCACTCGATTCGTCCATCGTACATTCCTCTTATTGAAACAATATGCACAGATGCATTGAACATTGAGCGAACTGTGCGAGTGCCCAGTGTGTTGTCACAAGATGATTCATTTGCTGATGATAATTCGCTAGGAGACAGTTCGTCGCTAGATTCGGAGTCCCCTGATGACGACCCAGTGGATGAGAGCGTTGTTGGTAAGCACACGCAAGATGTTGTAATGACACAATGTTCCTTAACTACATGCCAGCAATGGAAACTTACCTTTCTAGTCCACTAGTACTCATGAGGATAATGGCAAATTTTTATCACGGCTATATATTTTGTTTTGTTAAGCCTCTACACATACATACATATACCTGTAGCATTTTGTTAAACCTCTACACAAAGCTACATACCTACAGACATATATCTGTAGCATTTTGTTAAAACCTCTGCATATGGACAGACCTATATCTGGAGTAATTGTCTTTTTGTCTCATCTTTTATCTGTGACACTTCAATATATATTGAGTTAGACAATGTGAACATTGTAAACAGGTACCTTTATCATTTGGTATGGCTGTTACATAGCCTGCTTTGAGAATCTGATAAAGCTAGTGACTTTCAATATACAAATTACCCAGATATAGATTTGATGTTTACATAGCCTACCAAAGAAATTAGGATTTTAGAACTAGTCCATGGGAATACGGTACACCTTATTTCACTAATCTACACTACTGTTACTACTATGGTTTGTAGCTAGTCCTGCTTGAAGAAGAATATTTACCAGATTTACATTTTCTGTCCGTTGTTTTGGGTTGAAGTGTTTTGAAGTGGTTAACTATATATATTATTATCCTCAAATGCTACAAGGCTATGAGGATACCATCACTGGCTCGCTGACTTGGTTGACACATGTCATCGTCTCCAATTGCGCTGATCAATGCTCATGCTGTTGATCACTGGATTGTCAGGTCCACACTCGATTATTTACAGATCACTGCCATATAGCTGGAATATTGCTTAGTAAAAACAACAAACCAACCAACATAAGACAGCAGAGTTAGGGATAAACTTGACACCTTCTTGGAATATGGGTTTTGAATGCACTGTTAATATGCCTGAGATAAGAATTTAGGAAAGTACCAATTTTTACCAAAGAAACGTTTGCCAGACATGGACAGTTAGACTTCCAGATAAACCCCACTGGTGTAAGGTGGTCAATCCTAACTGGGTTTTGTTAAGATCTGGCCCAAATTTCAAAGTTGGTCACATCACAAAAGCTGGGGTGATTCTTACAGAATGGTTACCATGATTTTGCATGATGTTGTTATTAATTAGCTTGTTGGCCATTGTTCCAGGTTTGAGATCGGCAAAGATGAAGGTTTTAGAGTTAATTCGTGGCCTACTTGTGAAGGACATCAAGAAATTTGCTGACTGGCTGAAAACTGTTCGAGTGGAATACCACCAAGGAGGTAGGTGTGATTTCTGTGTCATCCATGCTGTGGTCATGTTAATGATATGACCAAAGATAAATATTGCATACCAGTTATGTCAAGCATGCATGTTTTTGTGGGTATATATACTTAAGCATTTTGAGATGGATACGTCCACGCTGGTTTAACATGCAATCTTTCTTCACACACTACACGTTAAAGCTGATATGTGTTTATCTCATGGGCATTCTAGATTAGAATAAGTCCCCAGCAACCTATACTGATCCTAAGAGGCTATCAGTGAGTGAGTGAGTTGAGTTTTACGCCACACTCAGCAATATTCCAGCTATATGGTGGCGGTCTGTTAAATGGATTTGGTTGTCAAACTCGTTGACTTGGTTGTGGATCATTGTTGTACCCCCATCATGTGGATCATTGTTGTACCCCAATCATGTGGATCATTGTTGTACCCCAATCATGTGGATCATTGTTGTGCCCCAATCATGTGGATCATTGTAGTTCCCCCAATCATGTCCATCATTGTAGTTCCCCCAATCATGTGGATCATTGTAGTTCCCCCAATCATGTGGATCATTGTTGTCCCCCAATCATGTGGATCATTGAGGTCCCCCAATCATGTGGATCATTGTAGTCCCCAATCATGTGGATCATTGTAGTTCCCCCAATCATGTGGATCATTGTAGTTCCCCAATCATGTGGATCATTGAAGTCCCCCAATCATGTGGATCATGGTAGTCCCCCAATCATGTGGATCATGGTAGTCCCCCCAATCATGTGGATCATTGTGGTCCCCCAATCATGTCCCCCAAACATTGAACCCCAATCATGTGGATCATTGGTGTACCCCAATCATGTGGATCATTGTAGTTCCCCCAACCATGAGGATCATTGTAGTCCCCCAACCATGAGGATCATTGGTGTACCCCAATCATGTGGATCATTGGTGTACCCCAATCATGAGGATCATTGTAGTCCCCCAATTATGCGGATCATCATAGTCCCCAATCATGTCCATCATTGTAGTCCCCCAATCATGAGGATCATTGTAGTCCCCCAATCATGTGGATCATTGTAGTCCCCCAATCATGTGGATCATTGTGGTCCCCCAATCATGTGGATCATTGAAGTCCCCCAATCATGTGGATCATTGTAGTCCCCCAATCATGTGGATCATTGTAGTCCCCCAATCATGTGGATCATTGTGGTCCCCAATCATGTGGATCATGGTAGTCCCCAATCATGTGGATCATTGAAGTCCCCAATCATGTGGATCATTGTGGTCCCCATGTGGATCAATCATGTGGATCATGGTAGTCCCCAATCATGTGGATCATTGTAGTCCCCCAATCATGTGGATCATTGAAGTCCCCCAATCATGTGGATCATGGTAGTCCCCCAATCATGTGGATCATTGAAGTCCCCCAATCATGTGGATCATTGTGGTCCCCCAATCATGTGGATCATGGTAGTCCCCCAATCATGTCCCCCAAACATTGAACCCCAATCATGTGGATCATTGTAGTCCCCCAATCATGTGGATCATGGTAGTCCCCCAATCATGTCCCCCAAACATTGAACCCCAATCATGTGGATCATTGTAGTTCCCCCAACCATGAGGATCATTGTAGTCCCCCAACCATGAGGATCATTGGTGTACCCCAATCATGTGGATCATTGGTGTACCCCAATCATGAGGATCATTGTAGTCCCCCAATTATGCGGATCATCGTAGTCCCCCAATCATGTCCATCATTGTAGTCCCCCAACCATGAGGATCATTGTAGTCCCCCAACCATGAGGATCATTGTAGTCCCCCAATCATGTGGATCATTGGTGTACCCCAATCATGTGGATCATTGTTGTACCCAACTCATGTGGATCATTGTAGTTCTCAAGTCATATGGATCTTTGCACTTCCCCAAACGTGTGGCTCATTGTACCCCAACCATGTGGGTTATTATTGTTCCCCAATTAGGTAGATTAATTGTTGACTATATCAATCACTAGGCAGCCTAATCCAGGTGCCATTATTTACAGTCTGTTGTCATATAGCTGGAATATAAAGTTACGTATAAGACAACAGAGTAACAAACATGTTGATCAAAATTGAAATTTGAGACACTTATCTAAAGATCATTATTCCTACTGACCATGAAATTGTTTGAAATATCTTAGTACCAGTTTGTGATGTTGATCTGTTCATTGTTTCAGAGTTGATTGTCTTGTGTAGCCCGGTCGACCAGGAAGAGGTGGCAGTGGAAGGGATGAATGGTCAAGGGGCAGACAACTCTCAGAGCAAAGTCAGTGATCAAGAAATGACCTCAATAAAAGAGAAGTTCAAACAAAATGGACCTGGTAAATTCTCATCTGCCAGTTTGGATTCCCCCATGCAGAAGAAAAATGAAAAATCAGCACGAAGCGACAAGCAGGACAGTTTATCATTCATGCAGGGAATTTCCATAAAGCAAGTTGAATTTGACTCGGTTGGCGGAACCCACTGCTCTGCAAGTGATATCTCCCCGCTAAAAGTGACCATTCCCTCAACAGATGCACTGCTTGTGTCTGGTTTGAGCGAGAACATGCAGCTGTTACTACACAAGAAATCTACCAAGGAGCAACAACCTGTGCAGGAGAAACTACCAGACAGAATATTCTACTCTGAGAATGACATGGATGTTGCTGAGATTGCTGCTCTCCTAGGTGCATGTGACAGTCTTAAAAAGAATCCTGACAAATCCGAATCAGCGGTGGCTGAAATCAGTAAGGCTCTGCCCCATGCTGGTACGAGAAGCCCGAACCTAAAAGCAGACTCGATGCCAGAGATGAGGAGTGGCGCTGTTAACATTCAGAACACAACTTCCTTTTGCGGAGAAAACAAGTTGATAACTATCGGTGACAATAAGCAGTCATCATTGAAACCAACCAGTCCAGCGTTGAAGAGACAGGCCCGGGTGGAATGTGCGGAGCCCGCTTGTGACGAGCCTCTGAAGAAAAGACTTTGTAGTAGTGCTAGTGTACCCACTGGAGCAGACCATGGAATGGCGTACCCCAACTCTACCAACATTCCGAAACCACCATTGCAGTTCAGACCAGCCTCGTTAGATTCGTCGCCACTTATGAAGAAAAAGAGAGTGCGCTTTGGCAGTGGGGTTCAGACGATAACTGTAAAAGCTGAACCGGTATCATGAAAATGGAGGCAACGTTTGTTGGGTTTTAATTCTCATATCACTCGCAAGTGATATTTTGCCTCACGGCAAGCCAGTTTTGCAGCAGTTGTGCTGATACGCCAACGCAACCCTGTATATTGTAGGGGTTTGCAGGTGGAGATGAGCGGAGGGCGACAACTAAGCCCATTTGAGCTGTTACCGTGGAGATGAGAGAGGAGAATTGTGGGTAAAAGAGCCCATGTGTTCACAGGTGTCTTGTGTTCAGAAAGTCAGCTAGTTGACACAAAGATGACATGCAATTACATCCGGTGATTATGATGTTTAATATGTACATATGGGATATATCATAGAATGTTGTGATATATGATTGTACATGAAGTCACACCTTGATGAGTGCTTTTGTTCCATCAGTGGTACATTAGCTACAGGTGGATTAATATGTGTATAATATGTGTGTTGTGTAACCACATAGTGGATGATGCTAGCTTTCTTTGCTATACAGACACCAGGTATCTGAAATGGTACCAATATTTGTCCATTTTGACATTTTTTAATATTGCTAATTATTTATATAAATTTAACAGGAACAGAGTTAAGAAATGCATCTGTATAGTGGGTTATTTCTGAATGTTGTTCGTGAAAAGGGGAGGTAATCCTTGGCACTGTCCATCCTGCACATAACAATATTGTATGGATACAACATTTTGGTAAATGTGTTTATTTTTTGTTCCTATGATTTTCTGTTGGTAATCCTGATGTGTGCTTGAATGAGACCAAGGTTTGTTGTGTACGATAAGATGGACTAGCAGAAAGCAGGAGGGACTTACCATATTTTGTTTGTTATGGATGAAACAACCCAAAATTTATGTTTTGTTAACTCGGATATAAACATGATGTAAGTTATAATTACCATGTTAATATATTTGGTCTCAAGATATACTTTAGATGCTGTCATATAATTTTTTTTTAGTGGAGTCTGATGTTTGACATTTTATTTGTTAATAGTATTGTCTAAATTATCCATATTGATCTGCTTTTTAGAATTCTTAATCAGTTATCAATACGTAATCTTTTAGCATGTTTAGTGCAGACTTAAGTCTTTGGTTACAGATTAGGGGGGTTAGTTCACCATGATATTAAATAATATTCTGCTAGCTCTGTTTGTCATATATTGTCTAAAGACAGGAATTCAAAGTTTTCAGAATGTTTTTGAAAGAGCTGTTGAAAGATTTGAATTTGTTAAGCTTGATAAGTGCTGTATTTATTAACAACCATTTGATTTAACATTTTTTCAACCTTTTGAACAAGTTTGTCATTTAACAGAATTAACAAGTAAACCAGTTCAGTTCATTTGTTTAGGACACGTTGCAGTGATGTGACCATGCGCACCATAACATATATAAGTCATGTTTTAGTATTTTTCTCTAATTATGTAATCAAAAATTGAATTTGAAGTTTTTCCCTAGATGAACATCTGAAAATAGTCCAGGTCTTTTCTCAGTATCGTATTTGGCCTCTGATGATTTGAATCAGTGGATGCAGTTGTTGCTATGGTGATGACAGTTTCGGGAAATGTTCTCACCTGCATTTAACTTACCTGAATCAGTGGAATAGAAATCCTATTTATTTTAAGATATATCAGAATATAGGTGTAATGTAATTAGGCAGTGCAGAAAACATAAACCCACATTTTCTTTGCGTTATTTGACTGCATACAGTACAACTTGGTATCATTCTTTATGTCCATGCATTTACTTTTATTTATAGTTTAGTGGTTTTTGTAAGGATGTTGCTCGGATGAAGTAATGCTGTACAGATTTGACACATTATCCAGTTACGTTATTACTTGGTACTATCGTCTATGGCAGTAATGGCACCGTTCAATACCAACCAAAGCCATAATATCACCAGTTACTTGATTTCTTATACTACTTAAAAGATGTTAGGGACCACCTGATGCTTTCATGTTAGTCTGTTGTGGCAGTGAGTGGTTCTGAACTGCCTTGAGAGGTTGATAACAGTATGATAGAATTAGGTGTTCCTTAACGTCTCGTGAGTAGTATGCATGTAGATCTGCCTGACCTAAGTGTGGCCTCTCAAGCCTATGCATTATATCCATCCCGGTTGAGTAGCCCAGAGATTTTGTGTGTTGCTTACCAAACCATACGTCCTAGTTTGGTTCCCGTAATTGGTCAGTGTGGGAAAGTTGGTGATGTATGTTCTGACCCTCTGTGATAAGAATGTAGAAAGCTGGTGTTGGTTTAACTTAGTTAAATTGAACATTGCTGTGTTTACCATAAGGTAATGTTTTGATATCTTCTTCTTGAACACAATTTGCTTGTGCATTTTGGTCACTCTTCAGGGGTTATATCTGCACGTACCGAATAACGAGAAAACGAAAACATTGTATTAAACTTTGAGGACGTGTAGTTTTCTTGTACATTTAAAAAATATGGTAACATTCTGGATGATAGTGTTGTGAAGGTGAATTCTGAGGTTCATCGTTAATACTTTATTGACTTCATGGGGCGGTCGGGTAGCCCAATGGTTAAAGTGTTCGCTTGTCACGCTGAAGACCCGGGTTTGATTCCCCAAGTGGGTACAATGTGTGAAGCTCATTTCTGGTGTCCCCTGCCGTGATATTGCTGGAATATTGCTAAATGCGGCGTAAAACCATACTCACTCACTCTCTCACTGACTGACTTCATGCCTCATGAATGTAATAGGTGTCATACATTTGTTCCTGTTGGAGGAGTATGGTGTATACAAGCCAGTAAAGTATTGATATAACCCCGACCCAATCCTTTTAACCCTACATGTCAATAGAAGGGTCATAACGGGGCTAGGTCTGGCTGGGGCTAGGTCTTAGCGATCTTAGCCTTATCACATATCTTTAGTGCTATATTATTAAATGGCCAGCAAGAGTCGAAATGCTAAGATGGTTTTGTTGGGGTCTATGGCTGAATGTCTGTTGTTGTGGTCTGTGTCCATTCAACAATATGGTCTTAGTGCTTAGTTACGACTGGCTTACCCGGAAGTCGTAAGTACCTACTGGATACCCATCCGCCATGTTTGTTTCATACTAACATAGCAGCACGGAATAGAGGGACTTCTGATGTAATGATGCTCAAACAAGAAGAAAATATGGTTAAATACAATTAAACTGCAAAATAGAATATCAAAACAATTCACAAACATTGGAAATTGGACATGGAAGTTCAAGTTTCAACATGGCGTGTGGCAATATCAGAGACATCCATCGTAGACACAATTCAACAAATACAGAGTATTTTTTTTAACTTTGGAAACTAAAAATGAATTTATGACAGCAGATATTTGAGACCCTGAAACTCCGAAATTTTCATGTATGGAGGCAAGAAACGTGGAAACTAAGGATGGGCTCATGCAAATTCTTTATCAGTATGGTATTCTTGGTATTACAAAATGAATGCAAGATGTCATGGTCAAGCTGATGTTTGAAGTAAACACTCGCTGTTGGTTGAACAGCCCCGTAAAGAGCCTAGTCTGGGGTCAGCTAGAGGTCCATGTTCACCAGCCACCGTCACGCAGCAATCGTCCACCCCACACATCTTGTTTTGTCAGCAAGTGAATATTTTTACATTGTTCAACTTTCAGTCTTGTCTGGCCATTTTGTTTATCACCGCAGAAGTCAAATCAACTGATCATGACCATTTTTGAGTTGTATTTATTTCAGTCAGTCTGAAATAGGTATGACAACTTTGTTCATTGAAATCCATGAATTTTAATCATCTTCTTACAAGTTACTCATATTAAGATGTTTGACTGCAAACAACATGTCTTCTTCCTGGTTCTCTGAGATAGTTGGGTGTCATGTATGTCCACAGTGGAACAAAGACATATTGGCTTGAAATACTGGCATTTTTTACACACATTGCTTTGATGGTTCTAAAAAGTAGGGTTAAAACTTGGCCTGTAGAAGCACTGTGCAAACCCTTATGTGAGTGTGTCATTTCCAAGCAGGTCTGTGATGGCTGATTCCGTCATAGTCTTTTGGAAAAAAGGCAGGAAGAGGTACAGGTCTTTGAAAAAGCCAAAGGCTGTATAAACCTGAATTTGTTCAATAAACAATTCACAATAGTTGGGGGTATTAATAGGATGAATATAAATACACAAAGGTTTTCAAATGAGAAGTGACCCCTTGTTATTCTAGCCTTGAAACTCAATTCTAAATACATCTTGCTATACCTCCTGTAGACTTTACAGATTTCGACGCCAGAAGCTACTGCTCAGTATGTTATGATTCTTCTAAAAAAGGGGTTTTCGACTAAAGAGGTTAATACTTCATAATGATCATTATTGTTTGTCAATGGGCACTTCTTAGCTTTTGCAAATAATATTGAAAAACATATGTAATTTGCTAGGTGTACATTTATGGTTTGGGGAAGTGAAAGGATTCCTTGGGGTTTATTGGTGTCATAAATTAAAGCAGTTATTGGTGTAAGATGCCAAAGTTAGGTCGGTGTACAATTGTTCTGTGTTTCACTGTGGACTGATAGAAACTAGCTGGGCCAGTGTGGTTCTGAGCTGTTGGACTGAGTCCTCTCATTCATTACTTTTTCAGTTGTTACAAATAAACAATTTCTTTATAATGCTTGATCTTTTTTGTTATGTTATTCAGGTATCAGGGTGCCGTTGTACAAAGCAATTTTAGTTCTAAGGTGACCATAACTCTCGTATATCAGCTTACTTAAGGCAGTCTTAGCGCGAAGGTTGTTGCGTACAACAGCACCCAGGCCAATGAAGCAATATCAGTTTTCACTGAATGGATTTGCTGACTGTTTCAATGTACATGAAGATACTTTGCCTCAAACATGCTTTGCCATGTTTTGGTGGCTGGATGGTCGAGGATAACTTAATAACTTGCTTGCTGTTTAACCTGACCAGGATCTTCTCATAGTGGTTTTGAATCACAGATTTGTTCAGAACATATTTTGGAACTATACCTCAACTCGTTGGTTTCATCACAACCTGTGTCGATGTTGTAGACTACAAGTGTCACACATACACTGTCATAGTTGGTTTGTTGTTTAACGCTGCACTCAGCAATATTCCAGCTATGTGGCGGCAGTCTGTAAATAATCGAGTCTGAACCAGACAATCCAGATCTCAACATGATGAGCATCATTCTATGCAATTGGGATACGATGACGTGTCAACCAAGTCAACGAGCCTGACCACCCGATCCTGTTAGTCGACTCTTACGACAAGCATGGGTTACTCAAGACCAATTCTTCACGGGTCCATGTGTTATATATACACCCGTGCATTAATTAAGCACCACCCTATGTGATGCTACAGAAAAGTTTGGGTATAGCCATCAATTTAATCAACCTATAGTTAAAGAAGCTTTATCCACTGACAGTTTTACAAATACCATAACCTTTTCTATTCATTATGAAAGAATATGTTGATGAAAATGTGATGGACTGAATTTTTACCCAAAATAACTACAGTAAAATACGTTTATAACGAACTCCAAGGGACCACTGAAATTAGTTCGTTATATCCGTAGTTCGCTATTCACTTTTTTATATGATAATATAAGGTTTATTCGGGACTTTTAAAACAGTTCGCTATAGCCGTCAGTTCGTTATAAAAGTATTCTACTGTATTCCTCTCCTGATCAAACTACACAAGATTAAATTACGTTTTGACTAAAAATAACAATTCTGTTATATTCCAAGATGACATTAACGCATCAACTAAGCTTTAATTATGCATAATGAGGAAGAACCTGAATGTCAAAGATTCAGACCTTTTTCCAACAATTCAGATTGCTAATTGACAAAAACTGAAAAAGGCCACATTAATAAGATTTTGGAATAAATATTTCATGATTTTATGTTTATTGTATTGAATAAACACTTCTCCTTGCCGAATACTCATAATTACAGCTAAAATCTGTTTGTTTTGTTGGTAAAGCAACTTTTACTGCATTTTAAAATTTTACTTTTAGTTTGACCATAACTTTTCCTAAATCTTAGATTGCAAACTTTCATCCATTCACAGTAAATAACAAATTCATAGGCCACATAACAATCAACTATTACTTTCACTTTTCAAAATAAGGTAACTTGTTTTAGGACAGAAAAACATCTGTTCAAAAAATAGGCAATTATCCCAATAAAGTACATGGTAATTTCAATGATGTTTTATTTTTTGAAATGTTAAATGCTTGTTCTATCAAATTATAAAGGTTATTTTTTGGAAAGTGTTTAGAATTTCATTTCAGACAAAAATTAATTGGTAAAAATACAGTTTGGTGCTTATTTATCCACGGATGTAAATTTTTCTTTCGGGGTCACAACCAATGGCCTTGAAACTCGGTCAAACTGGCGTACATGTTATTACTCTCTGCAACCAATGTTACTGAACTTCACTTGATTTGATAGTGAGTGAGTTTAGTTTTACCCCACATTTGGCAATATCCCAGCAATTTAACGGGGGAGACACCAGAAATTGGCTTCAGGCATTGTACACATGGACACAAAGAAACAGCAAAGAACACAATTCTACCAAAACCAACAATTCTTTATTTTTTGTGCTGAAGAATAAACATCTTGGGTATATGGCAAGACATCTATTACCCTCTCCCAGTAATTTAATCTGCTGTGTTTATAAAAAAAAGAGTTTTTTTTTTTTAGTTCAATATATGTCCATAACCGGTAGCTGTGATATACAAAATGTACATATACAATAACAACAACATGTTATAAACAAGTCATGTACGTTGTCAGAACAAATAAGTTCACAGATCTACTGATGACGAAACATAACAGTTGTTTTTAAAGAAAACACATACACAAAGCAGTCTTGTGACCATTAGGAGTTATCACACTGCTCACAACACCAAGTGTTTGAAGAAAAGAACATGGAAAACAGATTTCATACATAACAGCAACACTTCAGGATGTGAACTTAGATATTCTCAAAAATCATTATACAGCTGACAATATGCAAAGAGGCAGAACGTCATCATCATCATCATCATCAGTGAGATACCAGCTTCTCACAACCATTTTCATGACTGGAAATAAATGACATGTTCAATGACGAGTTTAGAACAGGCACACGGTAAGTGAAAGTGTTCTTCACACACTGTGCTCAAGAGGGGAAACTGAATGTTGACAATCTGATTACTATGTACAGAAACCACTGAACCATTGTCTCATATTAGCGATATCTCACTGATGATTCCGATCAACTGCTTACGGCATCAACAACATAACAGCCACCAATAATAATCATAATAATAACAATAATATCTAATATCAGTTTCAGTCACATGTGTCACTGGTGACTTGTAAGTCAGATATGTATCTTACAGCAAACAAAATCAGTTGCCGGCAAGCTAAGTACGACATGAAGCAAAGCAAGTAGGACAGTTTTAAAATAAAATATTTTTCATTGATAACTAAGAAACTGCCAAGCAGTCTATATTATTTGGAAGACCATTTACAAACTAAAATTTATTTTCACCCATAACACACATGATCCTATTTAACTATACTACTCTAGTATAGATGGCTGATTTTTCCCCTGGAATAAATATCCCTCCCCAAACCACTCAACCACTACCTCCATGAGAGAATGAGTATGGTTTTACACCGCTTTTAACAATATTCCAGCAATATCACAAGAAATGGGCTTCACACATTGTACCCATGTGGGGAATTGAACCCAGGTTTTCAGCTAGACAAGCAAATGCTTTAACCACTAGGCTACCCCACCTCCACCAATACCTCCATGAACATCCAGGGTATGATGTCCCCACCGTATAATGATAATATCCTGAACACATTTGTTTGGAATCGAATTTAGAAAACATGTTGCTGAAAACTAGCCAACCAGTCATACTAACGAACATAGAGATTTTTCTGGGTTACATCTTCTTTTTATTCTTGAAGAAGATGTAACCCAGAAAATTTCTATGTTCATCAAATAGCATCTTCTAAAATGCCAATCAAGCAGTCATACTACACTCATGAAAGATACATCCTGCAGTGAGGTAGTGATATGTTGGATCATGATAGTGATCTAATGAAACCTGTGATGGTAATTTGGTCCAGGATAATTATCAGAATAGAATATATACCTAGGATAATCAGAAATTCCTTGATGATAATATGTTCTCTTACTTGTTTACTTCTTGATGCAGAATTGTCCTCTCAAGTACACAGTTTGAACAGTCTCTTTGGTTTCATTAAGTAACTTGCGCCCTCCATTATGTAATCATATCCTAACTGAGCCACTGTCAGGCCGGGCTGTAGGAACCATATTGTAAAAATTATTTAACGAACACAGGTATATATGAACTACTGTGATACTACAATATTTAGTCATTAATTGCAAAACATTAAAGCATGAATGTTACTATGTAAATTAATACAAATGGTCTCTAATGTAACAGAATATTTATTTACTGTATTTCTTTGGGGCTCGTAAACTTGAGTACTCATGATAATGCTCAAAGAAACCTCAATTAATGAGTGAGTTGGTGTAAATTCAGCGTTGGGCAATATATTTGTGAGCTTGATGTGGTGCAGCATTTTCTGCCTCAGTGAAACCTACCACCACAAGCATGGGTGAATCTAGCGATTTGTACCTGTGATTTCTGGCTTGCCCAAGGGAGACAACTCTACACAGTAATTGCTTTGTACTACTGGGCCCCTAAGTACTAACTGCCTTCATTTCTGTGAAACTGTAATCTTTTACCCAACAGAGATATCAAGGAGTTATTCCATATTACAAAGCTGATTTATGAAAATAACAATACACACATTTAATGAACAGGAAAATGAACATCCATTCAATTATTTGTGAAATTAAGTACAGATAACATCATATTTTACGCAACAATTTTGAAATAGTAACAGGATAAACTCACTGAATTCCCTACAGACAATTGCAGATGCAGCCCACCTACACAGACTATCATGGCCCTTCAAGAATCATGCTACTAAAACAATCTGCTGTGTAACATGTTATATTTGGGATTACACTTTCTCAGTAAAGTACAGATTCTAGTACATTTTTTGGGGGTTGAGTCCCATGTCTAAAAAATATACCAAAAACCAAACTAGAATCTGTACTTTACTGAGAAAGTCTAATCCCAAATATAACATATGTTACATGTGACCACTTTATAAAATGGCATTGTGTATTTCATAGCTTCCGGCCATGGGAGCTGTGCCAATTAACACTTATCAGAGGGGTACACAAAGTCTGCAGTCTAGACTACCAGTTGTCCGACTTCCATTTTTGTGGAAGCCGTGGTGGCTGAGCGTCTAGGCGTCTGACTTTGTGTGCTGGCGATTAGGTGCCTGACTCTGAGGGTGTGGGTTGAATCCCGGATGGGACTCAACCCCAAAAAATGTACTAGAATCTGTACTTTACTGAAAAAGTGTAACCCAAATAAAACATATGTTACATTTGACCACTTTCTAAAATGGCATTGTGTATTTCAAAGCTGCTGTGTGTAAACTGCTCTGTGTTAGGGATCCGTCATTTATTATAGTAATGTTTGGTCGTGATGTGAGGGGCATAAAAATCTGACATATGAGGGGTGGATGAAGGAAATGTACACGGACAATGAGGAGGATCATCCACAAATATGAAATGCATTAGGGTAGAATAATTATTTTCAGTCTGTTAGTGAGTCAAAATCCTTTGGACCCTTTTGTAATTAATGACTGGTCCTAAGTTACTCGGAAGTAACTAGCACTAGACTACTAGCATCATAAAGCAATGTACCAGGGTCAAACATGTTACTATGAGGTATCAAAAATTAATCATATTTTATGTAAGCACCAAAAACTGACTAGAATGTAAAACATGGCAACAAGAATTAATTGTAAGTTCGAGAGAATTGCCTTGATGACATTAAGTACGAGGCAAGAAACATGTACATGGAAATCCTACAGTAGAATGTCTGCATAGCATAAAAAACAGCAGCCCCATCACCTGCTTGTGTTTTGAATGTAAACAAATTCAGCTGTCCATAATATATACATGTACATATAGTGTACACTATTTCAACACAGATATTGACTCTTTGACAGGTCAAGCTCACTTTTATGGATCGTTAGTAATGGTTTTGATACATTTGTTCGTTTTGTTTCAGAAAAGTGCAGATATATGTTATATACTATGCAAAAAGGGGTATGGGGTATTATTTTGTTAGGTGAAACCAGTGTGCAAAAAAGCCACACTAGGCTAGTGAATTTTCATGGGATCATTTTGTAAATATATCCCTCTCTCAGACTTGTTAAGTTATAATACACTTTTAAATCATGCAAAATTATGGCCTCATTATGGTCATCATATTGACAGCTTAATGATGAAAGCTGTGTCTACATTCAAATTTCAATCTAGTGAATTATTTTGTGGGCTAGTAACTTTCAGGCATAGCTAGCCTGTCTGGCTAGCAAAATTTGGAAACTATTTCACACACTGGGTGAACTACAGGAACAATGTCTGGAAATGAAAGGTAGCATTTCCTTTGATGTCAGTGTGTCATCCAACAACTTCGGTACAGATCATTATAATCAGAGGCATCAGTGGTGTTGGGAACGTCACCACCAGGATAATTAATGTTGGGCTTCTGGAGACATACGGTTCACTCTTTACGTCCATGTCCCATCAGATATGATCATTCCATTTGGATAAGCAAATTTGTCTTGACGAGTTCCACTATCCCCTACATTTTTGACCTAGTACATAATAAAACTTTGAAATACCATGGAAATTATGATCAAACAGGGCTAATAATTTGCATGACAAGTTTGGTCACTCGTCTGTCATCAAGAAGACCAATCACATGAATATAATCACATAATCATTACATACAAGAAACATCCAAACTGACACTGAAATTTTTTTGAATTTCTGGTGACCTTGACCTTAGACTGAGATAACTAATCGAAGTGAGTTTGAGCTTGTCTCTTAAGACAAAGTTTCATTCATCTCCAGTGAATATGGTGTGAATTGTTATGTGAAGCGCTAGTCAACCAGGAGAGGAAGTTAGATCTTTGATATGAGAAATGAGTATGGAATCAATTGAAAGCGTTTAAGGACTTTTCGCAAATACATCACTGAGGTGTCCAGTGTTACAATCAACATATGGCACATATGAATTAAAAAGGTCACACTGACCCAACACTTGTATTACAAATATCTAAAAAGACATCTTCCAACTTAAGAAAGGTAAGAGAACAAGCATACCTTCAGAAATGGCTTTCAAAGGAGACATTGACAAGAGTGACAAGAATCGAGTGTCTCAAAAAATAATTCCCAGGGTTCATAAGGAAATACACAATAACAATCTCCATCATGTGCCTCATTATTAAATATCATTTTATATAACCTGAAACTCTTAGACAGCCCTGCATGGTAAGGGTTCCTGGAACAAGTAATCGGTGCAAAAATGGATGTTGTCAGGATGTCACATGACAGCCATGAAATCTAACAATAGTCAAGTTGATTGCTGTATCAACAATCAGTCCTCTTTAAATAACATAACAGGAAAAAAATGGAATTCTCTGAAATGCCAGAGAAGCTTGTGACAGAACTAGGAAGCCAATACTGTAACATTGCTGTAATGTATTGCTGTACCCCTATGATTTTATCTCACTTCAGCTAAAATGAAACGAATTATCACAAAATGGTCCCCAAGTTATCAGGCAATATGTAGGTTACTGTAATTTGAAAATGCTCTTATGTTGCCAAATGACAGGCTGCTATCAGTCATGATATCATGTGACCTTCACAGCTGCAATACCAACATAAACAAACACGTCCGTCTGTTTAAAAACCACTCTCTAGCCTAATGTGATTGACTGTGATCCTGACAAGACATATTTTGGAAATAGTTTGGAGGAAACATAAGCGACTTGGATGAGTTAACACTCAGCAGACTGCAGATGGAAAGACTGTGATGAAGTGCAGCTTTTCCATAGACTGGGGCTCTGAACTTCCCTACAGATGCAGGAATAAATCCATACACTGGTCATTTGTTTCCACATATAAAAATCCACCAAACACTGACAATTTACTTTCAATTAATTTACCTAAACAATTTCCCTCTGATTTTGAGAGCAAGCCGAAGGCAAAAGTAATTTGATGTCAGGTGACTTATTTCAAATTTATTATTGTAATGCATAGTTGATCCATTTCGTCAGTTTAGGCACAATCAAATTGGGGACAAATTCTTTCCACTAGACACTATTTCTCAGGACTGTCATTTGCAGAAGCCTGTTTAACTGATCTCCTATTAAAGGCAAATGCAAATCATTTTCTCTGCAAAACAGCATTGCTATTAACAACAACAACCTTTTCTGGCTACCAAAACATCTTTCCAAACATCAGTACATCTGCTGACGTAACATGATCAAGGGGAGATAATTCAGTACAGGTAGTGAAAATAGACCTGTAAAATCAATACCAATCACATCTCATGGAAGCTGGATACAGACTATGCCATTTTGGGTAGTTGACAAGTGTCTGGACTAACACTTAGTCCCAGAATTAATGTTCTCTTATTTAAGATATATATCTACAAAAAATAGAAACAAACACTACTGGAACCCAGAATACAACTTAAATCTAGACTTGCCAAATTATCCTACACTGGAGTTGGATTTAATTTTTAATTTATTCTCCGGGGTCTGGGAGACAGACTAACAAAGTTTCATGAAAGAGCACAACACGGCTGGCTTGAATAAGACGAATCTATGAAATCACAAATATATTTCCCATCCTCTTATACAAAAATATACACCTGACATGTTCATCTCAAAGCTGACAAACTCTTAGTCACAAACTAAGCTAGTGTTATTTCTCTGGTCAGTCTGTCAGAAACTCAAACATTATTCAATGAGGACTTTGATACTTGTAGAAACTTTGATGTTACATATTTGTAGTTACAGTAACAGAAAAAACTGGCCTGTATAAATTTTCGTAGAGGTATGTCGATCAATTTGGAATTGGAACATTTTCCAGGAACTTTAGGAAATAATGTGTAATAGCATGTTGAAATGTTTCCTGAAAACACAACACAGCAAATGTTTCTGTTTACAATAATGGAGACTGATGTATTAATATATAATATCAAAACAAGTTGGAGAACACAACGTTGTTTCATGTGACCATAATTAATATGTCGTTACTGATTAACTGAACTCATGTTAAAAACATTGCATCAAGCTTTGGTTGAGTTATGTACTTCAATATGATTTCATGTGTTAATGTCGGAAAGTTCTATGGGATGAGTGTCATATAACTGAATGTAAGCATCATGTAGAAGTCTTGTAAAGTTAAGTACATGCACTTCACAGCAGTGAAAGACAAGATCACTATTCATGGTATTAATGGCGGGTGGTCAGAACTTCATAATGTTTTAGTGGTTGACTGTGAACTTTAGTACTAAAACATAAGTAGTGTCGTACAACTGTTTGTCTCAGATAAAATAAACAACAATAAACCAGATCTTATTCACAACTTTGTCAATCATGTGACATTAATAATAATTACCTAGACATTAGATATGATGGGCAAAATCAGTGAAATTTGTGAAGCAATGAAGAGACAATTCACAGGAATTTATAATTTAGTAAACATACCATAATAAATGTAGCTTCCTTGCCTAAAATGCACAAAGATGCCATTTGTCTGGTCTCATTACACAGTGGTGAAATATGTGCCTCACAGACATGTCAGTCATAAATAAAGATGAGAAAATACAGGGATGTCCACAACAAATGCATAACATTAATTGTTTCGCAAATGAATCTTTAGCAACTAAAATGCTGATGAAAAACATGATGGTACAAACATGTTAAAAATCTAAATAAATAAAATTAGAGAAATATTCAGATTAAATTTGTAGAAAAATATTCTTAAGACTACACACATTCCATGATATGAATTTTCATGGTTTCTTCTTCTAATGAAAGTTTCTGTTATATTTTCCAATTCTTTTCATGTTATATAAATGGGTTTTAAAATGCTATTTTCTGGTATCCTGTAATGATACATAAATGTCAATACAAGATTTTTTAAAATATATGTGTATCACAACAATAACAGGCAAGACTTTATAACAATTCAATTATGGATTCCACCTACGTTTTACATAACAAAATAATAGTGTCATGGCACTTTAGCTCACCTGGATATGCAGTCAACAGGTTCAAATGTCACCAAATGTACATCTGCTTATCAATAGTAGCTGTCGGCACTGACATTCATATAAACACTGAAACAAAGAACTTAAACTAAAATAGACCTAAATATGCATATTGATAGAATTTTGGAGTGTAAAGATTTGTAATATGAAGAAAACTATACAGATATTTGAACCCATCAATAAGTACACCTGATTTAATTACATTGCAGAAAAGAATGGCTGAGTGATAGCCATAAGATTTCAGAATGGTCAAAGTGTAAAGATCAAATTAAGGCAAAACTAACTGATATTGAAAAAAGCAGTACATACACTTGAATCCCACTACTAACAGCACATGCAGCAAACTTCAAAACATTTTGAATAAAAGAAATTTACTGAGTAAAGGTCCAAAACTGTGGACAAACATGTCACTACATAACCACTCTTGACTTTTAGCCAGGTGAACCAAAAATGAACTAAAATGTTTTCTTTAGTTATTTACCCCCCACCCCACCTATCAACTCAGAACATTTTACAAACACAGCAGTGTAGAAGGGTATTAAATTGCCAAGTAACTGTCACCAGGTTGGGTTTCATCACATTTAAAAACTGCTTGATCTCTGACAACAAATATTACTTCAGTCAACTTTTTAAGTCCCCAAGTGCTTTTGACAGAAGTTGTAACAACTTGACCTCGTCAGTGTACAATTGGACACTGCTTCATCCTAAGTGGAATGACTTGTGATCAATTAAATACATTTCAAAATCGTTTCATCCCTATCAGAAACTGAACAAATGTTCTTCAATCTGAGATTGTACTCAACAAATGTGTTTCTTATCACAGAAAAGATATATGTTTAACATTGTAAGATTCATAAGCCGCGTGAACTAAACATTATACATCTCCAACCTCACCACCATAAACAAACTAACTGCAGATCTAAGTACATGTCTGTATATTCCCTGTATACAGAATAAATGCATTATGGACAAGATCTCTTCCACCAATGCTAATAGTAATAATGACCCACCTATCAGGATTCTCTCACCCATCAAGATCCATCCACCCTACAAGAACCATCCACCCATCAAGATCCACCACAGCTACTGCCCTACATCATAAATACATGTATATCACTGGGTCAATAATAATAATAATATCTTTATATAAATATGAAAAAATCGTTGGGTGTTGACTCTTCAAATGGTACTTTTGGTTAAATGTGAGCAAATGATGAATAGCTATGAGTAGGTGGCTTCAGGACTAGATATGACAGTTGTGACTTTCGTTCAAACTGGTTCAGGTTTGGGAAAAACTGGTCCTGAACCAGGTTCTGGTATAGGGCCTGAATGCCCATTGGTGATGCTGCTGCTGCTTGTAGGATGGTGATACATGGACCGTGACAAGTACTGAGAGAAATCTGCCTTGGCTGATGGTCGAAGGGTTTGCTGCAGCACTGTCTTGACTATGGAAGGTTCAGATCTGTGCGAGAGAGTGGAGTGGTGGGAGGAGTTCACTGGGCGGCTGCAATTACTGGACACAGTGGTTCCATGTCCTGAACTCGACTGTTTTAAGTAACTTGATCCTCCCCTAGCTATGCTGCTGCTGTAGGAATAATGTCCATCTCTTTTGGCCACACCTGGCGAAAGACGTGAATATTTCGTTGTACTGCTTTCTGATGTAGCATTGGGGATGATATGAATAGGATACACTGACTTAGCTATCCCAGATGGAGTGCTGGGTTTTGTGGGTGGCAATTTGTCTTGATTCTTGTTCTGGTTTGGACCATCGTCTGGTATGTCTGTGACTGGAGGTGCCCTGGAGGTGTGGGCGGTGACTGTGACTGGTCCCCCTCCCAGAAGAGCCTGGGGTGTGAGGGAGATGTTGAGGGTGATGTTGGTGGACTCTTGTAGACTCTCTAACTTGGTCTTGTCAGGGCTGAGGTCAATGACATCAGAATCGTGACTTCTCTTCCGCGACAGCAGTTGACTGACACTCTGCATCCCTCGTCCATCTTCCCGAAAGACTATCTCACCTGTAAATACAAAATCATTTATTGATTAGGGTTATATACTGAGGTAAAAGAATTGTAATACAGGTATCTGTATTGTGATGTATTGTGAGCTAAGCATTTGGCACTGATTGTACATGCAGAACTGATATTTATCAGGCAACATCAACGAGCCAATGGTGTTGTTAATACACGTTCAGCCAATCAGCCAATCAACAGGAGAGGCGAGATACTGGATGCCGGTTTAGAGAGCGTTAAATACTGTACAAACAGTCAATTGGGCGGTCTTTGTTGTCCCGAAATACGGAATAGGCTGACACCGGATTAGAGGGCGGCAAACACTGTAAATTATCATAAATTAACTAGCTTCTACCGGGACCAAATTCTAGTGCCGATATTGAGAGCATGCCGGATTGGAGGGTTGCCGGTTTTGAGAGCTGCCACTGTAATTGTTTTACACAATACACAGAAAAGAAAATACACTTTGTTTGAAAACTTATCAGTCTTCTTATTGATGATAAATGATAGATATGATATGACATGACATATAAGCCAAAAAATCCCACCAGGTATGATTACTACATATAATGAAAATGCAGAGTTGTGAAAGACATTAAGGTGCCAATTTGCCTTTAGTCATGTAACCTGTAAAGATACCCCACTCTGACAACATGAAATGAAACTGTACCTGTTGCAGTGTCCCGACCAATCTTCATTTTCTTTAACCACTGGTCAAATGCTACCAGGTCCAAAATGTCCATCCTTTGTAAAATCCCAGACAGCTGATGTTTAGCTGTAGCTAAATCAATGTACTCTGTGTGCTCAGAATGGTGGGGTTCTGGAAGAAATATAAACATATCCAGTGTTGGAAATAAAAGTAAACACATCCTTCTCATGCTAACCATAATGAGAAAAAACCATAGATTTACTTTACTTTTAGATGGGAATGTATGAGGAAAAACTGCAAAGAAATTGTTCATATCACAGATTAAACTGCAAAGGCTTAGATAACTAGCTGGACCCAATACTGCCTACAAGGCATTACACACGACACAAACAGAACTCTTTTATGTTTTTGTTTGTTTGTTATTTTCTCCAACCTGCCAACTAGTATTGAGAAGTATGATAAAGATAAAGTCTGTCAAAAAGGAATGAAAAAAGACTTGCCATAACTGTGTTAATGCCATGTCATGGGCAATACAGGTTTAACAATTTCTGTGAAATTTGTATACTTTCTATTTTACCATGGTTATCAAATTTGATCGCTAAAAGCACATTTGCATCTATGACAGTGTATTTAAAAGAAACAGATCAATGGAAGTGGTAAAAACAATGCAGCAGTTCAGATTAAAAGAACTTTTTTGATTTCCGTTACTTTAATTCAAACAAACAAACAAACAAACAAACAAACAGTGGCCCCAAGCAACACTCTGCTCTTTATAGTTTGAATGAAGTTTAACCAGGTTTATACTTAGTTGTTTCTGTGTTCCTGTTTGTTTAAGAAAATTCAGTGAGGAACAAATCTGAAGTGAGTGAGTGAATTTAGTTTTACGCCACACTCAGCAATATTCCAGCTATATGGTGGTGGTCTGTAAAGAATCGAGTCTGGACCAGACAATCCAGTGATCAACAGCTTGAGCATCGATCTCCGCAATTGGGATACAATGACATGTGTCAACCAAGTCAGTGAGCCTGACCACCCGATCCCGTTAGTCGGTTCTTACGACAAGCATTGGTTACTGAAGATCAATTCTAAGCCGGATCTTCACGGGTACAAATCAGGGGTACTACTTGTCTTGTCCCATATTCTTGTTATTTTACTATGTTTACTGTACACAACCACTATTCAAAACTGAGCATAGGACTATTTGGACATGACCAATGTTGTCTATGCCTGGATTCTAACTGGAGACTGTGGTGTTGAGGCAATAATAAAACTGTTTCTTTCTGTTCCCTTTTTAAAATAAGTAAACTTGACCAGTTGGAATTCTGTTCATGATCATAATAGGTTACTCACATGTTTTTTAATGCTCATTCTTATCATGTGTTTCCAATATTTACCGAATTCTGACATTTTAATGGAAACCTCCAAACCTCTTGGAATTGGTTGCTATGGTTAGCATGCCAATAGTATGCTAAATTAATTACCATAGTAACAAAGCTTTTGTGTTAAAAGTTCTAACTAGTGTCACTGCATTTGTGCCTAATACTATTTACAGCAATGAAACAACAAACATGAGTGTTTAAACAAAATGTACATTGATGATTGAACAAACTGAAAAATTTATACTTACCATTACCAAAGTTATCATCCGTAGAGTAGCCTGACACAGTTCCATGGCAGTTATCAGGTTGGTCAGCAACATCATCCACCACTTCTTCATTAAATGAGAGGGATTGATGGGACAGGCTATCACTGGAGTCCAGTTCAGAATCTGGTTGCTCAATCACATGGTACGCAAGAACATCAGACACCTTACTGTCTTGTCGACCATAACTGTCAATCTGGCTTGTGTTCAATTCTCCCTCGTCATTATCAACTGATGAGGCATTTGTTGAGTCACAGTTTGAGTCCCCATCACCAGTTACAGCAGCAGTACCTTCAAATGGGGCAACTTGGGCAGCCATTCCTGTTAGGTCACGAATCTGTCTCACCATCTCATTAAGTTTGTTCATACCCAGAGCACAAGGGCGATACCAGGACTGAGCAGGGGCTGGTTGATTGACGTTTACACCAAGGTAGAATGGAGAGTATCTGTGATTGGCAGCAATAGGTCGTTTTTCTGCATATAGTTTGTACAAAGCCACGGGATCCTGTTCTGGTATCTCTGGCTTGCTCCATATCATCTGCCGGGATTGACGCAAGTGACTGTTTGCTGTTCTGTGCAGCATTTGTGGGGAAAATGCAAGATATTCTCTCCCAGAGTCCTCTTCTACTCCTAACATTATGTCTCCCCACAACAATTTCTTGTGTTCTGTTGCTTTTCTCATTTTCAAATTCACAACAAACACAAAGCACAGAGAAAACAGCACAGACACAGGAGTGTAAGGTCCAAATTCTTGAGATTTGCATAACTGTGACAGTCTCTGTTCCATGACATGTGATGTTGATGATATCTGTGACTTCACACCTTTACCCATTTGTTTCAACATTTGCTGCTTCAGCTTCAAGGCAGCTCTTGTCTTGGCGAAGTGAATATCTCTTGTCAATGATGTTGGGTAGCATTTTAGTTTCAGGTACCTCTCAATACTAGCCAGCATTGCCCTTAAGCTGCAAGGTTCATATTCAGCTCCGTCAAACTTTCTTACAACCATGAAGAAGGAGGACAGGTATTTATCAAGTTCTATTGGTGGGATGCATTCTGGTGGGCGCTTTTCATTCAAAGATTTTAAGTAGCTAACAAGGATTTTCATATCTGCACCAGTTTTCCTGTTTGTATTTTTATTTTCCATGAGGAAATTAGACTCTTCAGGTGTTGGTATGCGTAACATGCTTGAATGCATGGCATCAGACCCACCGTTTCCCGAACTCGAGCCGGGTACCATGTAAATATCATCACGATCTTCGTTATCAACATCAGCGTCTTCCACGTTCTCTTCGCTGACTCCTGTGTCATGGTGCGCGTCTGAACACGCGACCGCTGACTTCTTCTCATTGTGAGTTGATTCTTCACTTTCCTTGCTGGTTGGGTCCATTTCTTAAACATGAAAACACAACATCACCACTAAAGTCATAATCAACACAATATATTCAATGATTGACAGCCATGATACCGGAAGCCACCTAGTGTCGGTAAACATTGAAAGAGAGACAACTCTGCAAGTTAAAATGTTTGCTTACCGATAATGTTTTTTGTTTCTTTTAGTTCAAAAATGCGTTGTTCTAACACAAACGCCGTTGCGTGGATCAAATACACTGGGAGGGAACGATGGATATTCCTGTGCCTGCTATGATAAACTGGTCTCGTGTCGACTAGCTTCAGAGAGAGTATCAGTCGAATACTGCCTTATCGGAATGTTCCACGATATATGAGAACAAGAAGTTTGATATACACCTGTTACTAAAGTTAACCAACAGCCGCAAAGGGAATTATCGGGAGTGTGATACGACTAGTTATCTACCGAATTCAGTTATTTTTGGAAACGGCCGTGAGAGTTAAATATCCCTCTCCATATGCTCCCGGTCTTGTCACATCTAGGTTACCTCACGCCAGTTCCACGTATTGTTTGAAATGAAGCTGGTTTATATCCATGCCCATCTTAGGCTTATGTGTGCAGAAAATAAAAGCCATAACACATCGTATACATTTATGCAAAGGAAATCCACGACGTAAATATCATTATTTGATAAACCTGTCTTCATTTAGAAGCGGACTACATTTTACCCATTTCACTGTGTGATAACTGAAAATAAGTCAAGATAGAAATGCATGCAACTGTTAATTAAATTAACTTTGAAAAGAAAGAATTCAGAAACGGTTTTCGCCTTTATGCGTTTTACTAAGTGCAATAACTGATAACACGTCGGGATTTATATAACTTTTAATTGAAATAACATGGAGGAGAAAGAATTTAGAGACGGTTAAATAGGAGGACATATCTGAAATGAAGTTATATAATGGTGTATCTTTGGGTTCAACTGTTTCTGCAAGATCATCCTTTAGCCTGTAATATCTTGCCTACGTGCACATGTTATCTAACTGTAACACGCTTTTGGTTGTTTTCGTTTCTTGACATTGACCAGCTCAAAATATTACTTACATATGTCGAGTTCTCGTCCTTGACTCCACCTGCGGAGCGAATGACCATCTATATCACGTCTGCATCACTACAAGAGATAGTCCAGTCCTACTAGTCTTAGTTCCAAAACAAAGGGAAGCAGGTCAAACCAACACTGGTGAAACGCTGTTCTTTCTCGAAACTGGTTATTTTGGAAGGATATGAGAACGCAAGATTACAAGTTATGAGATTTTAATTTAGGGGAGGGAAGAAGAAAATTAGGAATTTGATAAAGATATATCAAAATTATAGAAAGTGGAAGTGAAAGTGTATGAAACGTAAACACCCCACGAGGTGCGAGGTCTAACCGCAGAGTAATGGTTTAGAATTCTCGATTTTGCTCCTCAACAACAACAAATGATCTATCCCCTTTTACCTTTACCTCCCGAGTTCAAGGCTGCAGGCGGTGGGGTAGCCTAGTGGTTAAAGCGTTGGCTCGTCACGCCGAAGACCCGGGTTCGAATCCCCACATGGGTACAATGTGTGAAGCCCATTTCTGGTGTCCCCCGCCGTGATGTTGCTGGAATATTGCTAAAAGCAGCGTAAAACCAAACTCAGTCAGTCAAGGCTGCAGGCTGCTGAACACAATATTTTCCCGATTCTGTTGACTGTAGTGAGTACAAATAACATTCACCAAACTGATGATAAAAACATCAGTAGTTCACAAGCATGCACTATATAAATATATCCGTTATTTTCACGAACAGTCTTTAAAATATATTGTCAAAATAACAGCAGTGTTAAATAATCGTCTTTAGTGAGTGATAGTGATTGCGTAATAACAGTATTGTGTCATCTGGTTTGGTAAGGGAAGGTATTTTAACGCTACCTATCATCACAGGTGTGCCGATGTATAATTGTCCATATTGTGATTATTGTGTTGGGTAAAATAAACAGGACGCAAACAGCAGGAGATGCACGGGCCGACGTCACACGGACGAGATACGTGCACAAACTCAGGAGATTAGAAGATAGTACACATAGACTGAATGACCAAATGGGGTCCGGTGTGGCTTCAAAGGGAATGCATTCTTCGCGGTCTACATTTATTTGAATGTCCCGAAGTTTCACAATCAGATTGTTTCAAATAGTAAACAAACTGTTTTTAAAGCTGTACCCATCAACTTTTAGCTATAATTTATGACGGCGTTCTGTAAATAATCGAGTCTGGACCAGACAATCCATTGATTGGCATCATAAACATGGATCTACACAATTGGGGAGATCATCACATAGATGAACCAAGACAGCAAGCCTGACCACCCGAACCCGTTAATCGCCTGTTACGGCAAGCATGGTTTGCTAAAGACCAATTCTACCAATATCGGGGCGGTGGTGTAGTCTAGTGGTTAAAGCGTTTGGTCGTCACGCCGATCTCCCACAATGGTACAATGTGTGAAGCCCATTTGTGGTGACCCGGCCAATATTGCTGGAATAATCTAAAAGCGGCGTAAAACCCAACTCACTCACCCTGTTCTTATTATCAGTAGACTGGTGGGAGGTAAAACTCTCAGAAACCTAGGATTTCAGTTTAGGCGATTATGTAACAGAACGGATGTTAAAACGGCCTGTGCAAGGGTGCTGTGTATTTGTTGACTCTGACAAGAATTCTGAGGTGTTCTGGGTGTTTTTAAATGCCTAACGCTGACACGAAGTCGTTCCACTATCAGAAACTACGCCAACGATCAATGGGATGGTTTTGTGTATATTCTAACGCCACACGTAACGTTCGGCGGTCGGTGAGTAATCAGTTCTGGATCAGACAATCCAGTGACTGACATCATGAGCATTGGTTCACGTAATTTAACCCGATGACAAGCAGTGATCCAAGCGCTAAGCCCTACCATCCACTTCCATAAGCAGCCTCTTCGACCAGCACACGTTGCTAAGAACCAATATTCCTACCCATAATCCCCATGTATACACCTATTCCCCCATACTTCCTTTCCTAACGATGAGAAGAAATATAAAAGATAATTCAAAACAACAATTCTAATATGTATTAATGACAGGGAGTTAAAATACAAAAATGATTTTATTTCAAAATGTAATAAAACAACTTTACAGTACTTCCAAGAAGGAAGCGCGAAGGTGAAAGCACAATAAACTAACATGCAAACCTGAAAGGGGAGATAACCGCAGGCGAAAATTAATAACCAACAACATATCAGAAGTGATCATATCAGGTTAATAGTCCGAGTGGACTGTATGTTCCAAATCACTTTTAACATTTTCGATAGTGTATTGCATGTTTTTTTCCAGTAAATGTGATGAACTGATAATCGTTTCTAAATAGAAATGCTCTGGCAGCCTAAATACCTGAATACTTTAATGATACAGCATTTGTCATGATACCATAAGTTGATCAGACATTGGATCTATGGTGTAGAATGTAGATTATGGGTAACTTGCTTCCGGGACAAACTGTAATTACAAAACACATTGCAGAAATATTTGTGATACAGGAGCAAAAGACAGACACGATTTTCATTTGGATAACCATTCATATGAAGCTTGAATTCTCAGTTCAAGACTTTTTTTTTAATGGACATGATCTCTTTTGGATCCAGTCAGTGAGGTAAATATTGAAGCAATTTCAACCATTCCTCAAGTGTACAGTGCATATGTTTGAAGAATAAGCCAATCGTAGGCCATGGTGTAGATTTCTAGATGAAGTCTGCATATGGTCCAGAGAGTCGTCTCTGCTGGCTATAGTTCATCATGTTGAACTTGGGTGAACAGTCTACAAAATCTTCCAGACTTTACTTTCACCTGTGACATTAGAAATTTTAAGTTTCTTTTGTGGTGATGTTGTCGATGCGGTGTTGTCACTGGCATCTATGTTGCCCTGATGTTGACCACCAAACTGGACACAGTTTCCCGCTTGGGCAACTTGACTGTATGGTGTGGGGGAGTGCTGTCGTCTGCTGTCTGCTGCTGTGTACTGTGGCCGAGGGAGTGACTTGGTGTTGTTGCGGTGACAGCAGGCCTTGGAGCTATGGCGAGCTGCTTGCCATTCCTGGCACTATTGAAACCATTCCCAGATCCTGTTTGGTACTTGAAATGGTCCTGGTTGGTGGGTTTGGCTGTAACAGAGGCATTTAGTAAGGATGCAGTATGTCTTGGCAGAGAGGACTCCTGTGATGCAAGACTGGTGGCAGTCTGGTTCTGAGAGGTGAGAGGAAATTGGGGAAAGAAGATGGCTGCCGGACGAGGTGCAGCAGCAGCAGCAGTGTTGACGGCGTTGTTCATGTAGTACTGGGACAGTGACAGTGGAGATGGTAGGATGTAGGGCTGGATGGCCGACTGGGGTGGCTGTGTTGGATGAACCTGTCGTGGAGTAAACCTTCGGGCTCTTGGCGGCTGTTCCATTATCCTATAACAGTTTTCCCGACAAAACACTATCCCTGGAATAAGAAAAGAAATCATATTGAAGAATAGTAAAAGTCCCCCTAGTCAATTGGTGACACTGTCCAGTGACGTCAGAACCAGAGAAACCAATGGCCGCTTCATCCATGGTTCTGTAATATGTTGCCATCGACCCATGTGAATCGTGTTGACTAAGGTATAATCCACATTAACCTTGACTGACCAATGTTAGCACATGTGGACTGGTAACCTCATTCTTCCCACAACCATAATTGACCCAAACAAGGTTACCACTCTGGAGCAGTACTCTGGTCATCAGCTCCAAATGATGTCAGGCACAAGTTAAAAATTTAATACAATAATTCAAAAATAATTAAGGTATAACATACATGTTTACTAATCAACTTATGATATAAATACAATCAGTGGATGATTTTGCATTGGCTTGATGTCTCCTTCTTTATTATCGTTTTTCAGGCATGAGTGAGTGAGTTTAGTTTTATGCTGCTTTTAGCAATGTTCCAGCAATATCACAGGGGAGAGAGAAAGGAGAGAAACACATTTGTTGTGTTTCAACTTGTCTGAATAGGCAGTTTACATTGTATCCAAGCTTTTCGCGTATTATTACACTAACTCAGGGTGATCCATAGTGACTTGAGTCAACCCGACTGCAAGAAATGTGATAACCTTGTTTTACTTATGCTACTCAAAACTTAAGAATCGAACATATGCACGAAGTATGGTCGAGGAGGAAGGGGGAATGATCAGCCGCAGCAAAGGGGGTAACTGGTCAACTGGAATAATTTTGCATCGGAAGGCTGAAGGGTCGTAGCAAGTGAATTCCTGTTAGTAGGAAACTATTTTTCATAACACACTCTGGTATGTGAAAAATACAGATAAGCTGGATAAGTTCTGTTAAACTATTTTAAGAACAATAGCAGTGCATGGGAGGTTGACGTTGGCCTACCAGAAGTGTCTTTGAGAACATCGATCCGCTTGAGCCAGTCAACAACAGTGACTAGGTCGGAGTACACCAGGCGCTGGAATACCCGCTTTATCTTGGCTTTCGCTGTATTCACATCTATGGGATCAGGGCCTCCTGTAAATGTGATGTTGTACCAGTAAGTGAATACACCAATTGGAGGCTCTCTAACACTGACACAGCACTACCATGATGGTACCCATGAACAGTAAATACATAGCAACCTTACTAGCCCTCCCTAGCCCTTTACTTACATTACCGTTACAGAGTTATATTTACCCAGAATATGCTGACCCTTCCTGTCTGGTTTCGTCTGTGATTTCCGTCTGACGTATGGCCTAAATGCCCCCCTCTCCTCCTCAGTGTTGCACCCCACCGACTTAGTGGAGTCGGTAGGGAGTGTGGCTGGGAGTAGTGATCTATCAGCTGGAACAAGTCCAGGTCCTGATGTAGATGACGTAGTGTATGAAAGCAGTGCTTGACTCTTTTGTACAGACATGACCTGATACCTGTGTTGGAAAACAAGTTCCTCCAGCGACCAGGGAGCTAGTTTCTTCATTGAAACATTAGTGTACTTTGTATCAAGTTCAGCTAGTTTGGTGATCTTTCCCATCATCTGAGAAGTAAAGTTTCTGCCAATCCGTTCCGGGTGATACCAGGCACTGCTTTTGTCTGGTATGGAGAGTCTTGGACGCTGAAATAGGTACTGGCAGTTAGGGTCGATTCTCATCAGCAGCTTCTCTAGGGATAAAATGGGGCACATCTCATCACCTTTCTTCTCATACATCCGACATCTATCACGTTCCTCGTCTCGTAAAGCTCCGGTTGCATAACGACGTCCGTCGCTGTCAACGTCAAAGATGAAGTCTGTCGTCTTGGTGTCCCGTTGCACTTTTGACCGTTTCCTCGAGAAGTACACGCTGATTTCAAACCACACTTTGAGTAGAAGGGTGAGTGGGGTGTTGGGGCTTAATGCATCACTACTGTATATTTTCCTCAGATCCTCTGTCGTCATGCGGGGGCTTGTTCGTTCTGGGTTTTCCCTGGCGGCACTTTTAACAACACGTTTGAACACCGCATTGGAATACCTGAATGCCTTTTCTTCAATAATGTCCATCTTTCTTGGCGGTACCATGTTTGCGAAATACCGATTTAGACCGTACCTTATTGCAACGATGGTATTTCTGGAGTATCGCTGTCCGGCTTTACTCCGGACTTCTACGTAAAACCTACACAGAATTTGATCCAGAGCGGCAGGTTTTATGGTTTTTAGATCTATGTCAATGTTGTTTTTCTGACACCAGTCAAGTAGAAGTCTGACGGTAAACTTCAATGGACGATCAGGAGTTGTGAATTCGCTTGTGTCCACGAGGTGCTGTTCGGGCTCGGAATCCGATTCCGATTCTCCGCCATCTTCTGCGTCATCGTAATACATTTCTGGTTCATACACTTCCTCTGTAACTGATTCGGAGGAAATACTGTCCATATGTCTTCCATTGTCACTGTCTCCAGTAACAGATTCTACTTCCAAAATGAGATCAGGACTATATTCTGTTACAACTGAAAGCGGCTTAGGTTTCAACTGTTTCGCCATTTTGTTGTCAGTAATGTCACGTTCATATCCGACATACAAATTCAAACCATTTCATGTTACTTCTTTAGTTCTTTGGACGTACTCACAATATGCAGCTTTTCAAACAGAACCGTTTTCATAGATTTTGCGTAAAGTGCATCAAACAAAACACATGCCCACATGAGCAGATTTCTATGACCTTGACCTTCTTTAGGGAGACGTTATTGTATCAAATCTTACGTTACGGCTTAGATCGGCTCGCTGCATGTTATATGTGTTGCGCATGATACACAGAGGATAGCTAAGGCGAAGGATGACGACAGGGAACCAGTCAAGTTACGGCTGGACTATCTGCTTTCGAGTTTAGCAGCCGGCTTTTCCTGACAGGAGCCCACTCTTGGTGTGTTCACATGCACATCTAGTATTATGCAGAGAATAAAGAGACGAGTCCTTATTACCGTAGGCTAGGATTTGTCCAGAATCATCTTTTAAACTATGTAATCGTAACTCATATCTTTATGAATTGTGTGTCTGTGAGATGAGTTTTTATTACTCCATGATAACTAATATCCTCTGCAGAAAACGTAATTAGCGACCGTAAATCAGTAGATTTCCGTTTGGAACCCATACGACGTTTCAAGTGTTATTGATATATATGTTAAGCTCTTGGAAATGTGCATTGGAATTTATCTATCTCCCAACACCTATCCCGATTTTTCTCCATCGTCCCCATAATTTATGACAAATTTTATACGTTGTAAATGTTATATCTTCAGTACAAAATTAAGACTGTTCCTTGCGGGAATGTATGCAAAATATCTCTGCAAACATGAAAAACAAGCAAATCCCAAGATCTTCGTGAGTTTCAAATGTTTTATTTTCAACATTTATTAATTCATGGATATGCCTACATCGTAGAATGTACAGTACAATGGTATGCAATACTCATGTATTCGAAGGGGATTTAGCGTTGCATTCCCGATTACAAATACTTATGACAACCGTGCTGTCATATTATCTTATCGTAGAGACAGAAAGTTTTTGTTTTATACAATTGAAAGTTCAACTAGAACCAGTACAGAATGGTCTGTGTCGCTATGAGATCTCGAAACGTTGATATCACTCCAGTCTTCAGTCGCAGCTGACAACGGCCACCCTACCAGGATGGTCTGTGTGTGTGTGTATTTGTGTGTGTGTAGCTCTGTGTACACTATTTCCGCTATATTCCAACGTCTAAGCTTCACTAGTGAGTAGTGAGTGAGTGACTATGGTTTTACACCGCTTTCAGCAACATTCCAGCAACATCACGGCGGGGGGGACACCTGAAATGGGCTTCACACATTATACCCATGTGGGGAATCGAACCACTTGGCCATCCGTGTCCTCGCTTGTCTTGGGCGAATCACAATAAAAGTGAAACAATTCTAAAGAGTAATGCTTTATTCAGATTAAATGAGATACAGAATTCATTTCCTGAATTATACAAATCAGTTATTTACAATATTCGTTCGGTAATGAATGACGTAACATGGATTTATAAAGAACAATGGTGCCTTAAAACACAAAATTACAATTTAAAAAAATCTTAACCTGTGAAATGCTATAAAATGCCATAACAACAATACATAAAATACCAAACAGCAACTTGCTCAGGTTACGATGGCATTGTACGATGTGACATATATGTGGATGAACTCTCTGCTCCTGTATTACTTTCAGGCCATATCCAGTCCCCTTGTGGATAGCACTACAGTCCATGTGATCCTGGTAGATTGAGAAAGTGTGTGAATGAGTGAGGCTGGTTGCCTTTGGTACAGACATGGGAATACACACCCTCAATTGGACTGACTGAAGTGTAAGGGGCCTGAAGAAGCCAGTGTTTGACAGTGTGGGCATCAATTTGTGTTCTGGTGATGCCTTGCACATACACATCTGCTAAGTTTGGTTTCTGAAAAGATTTTCAGTTTTAACAGTTTTCACAAAATTCCTGTTTTATTCCCCTTTTAACACAAAGAATACCCAGATAAACATCTGATAGGAAACTTATCAGTAATCAGTAAAGAGGTAAAACTATTTACACAAAGCATTGAAAGGAAAGTGAAGAACTTGTGGACAGTAAAGTGATCTTTCAGCACACAAGTGCTTTGAGGAAATAACCTGCCCATTCCAACCTTTAACAGTACCAGATGATCAAGCAGAAACTATTTATGCTAGGTTACCAATTATGTGAGACAATTGTGCTTGGAACGAAAAGGCCAATATCATGGATAATAGTATCTGGTATACCTCATCAGCTGTCTGTTTTTCGATGTAGATTTTAAGAGTTTTCAAACTGTAGGAATCTACACACCGAAAGAACACTGATGCAATATAACATGTTATTCATAAAGTTCAATTTTCAATCAAACAGTTACTATTTCTGCAAATACCACAAGTTCAAACCTTTCAAAAGAATAGGATGCTGAGCTGCTCAGGCAAGCATGGGGCTCAAAATTCAAAATGGGTAATAGGTACCTGATATAAGCAGTTAAAAATACGAGGCAATATATATATATATATATGTAGTGTTCAAGCTGTTTGCACTTTATGCCTTATACTGTAACATACCAAATAGGTATTGACAAATTAAAACAAGAAAACAAAAACAAGATCGGATGTTCACTATGCCCTAACAAATGAGATATAGACAACTTCTCTCAATGCATTTGAAGTTCATACTCTAGCACTAAAAACACAGGCAATGTCTTTTTCTCAATGCAAACTGTTTTGTAAGGAGTGCCATGGAAACCAGATTTAATTCCTTTAACAACATCTTTTCAACTACTTAAAATAATCAGAAAGCTAAGAATCAGTTGTGGTGTAGCTTAAACAATAATGTTGTACATTGAGATGAAACTTCAACAAATACACAGAGTTGGCATGAATGATACAAACCATCCTCCTGTGTAAACTGTAATCATGTGGACACAGACTAAACACATTCTGCCAGATGGTGATCCGGTGGAAGTTGCTTAAATCCCTTTATACATTGCCAAATCCAATGCAGTAGTGAAAAGACTCAACAACAATATTACTGGTTTTCTAACAATGGAATTAACACTAGTGGACTCATTCCACAAAGCTGCGGAAGCGGTAAAGTGGTTGCAGATTGAACATTGGCCTACGATAGTCATAGTGCTACATTGGCTTTGTGGAACAGGACTCAGTGGTTTATTCTTAGTACAAAAATAAACTACCATGGAATTAAATGGGACGCTTGAGTGTTCATTCAAATGCTGCTGATGCAGACACAGAGAACCCTTTTCCAACCAAGGAACGCCAGTAATGTTACTATTTACCGGGAAAACTTGCATTGTGTCTGTGTGATTGAATTCAAGAAGACATCTCATGAGGGAAAATGTAGATCACAACAATATATCATGGTATGACATCATAAGACAATTCCCCATATGTTACTGTTTAAGGTTCATATGGCAACGTCAACATATACGACTTGTCAATTGGGAGACGAGTTTGTCCATCAAAAATAAATTAGCCATGTATTTGCCATTCAGAAACCTTAATACTGCACCGATACATCCCATGATCTCTACTGTAGCCAGCCTTATTATGTAGTGGTGTTTCTTGAGAAGTTATTTGCAGTCTAGATGATGAAGAGGTGTATGGCTACAGCCTCTATAGCAGCCCAGTATCGACATGTAAATGTAGGAAGGGAAATGTGTCATCTAGTGCTCTGTGTCCTTTGGGATGTGTCGCTGAAACCTGGTGACTTCAAATGGGAAGAACCCAATATTCTCTAGTATTTACAGTACTACATTTCATAATAAAGAAATGAAACAAACAGTTATCTGGTAACAAAAATAGGTTGTTATATAAGTCATTGTTTGGCTTCATGGAAGGTAAGCAAGCATTCAAGTTTGTTAATAAGGTTTACTGTAGTCGGAATATGCACAGACTGACCTACCCGGTGTACAGACTATAGTTTGTTCTGACAGAACATGCTCTGTGTACAGACTAAAGTTCATTCTGACAGCACCTGTGGTGGGTATACAATATATAATTTGTACTGAGAACATCTGCTGGCATACAGACTATATAGTTTGTAGTGCGATCATCTGCTGAGAATTGTTAATAGTTTGTACTTGGAGCACCTGCTGGGGGTACAGACTATACCTTGCAGTGTGATCATCTGCTGGGCAAATAAATTACAGTCAGTACTGAGAGCATCCTGGCATACAGACTACAGTCAGTACTGAGAGCATCCTGGCATACAGACTACAGTCAGTACTGAGAGCATTCCTGGCATACAGACTACAGTCAGTACTGAGAGCATCCTGGCATACAGACTACAGGTTGTCACAGAAACCACAGGTGTAACAACTTAAGGGTGGTGCAATACAATACAAAACCATATTTAAACATAACAGGGTCATACGATCATTTCCTGACAGTACTTGATAAGCCAACCATGGGGTGACAGCTACACACAAAGTACATGTAATAGCCAAGTTCTGTTTATACTGCAACAATAGTAGGACAATGATTGTATTGGTACAAGAGTATCTCAAATAGTCTCTGTAACCTAACACACCCTAGTATCTCTCTAGTGCAATAGGGAGTCACAATTAACATGACTTACATTTGCAAAGCACTAATAATTTGCAGTATTTACAAAGCTGAACACGTCCATATTGTAATTTAAGCATCAATTACAGGTCCGTACTGTTACATCCCAGCCAGGCAGGAGAGCAGCTTCATATACTGTCATATCTGCTTCAGATACGCTGTTTGGTCCATTCGTTAATTCCGGCTACATTCACATCACAATGTCAACATCTAACAAAACACTGCGTTATTAATCAAACATGAACACCCCCTACAGTTGTTACACCTGAACGGTGATGTATCACGATTGTATTGATCGTAACCTTACAACAAAAAATCTAAAAAAAATAACAAATTAACAAGTCCAGAAATACAGCTAATTACTTTTCAGGTTGCTCATGTAACAACTAACAATAATGACAAACTGGGAACATTAAACTTGAAACAGTATACTGTCTACAAAGAGCAAGTCCAAACTAAGGACATTGATATTTAATGTCATGCTTAATTGTTACATCGTTTTGGACTAGATCATTTTCCAATTCAACTAGCTGCTCGATAGATCGGTAGGTTCTGCCCTAATGGATACCGTGTTCGAACCGGGGTAAGGAAATACTGAATGCTAATATAATGAATTCTTGACACAAGCTCACCACTAACCCATCCAGCTTGTTCAGGGAAGCTCAGTTGTATTATAGTTACACATAAAAGTGGACATGACAGTTTTACCACGGGCTGGATATTTCATTGGTAAACAATTCATTATTCCAGAAAATATAGATAATCTGATCCCTGTCTTCATAGACAATGTAGTCCTTTCTGAGAGGAAGCCAGGGTGTAGCTGATTCAGTGATGTAGGTGGACTCAGTATTGCCTGTACCTGAAACAGAAACAACTCCTGGTTACTATCTGTTCATAGCTAAAGATTGTCAGGCTAGGATCCTTCTACTCAATAACAGTCATGGTCACGTTAACCATCTCCAAATTTGAAGGAAGACTCATGAAGATAAAGTGTTCAGTGATGGTTAGGACAAATGTGGGATTAACATCACATTCATAACTATTGCACTTATACAGTCATGCATGGATAGTATCAGCCCTTTGATTTTGCCTAAGCCCAGATTTCTCTTTCAAGAATGGCTGATGGAGACTATTTGCACATGGTAATGGAGTCTGCAAAAGGCAGATGATTCTAAGGTTACTATGAAACAAACAAGTCTGAGAAAATGCCAAAACAGGTAGTGTTACCTATTTAAAATAGAGGGTTGACTTGAGTGAGAGATGGTCTGATGGCAAGTCCTTGTTGGGTATTCCACCAGTCTCCTCCAAAACTTCGCTGTCCACGACCCTGAGGATGTCGGCCACACCCAGTCCCTCGCTGCCATAGAAAATGTAGTCCACTCCTTCCAGCATGTTGCTTGTGTATGTTGTAAACTCTGGTTCCCCACCCTGAAACATACCAGCCTTTGCATTAAACATGGACATGTGATCAGAACTGTGACTATTGACACACACAGCTCCAGATAAGATTTAGCTCACATGGGTACTGTATCCACTGTAATTGTTTGGAGTGAGTATTATGAATGTTCAACGGGTATTTCATTTTCCGTTACCCACTGCTTTCAAATATGTGCATATTTCAGTCATTTTACTCACCTAAGTATTATGTCATTGAGTAAGTTTACTAAGCAGGTATGTTCTGCCTTATGTCATACCTAATCTAAACCAAGTTAAATATAATGGAAATGATTTCATAAAAAATCACTCATCCTATACTAACAGTACAACTTGATAGCAATCAATGTCTTTGTCATTATATTCCGTACACAATTATTTTAAACTTTTTATGTATCTAACATTTTAAATGCGTAATTGGTATGCAACAATTATTTTTCAATGCGTAATTGGAAATTTTCTATGCATATTTTACCCGGATACGCAGCTTATTTGGGCCTCTGGACACACATAAATTTGTGCCAGAAGTCACACACATGGTGACACACAGAGCATACAAGTGATAACGTTTGTTGTTAAATGTCGCAAGAATATTCAAGAAGTATGATGGAAGCATGTAATACCTGCATCTTGATGAACCAAACAAGTGATTTGGTCACCACTTCTGAAAAGCATAGTTCTACCTAGAAAGTCTGTGTAAAATCACTCACAAAGATTCTCTTCTGTTATACAATTAAGTGAAATTTTGTCAAAACAAACATCAGAACACTTCCGTAAAGAGCTTTCACTAAACATACCTAAAAGTTCATTCTGAATGTGCCTGACCTTAGTTATATGCATCAAAGTTTGAACAACGTCCATGCTAAAGTTTTCCATGTTGGTACTGTACCTGACATGTGTTGTATGCACTGGTCAGATTGGAGGAGGTGTGTTGGAAGGCTCCCCACAAGTGATTGATCAAAGCTTTCTGAAAACAAAAAACAGTCAACCATCATTGTATCTTTCTGCGAACACGGTAAACATGATTTAATTTCGAAATAGGGGTTCTTACAACACCACAAAACATAACACCCTTGGGTAAGCAATTGAACTGGTATAATGGGCTCTCACTGACAAAACCGCATACTCCCCAGGGAGTTGAGATTGATAACACGATGTGCTGTTGAGACTGACATCCAATGATAGAGGAAAAAAATACCAGCAAGCACTAGTTGCCTGGATATGTGCGCTATATAAATATCGTATAATAATAAAATAAGTAAGCAATAATCAACTATGAGTACAGAAACAATACACATCCATCTGGCAAAAAAACCCTGTTATTGTAATATTTTGTATAAATGCTAAGGACAGTTTGTGTTAACTGGTAGGAATGGCTCTGTTAATGTTGGGTGTCAGCAGCACTCCAGTTACATCAAGGTGGCCTGTAAATAATCCAGTTTGGACCAGACAATCCAGTGATATTTTGTACTCACAGATCCAGTTTCCAGCTTCAGGTTGTCTACAGCCTGTAAGGAGGCGATGTTGGAGTCGGAGAGATATCCGTCTCGGGCCAACTGGTAGCCCACACTTGTGGCTGGGGAGTTGAAGTCTCCACACAGTAAGTGGGGGCTGCTGTCACTACCAGCCTGACTCACCAGCTCCTTCACGGCTGAAGCTATCTGTAACACAATAGTATCCTGCTTGAACATCACTGTGAAGAACAAAAACTGCATACATGAGAAGGGTTTTCAGTGCTTTATCCCAGTTATTGTGAGTCAACTTAATGTGAAAGGAAAGCTGGACATCAAGATAGTCTCAGACACTTATCACTTTGGTGAAACCCACAAACATGTTTACGGTGCTAACACATATATCAACATAATCCAGGATTTGAGTGAGTGTGTCCATCAACAATGGTTTATGGGAAGTCCAAGGGACACAACTCTGCACAGCGAATTTCAATACCCGAGATGATTGTTCTAATCCATTAAAGACATGTTGCTTTTAAACTTTGTTGTACAGTATACCAGACTGATTGCAGCAAATCTATTATATTCAACTTCACAAAAACTGAGCTAAATGGAACTACAAATATTCAAACAATCATTAAACAACACAAACCTGAATACTCTGGACATCTGGACTGCTAAGGTTATCCCAAACAACGTGAATATTTCCAATAGTGACGACTTTGTTTGTCTGTTTACATCGCAGTCGACTAATGTGGACAACATCAGCTCGGTCTAAATACTCCTCCACAGCTTGCTGTACCTCCTTGTTCAGACTCTCATTGATGTTCTGGAACATGACAGCATGGAAATGTTACATTGATTGATAGAGTTAAGTGTTACACCACACTCAGCAACATTACAGCTATATGACCACCTGATCTCGTTAGTCGCCTCTTACGACAAGCAGAAAATGTTACAAGAGATGTATCAGACATTGTAAGAAATATGCATAAACACATCAAAGTAACCAGTAAGACTTGAAATACTCAGATATGCAAATAATGTAATTTTATGCAGTAGAGTGAGTGAGTGAGTTTGATTTTACACTGCTTTTAGCAATATTCCAGAAATTTCACGACGGGGGACACCAGAAATGGGCTTCACACATTTTACCCATGTGGGGAATCGAACCCGGGCCTTCGGCGTGACGAGCGAATGCTTTACCCACTAGGCTACCCCACCGCCCCTTTATGCAGTAGAAATCACTGTTCAAATATATGCCATGATGATGTAAGTCCCCAGTTCACAGTCATTATACATGGACACTTTGTTTGATTTCTATTTGTTTGCTGCAATATTCCACCTGTATCACTGTGGCCTGGAAATAATTGAGTCTAAACCATTCAAGCTAATCACAGAAGTATTAGCATTATTAAATTCAGTCACCTTGATTCACCATCCCGACCAATATGCCACCTGGCAGCACCAAGCATAGGCTCCTGGGGACCAACTCTACCAACAGTTCCCATGAGGGAGTTTAATTACCATGACTTATTACCTTTTTGGACAGCTCTGCCAGGGAGACTCCTTTACTTGACTCTATACTGAAGCGGTTTGTCTTGACAAAAGTTGCCTCCCCTTCATCAAATGACTCCTTTGTTCGCTTCATAAATCTGCCCTCATAACCACTCCTAGAAAAACACACACACACAGATGATCATACACAACAATGACAATAAAGGAACGTGCTACACACAGATAATCCACGACACAGATGATACACCATTTCATGAGGCTAGATAGATATCAAGATATGACACTCAGCATGATGGGATCTATCTTGCACCAGATTTGTTTGTTCTTGTTACAACAGAACTCCGTAATATTCCTGTAAACGATCAAATCAGGATTAGACAATCCACTGATTGATACTGCGAGCACCTATCCACGCTGCCAGGGAAGGATGACATCAAATGAACCAACACACTGAGCATGAGCCAAACCAACCAAAACATTTGGCCTCCTCTTGCAACCAGTGATTGGGAAATAATTCTAAGTGGTCATGATTTTCAATGAGAGTCAAGGCCATGGTAACTAAGTGCACACAGTCAGTTGTCAGAGCTCCAGATAAGATTTAGCTCACGTGGGTACTGTACCCACTGTATTTTTTGGGAGTGGGTATTATGAATGTTGAGTGGGTATTTCATTTTCCGTTACCCACTGCTTTCAAATATGTGCGTATTTCAGTCATTTTACTCACCTAAGTATTATGTCATTGAGTAAGTTTACTAAGCAGGTATGTTCTGCCTTATGTCATACCTAATCAAAACCAACTTATATATAATGGACATGATTTTATAAGAAATCACTCATCCTATACTGACAGTACAACACTTGTCCTATACTAACAGTACAACTTGATAGCAATCGATGTCTTTCTCATTACGCAAGCAATTTTTATAAATATATTCCGTACGCATTTGTTTTAAACTTTTTGCGTATCTAACATTTTAAATGCGTAATTGGTACGCAACAATTATTTTCAACGCGTAATTGGAAATTTTACATGAGTATTATACCCGGATACGTAGCTTATCTGGGCCTCTGAGTTGTGATATGACAAGCAAGTGACAACATCAACCAGCTTTTAAGAAAACATGAACAGACAAACATCTGCTTTCTATGACAAGTAACATTTACAATAGTTTATCAAACAATTTTCTGTTAAACTTCTGATTACTAATTCAACAAAAATCATGACTTACTGACGAAGAGCAGGTAGTAAAATAGTGTTGTAGTACTGCGGATTGACTTCCTGTAAACACACGATGTCCGCATCCAAGAAGTTTAGTTCTCGCAGCAGCAGCGAATGGCGATACTCCTGCACAAGATACTTGTCTTCGGTGTAGCTGTAGTCGCCGTTGAGCTGATGGCACTCAGCTAGAATGTTGTAGCTTGCAACACTGAACTTGTGGGAACTGGCCACAGAACTTAAGTCAATGTTTGGGTTACATACACAAGTTCGGTGGAAAATGTCTGGACTAGGATCAAAGGTACGAACAGGCTTAGGAATAACTGGTTCTGATTTGGTCAACTCCTTAGAATTATCAATGGGCAGAGATGAGACTGGTGTGGAATCTGCTGATGGATGAGAGTCAGGCTGGGAATCTTTCTGAGATGTGCCATTTGTAATATCAGACGTTACTGATGGAACTGTTGGGGCAGTAACTTTTGGTTGTTCGGGGGCAGTCGGAGCCCCATCCACCTCCATACTCTCTTCTGATCTACCTTCCGGGACTTTCTGCAGGAAACAAGAAATCATGTCATGAACAGCAAATCAGATGTAATTGGATAATGGGCTCACCATTATCCCATTGCATACTTCAAGAACAAGTCAACATTTTAAACATCTTCATGATTACAGTGTAATTAATCTTTAATTAACCTTTAGTGATATAGATTTGCCCCTTAGAACAGCAATAGTATCAAATTGACTCTAAACTTGAAGTTTGATAATTATTCTTAATCAGTGAGGCAGAAATCAATAAAGTAATGCCACCAATGTTAAAGATGGTTCTTTTCCCCTGTTGCTATTCAAACCAAAGGGAAGCAACTCAATGAACACAAAGGTGGTTTGAAATCTGACTGCAGAAACCACTTTTTCACAAAATGCACAAGTCAAAACACCAGGTATGTGTCATGAGCAACAATCCATTTAATCTAGGTAAGATAATATGCAATCACTGAGCTTGACCACCTCATCCACTATACTCCTAGTTAGTAGATTCAACATCAGAACCACTTGGTGAGGGGAAGGCCTTTACTGGTGCTTTAGTGTTAGCAACACTATTGTGATGTGAGAAAATGGAGAACCATGCTTCAAGCATTGTGTCCGTCTATCCTGACTCTTCATTATCTTATGACATGATCTCCATAAAATATTAATTGATAACTTAATAAGTCCCCACTTTCTCTCACCTGACATTCATGTCATTTTCAAGATACACAGATTTCATCGAATGTATAAATCCTATGTTAAGACTAATATATCAGCGACAATTCAGAAAAAAGTCATATTACTTACTTCTTCTGTTTGGTTCGTGTGATTAGGAAGGGCCTCCTTCACCAGTGCACTGTCAGCTGGGGTACACCATCCATGCTGATGATAACATAGCTAGATGTCAAATCCTGCTCTTCTTTTGCCTCCCCTTGAGAAGGTTCTTGATTTGATGCTTCTGAAACGGGCTCTTTGCTTATCTCAACAGCAGGCTCTTTGCTTATCTCAACTGAAGGTTCCTCACCTGTCTCAGCTGGAGACACTTCCCCCATCTCAACTGAAGGCTCTTTGCTAATCTCAACTGAAGGCTCTTTGCTTATCTCAACTGATGGCTCTTTGCTTATCTCAACTGAAGGCTCTTTGCTTATCTCAACTGAAGGCTCTTTGCTTATCTCAACTGATGGCTCTTTACTTATCTCAACTGACGGCTCTTTGCTTATCTCAATCAGAGGTACTTCACGCTCTGGTGCAGGTGGCTCTGTGCTCTTTTCAACAGGAGGCTGTATGTTTTTTCTGCTTGAACAGGCTCTTGGCTGGAAGTGATTGGAGCAGGTGTTGGTTCTTCTTCTGCACTGGACACATCAGATATTGGTTCAATGATAGGCTGCTGTGATGTACGGGACTCAATTTCCTCATTTGCTTTATCATCATCAGGTTGCGAGACCTCCATGTCACCAGCTTCAGTATCTTGTGTAACTGGGCTCTCTACACACACACGTTTGCTCTCGTTTTCTTCAAAGGATTCATCATGCTCTAACTTTCTTTTCTGACCATGAGAAACTGTAATGTTTTGTTTTTCCTGACTTTGTTCGGGGTCTGCTGGGACTTCTGGGATTGACAAAGTGCCATTGCACGGTGCTGACTCTTTCTTTGCTGGAGTTTCTTCCACTTCATCTGTTTCCATTTTCTCAACAATGCTTTCAACTTCCCTCTCATCCTTTCCTTCAACGATATCCTCAGATATTTGAGACTTGTCAGTCTCTGCTGGTTCTGGTTCAGTGTCTTGAAGTGTTGTCTTCTGGCTGGTAAGTTCAGCTGCTGCTGAAGCACCATCTACTTTATCAGACTCCTTGTCCTCAGCGATGGGGAGCGTCTCTTCAGTAGCTTCAGCCTCCTTAATGACAGCTGTTACTTTTTCTTCTGATTCAACAGGTTTTTCCTCATTTTCTTCAGGTTTAGTTATTTCTGTTTCATCCTTTGCTTCTGGCTTAACTGTCTCCTCTTCCATTGGCTCATCTGGTACTTTATCCTCTGTAGACTTAATTTCCTCTGCGACAGTTTTGACTTCTTCTTTTTCTTTTGTTACAGTTTCTTCCTTGGCATCTTGAACAACTTCATCGTTGCTAGCTTCCTCGTCCACAGTTTCCTTATCTGTGGCTTCTTCCTCAGCAGCTTTGACAGGAGACTTCCTTTCTGCTTCTACTTCCTCATCTCTCAGTTTTGTCAACTGAACCACAGCTTGTTTGTCAGTTTGATCCATTGGCATCTCGCTGTCATTATCTGGAGTGCTACTCTTCCTCCCACTCTGTCGTCTCTTTGTAGGACTAGTCTGATTAGCTTCTGGTTTTGCTTGCTTTCTTCCACTGCGTCTCCCTGGAGGAGTCATCTCTGTGTCATCAGCTGGACCTGGATCTTCAACCTTGCCCGAAGACCTTCTCCTGCTGCTGCCTCTGGTGCTCCCATTAGCCTGAGATTTGCCCCTGCCCTTGTCTTCCTCCACTGCTGGTTCAACAACATCTTCCGCAGCAGGCTTAGGAGTTCGACTCCTACTGGACGATCTACTTGATCCGACAGATTCACTGACTGGACTCTCAACAGGCTTGCCCCTACTTCGGCTCCTTCTGCCTGTGTCAACCTCAGCTTCTGGAGACTTAGTTTCGGCAGCTTTACCTCTGCTTCGGCTTCTGCTCTTTGGTTGGCTTGTCTCTGCAACTTCCTCAGGGGTGTTGTCAACTTGTTTAGCACTTTTCCTGCTTCTACTATTTGTTGGAGTAGACTCTTCAGCCTTTTCATTATTGCTGGACCTGCTTCTACTGCCTCGCCCAGTTTCTGCCGGTTTTTCATCTGGTGTCTTTGCAGGTGCTTTCACTCTACTTCTGCCAGCTCTTCCTGATTCCACCACAGGTTTGTCATTATTGCTTTCTTCTGCCTTTGCTTTAGCACGACTTCGACTACTGGTATTATTAGCTGCCTCTTTTTTTGTCTCAGCCTCTGGTTCAACAGGTTTTCCTCGACTTCGACTCCGCCCACTGGCTCGTGCAGGTTCAGCTGCAACCTCTTCTGTTTCTTCCTCAACTTTAGCTTTGGCTCGGCTACGACTGCGACCCTTCTCTACGACATTATCATCTCCTTCACCTGAATGAGAAAAATTGAAGGATGATGTACAACTGATGTAATTTCCAGTTAAGAATCCTGAACAGCAGATTCAAATGAGCCAGTATCATTGAAATATCAAACGAAACTCTGACATATTTTAGCATAAAAAAACAACAGTAATCAAAACATGTTCTCAAAAAATGTCACAAGACGAACCAGTCTAAGAGTTTCATGGAAGACAGAACCATTGAGATAAACATATTTACAGTTCCTCTGTAAAGATACCAAACTTGGACAGTAAGGTATGACTTTTAATCAGCAACCAGGGATTTATCCAGGATTTGCCTCTAACATCTGTTAGCAGACAAAGTATCTAATTTTCGTCCAATCTGAGGAACTGAAATTTTTCATTCAAATTTGTACCCTCAGTTGCTGCAGATACCGGGTTGTACAGCAGCCTCAGAGCAGGACCACCATGAACATTTCTGAATATAATTACAGCTGAGTAAATCTTTCCAAGTTAAGTTTGAGTATTATTTGTGTTATTTACTTGCCAGTGTCTGTGAGTCATGCTCTTACCATGTTTCTGTTGACGTCCTCTTGTTGGCTTCGTCACTACATCAGCTACTTCGGGTTCTGACCGACTCTCTGCACCTCTGCTTCTTGCTGATCGAGACCTGAAATATTAGGAGATTACTCTAAAGAAAGTACAGATCACTGTTCTTAAAACGATCTTCTTCATTGTTTTCCAAATGAACCGTTCACTGCCTTCTTTGTTGTTTAATGCCACAATCAAACAGGCCAACAATAAATATAGACTGACAATATTCAAGTCTAGATCAGACAAACAAGTGAGTGATGTTATGAGCAACAGTTAGGCTGTTTGGAATTATCCATTCTGAGACTGACCATAACATGAAACACCAGCCTAAGTAAACCTAGACTCAGTATTTATTCGTTACACTGCTATAATGAGTCTAACAAACCCTAGTAGAAGGTTGTCAGCTAACCTTTTGAACTGACCAATCAGAACACAGCTTACCAAATCGCGAAAGTTAACATTCGCACATACTGAAACGTTTGTAGTCGATTGATTCAGAATGCTATTTTCCGCACGATCGCTTCCGAGTGATATACATGAAGGACACCATTATTCACAACAGTGAGTAAACAGTTGCTGAAAATAGAGTTTTTGTCAATATTCCAGGGTGTCATCTTGTGGAATATAAGACAATAGTAACTATGTCATCAGAAACCCCTAAGCGAGCGCATTGTCAATTTCATCTTGCATCGTCTGACGAACCCTAAATAGTAGCTGTTGTCTGATTGGTTAAATCCATTCAGCTGTCTCGTGTTTGATTGGACGGTCATAGGTCGCTTAAATTTGACTCAGTATAACAGTGTAACGAATAATACTGAGCCTAAGTTTACTTAGACTGTATCAAACACAGGTTTGCCTGGCCCAGACTCAAGTATTCACAGGTCACCATGCTATTGTTCACTACAGTGTAAACCGAAACAATTAAAAAAGACAGTTAGTGATTTAAGTTTCAACCAGAAACATGAACAAACACCAACTGCAAATCTACACATGATGTATCTTATATGTACACGGTACCTTCAATAACAATTTTTTATATGAACATGTGTAGGACATGCAATACACATGATAACCCTGATAACCATAAAAAATATCGGAGAAAAACTCCTCAAGTTATGTCCCTAAGTCTGAAAATGGAATTGCAATATTTTTAAGTATGTTGATTTCTAGTCTCAGTCATGTAATACACACCATAACCCTGATAAACATACAAAATATCTGACAGAAACTCCTCAAATTATGTCCCTTAGTCTGAAAATGTAATTGCAATATTTTTAAGCATGTTGATTTCTAGTCCCAAGTTAGAACAGTGGTTATATAGTGCAACCCACCTAGAACCTGATGTGCTTGGTGAAGGAGCTGGGGACTCTGCAGTGGATCGTGGAGCTCGAGAACTTGTAGTAGATGCCTTAGTGGTAGCCCGTGGACTCATCCGAGATGGGGTTGGACTATCAGTCAGTGTTTTCCGTGTCACCCTTGGCATTGTGAAGCCTGCAAATACATGAATGACAATTTCAATTTGGGATGTAAAACAAAACACTCTAGCAGAAAAGTGAAAGAAATTGTACATGAACAAGGAGGGACAAATTCACCTGCTTTATTTGATGAACACTGCTATGTATGTTACATTCTTTCATGTACACAGACGCCTTGAACAATTAAGGGAGGAATTGCACTTTGATGGGTGCACTTTGGAGGAGGAAGGGGATTTAGGAGCTAAATGGACTTTTGTTTTGATAACAAACATTCAGATGCAATTCTTTCGGCATGCTTTATACAGTGTCTTGTAAAGTTATATAGATATGCTGCTACATGGAGGGACAGCATTACGCATCCATGTGACTGTATGGTAAGCTCTCAGCTGGGCTTCAATGACAGCAAGTGAACGATAAATATGGAAAAACAAATAGGTTTCAGTGTTTTGAGATAAATAACTTGATTCAATTGTATATCATGTCTATAAACATGTGTAGACAATGTTAGATATGACTGCCAGCAGTACTAGGTTGGTCATGGCTCCATACAACTAAAGAATTTTATTGCTATCTATGCTTTCATTAATACTTGCTTCTAACCAAATCAGGCTAAATTATTATTTTTAGTATATAACCCATCTGTTACACAAACACAAGTTTTCTCTTCATTTTGACTTACTTAGGCAAGGTTCAGCGTGGAACACTAATGTTTTGGTTAGAAAATACAATGCATCGTGCATTAATTTTATATGTGATATCACTATATAAAATTATTACTTAAGATTTAAAATCATTCAGAAACTTGAATGCACTGAACTTTGGGGTGGATATATCCAAAGTAGGCTGAGATTAAAATGGAGTTGTTAGCCAGAGGTTAACAACTCCGATTGAAAAGTGTGTGCTATTCATATTTTAAGAATTGCGCTACAAATCTTCAAGCTTAAATCCCGAATAATGTCTGGATATGCATCTGGGTCCAAATGTTATTTTAATGTAGTCTTTTATCCCCTCGGCTCCAGGTATTGCTTAAATCACGGCTGAGGAAGCCATAACACCCCTAGCCTTCTTTTGTCGCGAAAACAGATTTGCTAGTGCACAAACGATAGTTTACGTTATCTTAGGGACATTACCTTACTTGAAAATAGCATATTGGACTAAATGAAAAGCTGTGAAATCTAGAATACTGTTGCACAAATGAGGAACCAGTGATTCCATCATTCATTCGGTCACTGTTATCAGTTTTCGCGGTTTAAATCTCCAGTCATATGGACATCCTATTTGACTAAATAGCTAATTGCTGATCCTTAAACCTAAATAAACATTACATGCATTGACTAACATATAAAACGAAAAGCAATTTTGGTTACATTACCTGCAAGTAACACGTTTTAAGCTTGTTTATTTTACTTAAATAACAGTGTCGTATGCAAACTTTGCAACAAGGATGCCGCCATTAAGTCTGCTCTGCAGCAAATACGTTCGCTGCATGTCATTGGTCTAATTTGTTCATAAAACAAAACAAGTAAACACAACGATCAAAATTACCTCGATTCTTTCGATTCTGATTCTTTCAATACGAATGTGTTCCTCAAATAATACTTACGGATAAAAAATCTTCCGCGATATTATACTTCAACTAGTTTTGCACGTCTGGGGCGCTTGCGCTAATAAGAACGCGCACAGTCGTATGCATTCCAAAAGGTCTTTGTCCGTATAACCATAAACGCGTGTTCAAACATTCGGATCTCAATACAAACTGAAGTGTTTACTAGTGTGACGTTTCTTAAGCTCGGTAGTTAGACCTAGTTGAAAATTCGCCCTTTTTGTAGCAGTTATGAAGCATTTGTATTGCAAAATACTGCCTTGAGACTCCGAAAACTAGGTATGAATATGAAATAAGTTGTTTGATAGGGGCCCGAGAGTGAGGGATCCGGTATGGTTGCTGGATTTGAATGCCTTCTTGGAAATTATACAAATCATACCGAGGTGCTTCTTTTTTGCTGACGAAGAAAGGTTTAAATCTGTTTCGGGTGGGGAGAGTGGGCTGATTCGGTAACTTGATTGGTTGATGACCATTTGTGTAGATCCATGATCAGGATGTCTATCACGTCATTGTCTAAGTGCGGCGTTAACCAACCAGCCAGCCAACCATCCAACCAACCAATCTACAAACAAATATGTGTATTTGTAAAACGCTTAACGGAACCATTCTGGTGGTGATTTGAATGCTGATCCTTTTCAGAGTAGTTACGGAGACCAGTTTATTGTAGTTAAGATTCTGTGATGATATGCATTTACTTCAGAGGCGGATCCAGGAATTTTAAAGGGGGGAGGGTGTGTGTGTGTGTGTGTTTCGTACCCACTGAAACCCTCCTCGGCTCCACCAATGCAAAACATTAACTTCAATGTGGTTTTAAGCTATTTTCAAAAATGGGGTGTGTGTCGAACACTTTAACCACTAGGCTACCCCACCGCCCCGTGTCTAAATGGAGAATCAAATGCGTCGTGGTATGACTAGAGCCTTGAAAGCATCATTACGGACGAGTAAAGCAACCAGACACTCATATAAGTGCCTGCACGTCGCAATTTAAGTTGAAATAACGCTATAACCCAACTTTTAACCACATTTCACTTGACAAGTTGAATATATTTTAGCAAAACTTGAAAGAGAGTCGAAATCTGGTCAAACTTCAGTGATATGTTTCAGATTTACACGTAAGCTCGTATTGTGATGGTACATGGTATAGAGCCCTTCTATAGTTATCCCGATGATGTGTGGATTTATCGGATTTCACAGCTTTCTGGCTGGTTATAGACATTTCAAATCATATAGGTAGAATGCAGTGGGGCTTTACCGGCCATGGTTTTGGTTCAGTGATTTGTAATTGGGGCTTTCCCGGCACTGCGTGAGAACATCAGAGAAGAATGTGAATGATTTAGAGTTTTATTGAACCGTACCGTAGTTAATATAAATAAATTAATATATTTGAACTGATATATTTGATATATGACAAATCATGTTCATTGTCACTGTAAGTGCAGTAGATCTATTGTTGTATCAAACTATCTGATCTATTGTTTTATCAAACTATTTGTTTTTAAAACCTTTCTTTACTTATAACATGGCTTCTCACATTCTCATAGGATTAATTTGGACCAAACAGAAGTCCTCACATGTTTGTTTAACATACCAAACACATGTGTGTATGCAAACAGAAGTAACAATTTCCAATTCCTATATTCTCATTCAACCACCATCGGTGGTACAAGAGAAGACAATACATACAATTTATGGGGTCATATTCGATTAAGTTTCTTGAGTGTTGAGTTGATGATGGATAGAAATCTGTAAAGACTTTTCAAGATTGACAATTTTTAGATGTAAATAACAATTGAAAAGTATGCAAATTTGGAAACGTATTGAATTTATGGGAAACATAAAAGTCTCGTTCGACAGCAAATGCCTTTCATCTACATATATAGTGAAATTCGTCAGCAATCGCTGGGCTTTTACAAAGTTGGCAAGTTCGGAGTTCTCTTGGTGTAGTAGTCCACCTTTCAGTTTCAACAGGTAGATTGTGTTTACAAGATCTGAATCGCAGGATTGGCATAGAAACAGAGCTGGGTAATAGTGAGTGAGTGAGTTAAGTTTTACGCCGCACTAAGCAATATTCCAGCTATATGGCGGCGGTCTGTAAGTAATCCAGTCTGGGCCAGACAATCCAGTGATCAACAGCATGAGCATCTATCTGCGCAGTTGGGAACCGATGACATGTGTCAACCAAGTCAGCGAGCCTGATCACCCGATCCCGTTAGTCGCCTCTTACAAGCATGGGTTACTAAAGGCCAATATTCTAACCCGGACCTTCACGGGTCAGAGCTTTAAAGACACACAGTACAACATAATGTGTTTAGGTATTAAGCATATGCAAGACATGATTACTCGAAAACGTAATTTCTTTATATAACGAAGTATATAAATGACCAAAATTTACGTGCTTAGAAGTGAAACGTCGAAACGGGCTTGTATCACCCTATTAAAACTGACTCTCACTAATCCAAACATGTTCGGTGTTCAAAGACAATGCTTAACATGTTTACGATTTAAACACGTTAAGGCCTCCAATTGTCTTAAACACGAGGGACAGGAGACGTGCTTATAGGTTTGTGTTTTGGATCTAAACACATTATATACAGCGCATGTGTTTAGAACATCTCTTTGTCTGGCGACTATAGTTTCACGATGTACATACCACAGTTAATGATTGCACACATTACACACTAAAACAAAGTGGAGACACGACATGTCTCAGTCGTCTAATAGACACTTAAAATTGTTGCGTAGAGTTGTCTCCCTTGGGCACACCAGATACAAATGATCGTGGGTTCGAATCCTGGTCCACACCGATAGGTTTCATATTTTTCGGCATCCTGCGTTTCGTGGTGTAACTGGAAAACCGGCAATGTCTCCGTTCAGCTTATTGCTTAATTTCACTACAATTATACCACAGTGTCACGTTAAACAGATTACAAAGATGTTTACAAATGTGTATTGGTATTTAAAACTGAACCAGTTCTGGTGTTATTGTCATGGTTGTTATGGTTGAGCTATTAGGAACTTTGTTGACTTAATAATATGCACCTGCATCTCACAAAAAGACCATACATCCCATTTCTCCTACAGTAAACATGTAGGCGAATAGGGAATAGAAAATGCACCCCTATTGAGAGAATGGACTTGACTTAGTGGAATTAAGGAAGGTCAGTTTCACAATGTATGAGTAAAAAGATAAGTATATCATTGTCTTTAAAGGTTATCTCCCATTTGACAGACACCCATTTGACAGACACCCAATTGACAGACACTGAACTAGAAGGTTAATTAGGGTAACACCTACGGGTATAATGGAACAGTCCACTGTCTAGTGAGTAGAGCAGGGTGAGCATGAAACAGGTTCGTTTGATTGTAGGTAAATAGAACTTTGTTGTGATTAAATGATAAATGATTTCTCTTCTCAAAATTGATTTTACTATCAATTACTATCGAATGTAAAAACAGGTTTGTCACTGAGAGGTTTGATTGTGTTTATTGATAGAAAGGACCGATCCCAATAATAGCATATGTACAACAGACGCTAACTGAGAAAACGTTTTGTTGGAGAGATATAGATATGTACATATTTGAAAACATTCTGATTTGCAGTAAATGAGACACCTGCATTGCCATGTAAGATACGATTAATACCAATCAGTGTTCTAATTTCAACAATCCTTTCTAAAGATTGTAACAGTTTATGTCTTTGAGCAGTATACAACGGACACTCAAGGAAGTAATGAAAAACATTCTCACACCCATGACATGATGCGTCATATTTTAAATAATTATTCTAAATAAATCGTAATTAATTGCACTCGTCATATATCTTAATATTGTGTGCAAAACATATAACTGCTATATTCCATATGAATAATATTTAGGTTCACATTTGTCTTTATTTGATTTATATGATACAACAGTGTCGCAATTTCTAATAGCTAAGCTAATGTTTTCAATATGATGATGCCGACTCCCGTTAGACTAGAAGGTTAACCGAAATGTTTATGAAAATAAACTGTTTTTATATTGCCGCAATAAAAATTCAAATTACTGTCTTTTCGTCCATCTTTCAAAATAAATAATGTAGCTTCAGTTTGTTCCTGTGTTTTTATTTGGACTATTCTATTATAATGTGTAGGTAACAGGTAGTAGATAATCTGTTCACTGAACCGTAAATGTTGTTGTTTTAAGGTGTCTGCGAACTGGCTGTCTGCGTAATGGGAGGACACCCCTTAATCCCTTCAGATTGACCATGGTGCAACAACTTGACTACGCTCACGAGCATACAGAGATCTTGACCAGTGTCTCAACCGACTGAGACGCAGCAGGTCACTTATTGAAGCTTCAATAAACTCAGACATCCATGAACTCAAGTACAGTGTACTAGTTAAAGGGCAAGTGTACACGAAAATTAAACTTTTTGTCTTGCACTTTTTCTTCATAAAAAGTATTTATCAAGTAGTTTTATATCCAAACCCGTACATATATCAGAAGTAACTAATTTATTATTTGTGTTATATCACATATTTTCAACTTTTACCAAGAGTTCTATATCCACAATAAACACACCATGGCTTATGTCCCTTGGAAATGACGTCATTGGTGCCCAAACGATAAACGAATGACGTCGTCAGACCTAATTAGACCCATTTCACGTGGTGCAGGTATAGGTGTGGTTCTTGTGTCTCGATGCGCAGGCTACTGTTTTAATCCACCTGTTGCTTGGCCGTCAGCTGGCTATGTGGTCCGTTCTACACTGTAATGACGTTGCAGTGTACATTGTACTAAAAGTGTTACCACGTAACCAAATTGTATAACATATTCAACCTGAGTCGGTCGCCTTTCCAACAGTATCTTTTTTCATGAAAC